GCGAGCGAAGTAAGTGACGATCAGCATCCCTCGAGCCCTTTATCCAACCTTCATTCCACCAGATAGATGAACCTCGTTGTCGACCCAGTAGGAGAATGCGTTCTGACATCAAACTTTGTCCCGTCCAAGCCTTCCAGAGAGATCTCGGCCGGCCTAGCGTCTACGTCTTCCCCTCCTCATGACGAAGAGAACGCATCCCGTTCGCATGGGCGGGAAACACGCCTCGAGATCACTCGCACCCACTCGGGTGCAGGTGTCCCAATCGCCGACGCTCGTCTTCACCTCCAAGTGGACAGTCACCCTTGACACAGGTAATATGGCGCGATTTTCACCAGCCGAAGGAGTCTGTAGAGCGTCAACTCCGCAGGAGAGCCCCCTCTTTCAACCATTCGGCCCCCATCTCAGTGAAAATCCCTGACACCTCATGCCCATCTTTGGGGAAAGGGAGGGGCGATATTGAAGCATCCGCTTGGTAGAAACCGCATATGCGCTCCGTATGTGCCGTACCAAAGATCACTGGGTGATCACCAACGCATATCCATGGGTGTGTCGGAAAAGACCAGCACGTCAGCGACCATGTCCACCCTTCTCTCTCTCCTCCGGCAGACAGTAGCACTGTAATGCACTCACGGGGGTCTCCTGTATTGCAGCTCCTCTTCCTGGCGGTAGCTTAATCTTTGTTGGACTCCGCTGGTCTGCTTCAGGACAAGACTTTAGCAGTTAGCTCAGGAGGCAAAACCACTCAGGACGAGACACACGTTGATGTCGAGTCGAGCAAGAAGGGGGGCGTATATGGATACTCGAAGAGGCTCGTGATATGCAGCGGTGAAGTAAAAATCCACCACACTCATAGACGCGAGAGCCGGACGGAACTCTCCTTTTCACCAACCCCGTCCTATCACTGGTTGGCGTCATATCTGTAAGCCTGTAGGGTCTCCTAAGGGAAATGTGACTGCCCGCACTGCGATCTCGCAAATCTGCGTCTGTTAGAGGGTCTTTTACCTTCTTCGTCGGCCCATTAACCAGTTCCAGACATAGGTCTCACTGTCGGCCGCAGTATTTGCCGGATGAGCTCGTCCACTTTGTACCTGCCCGCCTGATCTGCACTTCTGCATTTCCCTGCGGGTGGTCAAATCTCTGAGCGAGCGAAAGGAGGGTCTCGTTGACGATGGTGTGGGGGGCAAGATGGATTCGGAAAGCCTCTTCGCCAGTTGCCAAGAGAGCCTTGGAAAGAAAGGTCAGCTTTCCATAAAGATACCCCTTTGGCAGCCCTTACATGTCCCAATTACCGCGCCCGCAGACGCCACCACCAAGGCCTCCAGACTCCATCCTTCAAGTCTAGAAGCTTTAGTGTCATGGCAACGTTTACAGGGCTGGCAATGCAGGGAGCCATTGGGAGGAGAGACGCAAGGCCTATCTGATGTGGTGGCATTTACATACGTTCCAATAGTCAGCAGCCACACGGCAACAAGCCGAAGCAACGCATCGCCGCCCAGACACTCACGGACTCATCTGCGTCCTGTCAACGAGACGGGTGAGCGGATGGCGGACGTTGTCGACGAAGTTCCAGTCCAGCCGCAACGCCCGCTGACCCTCGCTTCTCGCATGTTGCCTCTTACGCCCCCTCCCCCCTCCCCCCTGGAGCCTTGGGAGGAATAAGCGTGACCGCGAACGGAAACCGTAAGGCCGCCCCAAAATTGACCTGCTCCCGGTGCTGAGGTAAAGCAGCAAGATGATTGCATTCCACCATCATGCACCTTCGCGGTTGGTGATGATCCATCCTATGACTGGTCAGTGTCCGATCCTCCACGCGACTGTGCCGCAGGCGCGCCTTGCGTTAGCAAACATTGAAAGATCGACCCGGAAAGGGGTCACACGGTGCTCCGAGCTCGAGAAGCGGCTACGCGGTTGCGGAAGCTGGCCCCTTGACGGTGTTCCCCTGCGTAGTGCATCATGGTGCTTGTCGTTCGTCCTCTCCCTTTGACTGTGCGTCTATCCTGGCCCTTAGACGTAGGATCGTATGCATACATCAGCCTGGGGTTCAGTCCGAGGGTCGAATCAGTCAGTCCAGCTAATGTCGGCGGTCGATCTGCGAGCCTGGCTTAGAGCCGGAAAGTACCCTGTCGTACGGGCAAGGAAAAAGCAAGACAAGGCGAGTAATGTCCCAAATACCGTGATGCTCGCACATGGTATCTTGGAAGGCTTGGACAAAAAGCAACGTTTGTTCCCGCGGTGCTCCGTGCCCTGCCACCGCGGGCTGCATAGTATAGCTTGACAAACCCGAGCAACGAACGTATTGGCGATCCCACAACGCGGACGTCACTTCTGTTCTCGGTAGGGCCATCCGTGGGAAAAAGAAACGCCCTTCCATCCGGAGAGACAAGAGGTGTCTCGACTAGAGCGGAGTAGTCTTGGGGTGGTTGGTTGGTCGGATTGGCTTTCGTTGCCCGGGGGGTTCATGAACAAGCCAATAGGCAGCCATGGAGGTTTTAAGGGGACGGTCGAGCACGATTCGCATGGGTTTTCCACTCGTGTCTCACTGACCACGAAGCGAGAAACAAAAAACGCTCGCTCCCTCGTGTGCTCTGAGTTGATTATTCTAGCTGCCGTTGTGGCTGGCGTTGGAAGCTCGTAAGTGCACGGCTAGAAGCCATTGTCGCTTCGCGTGGCTTGAGACAATGTGTTTGGGGAAGCATGCCCTTTCTTCGCCTGAACCCTACGTTCAACGTAGAACGGTTCAAGACTAGTTCGCGTCGGGCTGATTCGGAAATCGCCAGTATCACAACCCGTAACGGAAGGAATGTCGTCGTTCCTCCGGCTCGTTGCTTCTTGAGACAAACTGTCGTTAGTCTATACAACTGAGACACAGACAGACATAAACAATCCTCCACCCCAAGGGAAACTGATCTCTAGGGTCCGAGAGATGAGATACTGTAGCACCACATCTAGATCTTGTCCATCACGATCACGAAGTGATAAATCTGGCTTTCCTCCGAAGCAGCCCTGTTCTTCGACAAAGCAAGCAAAATGCAACCCCATGTCTGACCCTGAACAGCTTCAGGGTAGCTTCTCGCGGAGCACTAGTCCGACTTGGACAACCACTTCGTTAGCCTCTCCTTGACTGTCTCGAAACATTGACAACACGCCAGAACAGAAGGAGCCGTCAAGTGTCCCTCTTGGCCGTGCTTCCGCTGACGCGCGGGGCCTCTTTTCTTCTTTCGGGGCTTTTCGACCAAAAGCTGCATCGCTTCCGCAGAACTGATCGACCCTGTGCCCAAAGCTTTCGTGACTCTCGGTTTCTCGCATGCCAGAGGATTGCGAGGAACCCCAGCCAGGCCATTGAGCTGGAAGCGGGAGAAAGGGGGGTGACCTGGAAGAAGTCTAAATGAAGTAAGCGAGGGAGGAAAAGCAAACATATCATGGAAACACCAAGCCTAAGCCGACTTGGGCCTAACATCATGAGCTGATGAACGAACCATGTACTCGGCTAGTATCTGGGTTGAGCTTAAGCCCCGAAATCGCGTCAGAGGGCACCATGTATGCTCCCGCGAGAGAAAGGGCACTCCCAAAGCGAAAGGAGCATCAGACTGAACGAACCCAGTGAGCTTCCTTGCTGGCCCGCGCAGCCAGCAGCTGTCACCACGGGAAGTGGATGACGATGTTGATTCAAATGGAAACATCCCCAGGCCCGTCCCGTCTGTTGTCAAAAAGACGGAGCTAATGCAGGAAAAGCCCGCAATCACGTACGTCGTCCATCATGTCTGTTTCAACGCCATGATGACCGCTTAGTGATGATCAGCAAACACATGCTCAAGCTCGTGCTCCCCAATCCCTCACACCCACCCCCTCACATATCACATAGTCTCTACTGATCTTCCTCACAGCGTCTAGCGCGTGGGGTCTTGCCAGCCGTTTGTACGCTTATGCGGACGGATCAATGTCTCTGAAACATACATGCATACGTACATACCAGTAAAAACCGGCACGCAGGCAGCTACTCCCGCCATGTATATCATTAAAACTAGGATCTTCTTAAAAGGCGAGTGATGAGAACATGAGAGATGACGTGGATGGGTGCTTACGGGTGAGTTATGTTTAACTTGGCCCCATGTACAAGAGGGGCGGGGTCTCACAAACGATTTGCTTACAAAAGGCTGACAACGACTGCGAAAAGCAAATATGCCTTTCAAGTGTTTCCTGCTCCTTCGCCGTTTGGTGTCTCGGTCGAGAATGTGACCATCGGTTACGGGTTAAGGAGACAACATGGCGTGGAGTCTCGAAGGGGTCTGGAATGTGCAATGTCTCGCGTTGTCTGGCCGTTTCCTTGCCCTGACCAAGCCCATGATGTCTTGGACTTTGAATGTTTGAGACGAACCCATAGTTGACGAAGGCAACCGGATGCTATGGAGACCGTGTACCGGTTAGGGCAAGTAACTCGGGGGAGCTGAGGCTGCCGCTGGCAACTGTTGGCGTGTGAATCTATCGTATTGCATGCCGTGTCCAGAACTGCAAGATCGAGCATGCGGGACATCACACAGTCAGTACATATGCAAACGGAAACACGAGACATGCTTTGAAGATGGAGACTGTCTCGTCCTTGATAAAACTACACCTGCTACCCTGATGCAACTTGAACAAGTGGCCAACGAACACTCTACCCAACGCCGTAACAACGTCTGCAATGTAAATCACACCCAGCCGAGTCCGGCAACACCATTCCATCCCAATCCAACACCTCTGAAAACCATCTTCATAAGTGTGTAGTTCAAGAGTCCCGTCTGATCATCACCGGGACTCAGGATTGTTGTTGTGAATAAACACCCACAATTACCTCCATCGGAGTGTCCTCCAACTTTTTCGGTGCCGCCAGAACAAAGGAGAGTGATGCTAAAGAGAGTAATGACAACAGAAAAAGACAACACCCCATAAATGACCCGTGTGCATGCTTTGGTATCTTCGCCACCCAACGCTCGTGTTATGCCAATAGAAAAGAAATCATCTTAGACTCTGGCCATGGGCTTGCGTCGCACCAGGAACGGACTCGGCATCTCGTCACGCTCAGGATCCCACACCGCGGCAGGCTCGCCGCCACTGGCCCGACGCTCCGCGATACGGTCCTTGAACGTCCTCTTAGGGCTGATGTTCTCGCCGCCGGACATGACTGCAGAAAGGGGACGGCCGCCTGCTCGGGCTTGCTGAAGTTCGACCAGCGTTCTGCCCTTTATGTTGTTCTTAGCCGCCAGCTTGCCAAGGGGCTCCTGGTCCTTCTTGGTAGAGTTCTTGCGGGAAAGGCCGCCTGGAGATTCGCCGCCGCTTGCAGCTGTCAAGTTCGCCGCAGAAGGAATCTTACTCAATCGGCGGGTAGGTGACTGGCCCCGCTCGCGAAGGCCACGGCTCAGGTCGGGGTTTGAAGCCATGTTGGGCAGAGTGGGCAGTGTCTTGTTTTGGTTCAAGCCGGTCGCCGAGAACTGGGGTTTGACCCGAGAAATGGGAACCGACTTTTGAGAGGTCAGAACCGGGCGATCCTTGGATGTAAAGGGGTTCTGTCTTGACTTGATGTTACGCGTAGGCGAGGGAACAACGTCCTCGTCGTCGGAGTCAATGCTGATGGTGTCGCGATGAAGATCCCACATGGGATCGCTAGACGCGCCGGCGTTCTCGGAGAAAATGTTTCCGTTGTTAAGGTTCGGCACTCTGGTGGCGGCGGTGCGTCGAGGGGAAAGCGACAGAGAAGCAATGTTGATGGGCGAAGGAGATGCCATCTCGATGTCCATGGGAGTGCCCATACCACCAACAAACATGGTCTGGGCTCGGCTAAAGGGCGTGCGAGTAGCCTTCTTGCTCGTGAGAGGGCTGTCGGATGAGATATCGGTGAGGTCCGTCGAGGTCGAGAGCTCTTCGTCTCCGCTGCCGTTGCCCACTGAGGACCGCGGGTACTCGGACTTTGTTAAGGAACTGCCAAGGTCGTGTGCCTGAGCAGATTCAATGGCCATGCTGACGGCCTTCTTCTGTAGCTCTGCCTCGACACGAGACTGCACTTCGCTCTCGAATCTTTTACGGAGGGCTTCGATCTCCGAGTTGATTTGTCGGTCAATCTCGAGACGGGCCTTGACCTCCCATTCTCTCCGCAGCGAACTGTCGACTTCTTGTCTGACAGAAGCCTTGTCGGCCTCAAAGGCGGTGATCTTCTCCTCCAGCTCCTTCACTCGGCGCGCCAGGGAGTCTTCTTTGGTCTTGATGACCTTGTTGAGCTCTACAACCTCCCTCTCCTTTCGCATCAACCGGACAACCGGAAGGTTGAGAAGTTGCGCAGTGTCTGGGCGGTGATCTGGATTGACTCTCAGGCAGTCCTTGATAGTACCCATGAGCTCGCTTGAATAGCAACTGGGCAAAGGCGACACCTTGCCCTCCTTGATCTTCTGGACGAGCTGGAAGTGTGACTTGGCGTTGAAGGGGGGTTCGCGAGCGCAGAGCTCATAAATGATGCATCCCAAAGACCAGATGTCGGACTTGAGGGTGTATTTCTCGGCGGCACAGATTTCGGGCGACATGTAGAAGGGTGTGCCAACGTAGGTCGACGCGAAGTCGTGAGACTGGATCATCTTGGACAGACCGAAATCGCCAAGCTTGACAGAGTTGTCTTCTCCTAGGAAGACTGCCTTGTAGTTAGCAAACATGTTGTCGGTTGGTGGAGTGACGAAACGTACCATTTTCGGGCTTCAGGTCGCGATGCAGGATGGTCATGGTTCCGGGCGGCGTCTTGGGCTTGGAAGCTGTGCTGAATAGGCCCAGGACGTTGCTGCCAACCTCGGGAGGGTCGATGCCATAGTGGCATCTGTAGAGCGCAGTAACCAGCTGCGAGAAAATGCTCCACACGAATGACTCTTGCGCGCGCTGTCCTTTGACGGCCAGATCTCTGATGACGCGGCCCAGGTCGCCATTGCCGCAATACTCCATGTAGAGGTGGAGGTCTTGGGTCGACTTGAGGTGCTCGCGATGGTAGTAGCCGACGATGTTTTGATGGCGGAGGGTTGAGAGAATCTGGAACTCGGCATGGAGCTGCTCGCGCTCCTTTTGCGACATCTTGAGGTAACTGATTTCCTTCCGACACATGACGAGGCCATCGACCTTTCTCCGAACCTTGCGGATTACTCCAAAGGAGCCATGGCCTGTTTCATCGCATCTGTCAGTTGTGAATTCTTTGGGGGAATTGAATTGCACGACGAGGGAAAAGGTCGTGAACGTGTGTGCGTACCGATTTTTTCCAGCACCTCATACTTGTCCGCCTCTGAAGTCATCTTGGATACAACGCGCAGTGAATTTGATTAGAGGGAATCTTTGTTTGTATCCATAGAAGTTGAGAGGCAGTTGGAGGCGGCGTCGTGAGCCTGCTGTTGTTAGTATCGGAGCTGTTGGTGGTGGTTGACCGGGAAAGGTGCACTGCGAGTCAAAGCTGGTGAACGATGGTTGCATGGGCACTAACAAGATCGAGCTCGGTAAACAACCGGGGTGCGATGCCATGGCAACGACGCTAGTGTCGGAGCTGAGATGTTCCTTTCCTGCGCAAGGGGGATCCACTGTTCTGGCCAAATTCAGATAGCTCTTATCGATAAGAGTGCCGAGGGGTTGATGGTGGGGCACCGATGATGTGCAAGAGGCCGTCACGTAAGGGAAGTCTCAAGTGGCCCGTGCGGGGGCGATTCATGAGCATGGAGTTATCGGACTTGACGCTCCCAGGCTCCTAACTTCCTTTCCTTGATGTGCCAAGATCTAAAGGCAATCCTGGGAAGCCTCGCCTCTTTGATGCCTTTGCTCCCTTAGTTTTGTTCTGCTGGGATATTGGCTGTAGACGCTTCTGGATCGTTCTTCCAGGCAAGCCTTCACGATGGTGCTTCGGAAAGACGAACTCGAAATACAGCTCAAAAACGAGAATGAATTGATCAAAAATGGCGTACTGAGAGAGGATAACCCCTTGGACCAGTCTGTTGAGTTTGAAGCCTTTTTGCTGGCTTGCAGGAGGGGTGACCTGAAGACGTGTCAAGAGCTAATCTCGGCGGGTGTGAACATCAACGGCAAGGACCGCTTTGACTACACCCCCCTGATTATTGTAAGTCTCCTAGAAGGACATGGCTGGGATGTCACTAATCAGGGGTGTTAAGGCCAGTCTATGTGGCCATTTGGAACTCGTACAGCTACTCCTGGAGTCCGGTGAGTATCGCCACGCTTCAATGTGAGTGTCGCTGACTGGACCGAACCAGGCGCTCTTGCTGAGAGGAACACGTTCCAAGGAGAGCGATGCATCTACAACGCCCTCAATGACAGGATACGGAATCTTCTTTTGGAGTATGACTACTCAAAATCGACGGATCCCTTGCAACCATGGGCAGGGCATATCACCAGTCTCCTCTCAAAGTACGTCCCGAAGACGACGGACATCAGCTTGATTGCGGCTGCGCAATCCTTCGATTTGCACAAGTTCCTCCTCGCGGCACGGACACCATACTTCAGGAAGAAACTATCTGATGCACCCGAAACCACGACATGGAAGCTCCCGACCACTCTCCCGTTGGAGTCCTTCCAGGTCGCCCTCCGCTATCTCTACCTTGGCGAAGTACCAAGAGACGTGGTCAACCCCCGGAGCACCGTCACGGAAGAGGAGGTTCTCACCGGTGTCGATAAGCTGAGCAAACATCTCGAGATCGAGCAGCTCTGGGAGGCGATTCTCGCCGGCAACGACCGCCGTCTCGCGCGTCAGAGGTACGAGGACGAGGTGAAGCGCGCGCAGGGCCAGGTCGAGCGGTTCTACCGTGAAAAGGTCTTGGGTCACAAGATGGTAGTGGAGACGAAGAGGGTAGGTGACGTGAAGTGGCGGCATGACAACTCGATATTCGCCGACTGCCTTCTCTGCGCGCACGAGCCTGAGAGCGACGAGACAGAGAATGACACAGAAGACGGCGACGATGTCGTTCATCTCAACGGGATCCCACTCGGCCCGACTACCAACGGCGATAAGCCAAAGCGAAAGCCTAGGAAGTCAGTGGTGTATCCCGTGCACAAGGCGATGCTCATTCGCAGCCCGTATTTCGAAACTATGTTCTCCAGCGAGTTCAAGGAGGCGCAAAACTCAGAACACCTCCATGTTGTCACGGTGGATTGTATGCCTGATGTCCTCGAGATTGTTCTCACCTATCTGTATACCGAAAAGGTCGACTGTCCCCTGGAGCTTGCCCTGGACCTGCTGTACACGGCCGACATTCTCTTCCTCGACAAGCTCAAGACCAAGGCGGCGCAGGCCATCAGCACCCTGGGAAGCGGCAACAACAACGTATGGGCCGATCGCACCCACGCCTCGGCGGAGCGGGAGGACCAGCTCGAGATGGAACCTATCAACATCTACGACGTGATCCATGCGGCCTGGGACTTGAGGGTGCAGCGCCTAGAAGAGTTTGCAGCGCGGTACCTTGCCGATCGGCTGGAGGACTACATTGACGAGCCCGAGTTTGCGGAGCTCATCAAGGAGAGTGCGGAGAGACTCAAGAACCGCCAGGAGACGGATACCATTGAGTTGCTGGACGATATCCGGTATTACCTAGGCGAGCGTTTCCGCTTGCGCTTCGAGGACGCCAACCTGGATGAGATGATGGACGAGGAGGGTGAAATCAACGCCGCCATGACGGAGACTATCGCCGCACAGAGCGAGCAGCAGGTCGACGAAAAAGATGACCTCGTTGCTACTCCCAAGGAAGTGTCACCTGCTGTGGACTCTGCGAAGGATGGCGAAGGCGATGAAGGCGTCAAAACCCTGGGCGGTGAGGTGGCCGAGGACGAGTTCGCGTCAGATGCGATCAACTACCAGATATTACTTGGCAAGATCGACACGATGCTGGATCGCTTGAAACTGGACGCGTAGACGTTTTACTAGATGCCCTAGAACTAGACAAGACTACTGCCCATGTTGGCAAGACTTATCCCGTGTGTGCGTGAAATTGATGGCAAAAAAAGAAGAGAAAAACCCAGCCCCAAGAGTCAGCCGCGTCTCATTATTGAGCCAAGGTTCCGTTCGGGTTTTCAGGCTTCGAAGCCATGTGAGAGGTATTTGAGTACCAAGGCCGGAATTCAGGGTCTTGACGAGGATGAACGTGTAAGCCAGAAAAGTAAATGAACTACCCGAGGAAATTGGCAAGGTCGCGAAACTGGAACGTGGCACAGGCTTTCAATCCTCCACCCAGACAATGATTAATCACATGCGTATTCCCTTATTCTTTTTTTCTATGTCCGCTCTGGCGGACAGCCAGCATCAACCCCTGGTATAGCAATCGCATCAAAAACCCATCCCGAATCGCCGACCAGCCCCCTTACGACTGCGCAACGACTTCGTCAAAGCTCTTACCCACCAGCTTCAAAAACACATCCTTGTACTTCTCCGCCGTGGCCTTGCACACCTCCTCGGGCAGGGTGACGCCTTCCTTGCCCTTGAGGCCCTGCTCTATCAGCCAGTTGCGGATGAACTGCTTGTCGAAGCTCTCCTGGTCGCGGCCGACCTCGTACTTGTCGGCGGGCCAGTACCGGCTGCTGTCGGGGGTCAGGACCTCGTCCACCAGCACGATCTCGTCCGTGTCGGGGTCGACGCCGAACTCGAACTTTGTGTCGGCCAGGATGATGCCGCGGTCCTTGGCGTAGTCCCGCGCGGCGCTGTACAGCTGGAGGGACAGCGCCTCGACGCGCTTGGCGTACTTCTCGCCGACGAGCTTGACGGCCTCGTCCGGGTGGATGTTCTCGTCGTGCTCACCCTGCTCGGCCTTTGTGCTGGGCGTGTAGAGGGGCGTCTCAAAGGCCTGGGACTGCTGCATGCCGGCCGGCACCTTGATGCCGTGGACGGTGCCCTTGGCCTTGTACTCGTTCCAGGCCGAGCCGGTGATGTAGCCGCGGACTGCGGGCATGTTAACCGTGGGTGCTGGGGTGGGGGGTTTGGGAGTGAGATGGCGATACGTACCGATGGCTTCCAGGGGAACGACCTTGAGGCGACGGACCTGCATGGCGCGGTTCTTGATGAGGGCGGCATCGGCGGCGGGCAGGCCGGCCGGGGGGTCGAGGGTGATGAAGTGGGTCTTGAGGCCGGGGACTCGGTCCGAGAGGACCTTGAACCAGTGGGCCTACAATTCAGTTGCTTTAGCAAAAAAACAAAAACTGTTGTCATGTGTGACCCGGTGATGATGGGCGGCCGGGCGTGAGTTTCTTACGGAAGCGTGGGTGAGAATGGCGCCCTTGTCGGGGATACCGTTCTTCATGACGACATCAAAGGCCGATACGCGGTCGGAAGCGACAAAGAGCAGAGTCTTGTCATCGACCTCGAAGACATCGCGGACCTTGCCCTGGCCGATCTTCTTGAGGCCGGTGAGGTCGACGGAGGTGACACGGTCGGTGGCCATTGTGTGAGAGTGTGTGTAGAGCGTTGAGCGTGTGTATGAGTGGGGTGGAGGGGTAAATTGGTTTTTTGGAGGGGTTCCGATGGAGGGGCAGAGACCAAGACTATGTGGTCGGTCGTCCAAGTGAGAACGGAGGGCTCGGGGGGGAAGCGTTGTCTAAGATGGCGCTTGGGAGCGATATAATGCAAAGGCCCGGTGTTACCTTTACTGAATGGCAGGAGAGGATGAGTCAAGGTGAAGCCGAGTTCGGGAGGAAATAGTGGAAGGTGAAGTGAAAAGCCGCACCGTTTCGGCGCGGGTGACGAAAAGCGCATGAAAAAAATTTCCCCTTCGGGTGCAGCCGCTCCACTGGTACCCGTTGACGGCTCGAACTCTACCACAACGTCTCCGGCTTCAGACGACGACCTGAATCATGACTGGGAGTCACAGCGGGACGGACCCAGGTCTACAGCCACCTCAAGTTTGAACGGAACAATACTATTAGGACTATATGACGAAGTCCCTGCGATCGGACAGGATGCTTTCCAAAACTCCTTGCAATGCGGATACCTGCTGAAGAACCAACATCTCTGGCGCACCAAAGTAGATTATCGATGAAAGTCAACCCACCAGAAGCATTACGCCCGCAATGGCGAACACAGACATTACCAACATAACTATGGATCCATCGGACCGCGAAGACATCGCACCTTGATGAGACGCAGCATTCGCCGACTCGCTCGGGGTAGGCGTCACAGGGGCCGTCGTAATCGTATCCAGACGAGTAACGCTCTCGCCGGCTGTCCGTGTCGGAGCTGGTGTTGTGGTCTGGCTTGCCACGCCCGTAACAGTTGGCAAGACAGTCCCGTTGGCGCGGAGCTCAATGATATTGGACCGGCTCGAGTTAAGATTCGACTGTGCGATGCCAACTTGCCGGTTGGTTTCGTCGTATACCACGTACGCGCTCCGCAAAAAGGTGTCGCCCAGGATGGCGAACTTGTCGCTCGTCACATCGAAGACGGCGTTATTCTGGATCCCGAACATGCAGGGTTTGTCAAAGGGGGTGAGGCCTTCGAGCTGGTCCATGATGGGATTGAGGTTATCCAGGACCATCTCCTCCAATGCGACTCGGATCTTGACGCCAGTAAGCTCGAAGTCGATGTAGTGGCCTTCGCCCATGGCTCCTCCCCATTTGCAGTCGATGAACCCATATCCTGCATCAATGACGCCATATTTCGCCCAGATGGATTTGGTGAGATTTTCTGGCAGCAGACACACGGTGGAGCCGGAATCGAGAACAGCCGCGGCATTGAAGGAATCTGCAGCCATTTCCACTGCTTTCCCGTCAGGGGTTTCGATCGCAAGTCCGGTCAGAGCTACGCTGTAGCTAGTGATGTTGCCCGAGTGGTAGTCTTTGACGAGCGGAAGCGTGGTGAGCTTTCCAATGTACTTTTCCGTGTCGACGCCTCCAAAAAGCACAGTGCCTTCGGACGCCGATAGGTCATTCTGTAATGTACGATTAGTGAGGATCCTGCTGGTACGGGCAAGGCTGGTATCCATACTAGCCAAATGCTGTAGGCTTTCCGGCCTATCTGGCCTTGCGTGACCATGTTGTCGAGGATTGTGGGATATTGACGCCGCGTTGCCACATTCTCGGAGAAACCCAAGCCCATCAAGCCCGAACTCTTGACGGTCTGAATAGCCAATCCCATCTGCTGGTCCTTGATTGTTTTCCCATCGAAGCTGATAACATCCTGGATGTAGTCTCCCTGGATATTCTTTCCGTCCAGGTACGTGATGTCAAACCCATTAGTACTCACGAGCTTATAAGTGGAACTCTCGCTCGAGTTGAAAGTCGCGGTGCAGCCCGTCTGATACTGGCGCTGCAAAGAACGGCTGTTACATAAGTCGGCCTGCTTGTCGACGACCCACGTATCGCTGCTGCCCGTGTCGATATGCATCAGCGCCTTCTGGCCCGGTGTGCCCACTTTCACCTCAGAATAGTAGCCGCCGCCGGTGATGTTATTGAGGGCCGCGAGGTCGAGGGTCTCGCGGCGCGTGATCTGCACCAGGTCCAGGGGGAACTGGACTCGGTGGAAGCTGGCCGAGACGACTTTTTGTGAGGCGCCCCCTTCCACCAGCGCCAGGAGGGCGAACGTCGCGAACAACTTCATCACAGACAACAGTCAGTGCCTCTTGGTCACGACCTGATGTTTGCCGCTATGTGATGTTTGGGTAGCTGGTCCCTGTAGCTACTCCACCCCCGCAGGAAGCTCGTGATGCGGAGAAGCTCACAGTTGGAGACGCAGAAACCCGCATACAAGACCGCTTCAACAGCAGTGGGTAGCACATGAACCGCGGAAGTTCAACGTGGAAGAAGAAAGCAAGGGCGCCGTATCGCCCAGACATCAGGGTCGGGATCGCACGTCTTTTCTGTCTTCACAACACCTGACTTGCATTTCAGCCGTAATTATGGGGTAGCGTCCCGTCCTTGGCGCCCAGCAGTCCTATTTGGACCGTTGAAGCTAGCCTGCCGAAATGGTTGCGCCACTTGAAAGGGCCTCTTTGCCGACATTGGAGACAATGTTGACGGTGTCAGCCCCGAGATGGTTAGCGAAGGCACGACACATTCATGCGGTACCTCAAGCTTCTCTTGGCCGTGGGCGCACCTAACAAGTGACAATCGGCTTGAATTTGGCAGTGCTCGTTCGAGATGCCGAGCCGGGCATACTCGGTACCGCTTTAACAAAGGGAGGGAAAGCGAACATCATGATGGACAATGAGATGCAAGTGATGTCACTTCAGCACAAGGCATTTCGAATGCTGGCCAAATCTCAGGGGCTGCATTATTTGCCTATTGCAAAGTTGCAAGGGAGGAGGAATAGACATTGGGGAACGAAGGGCAAATAGCTGTCAATGGAGCTTACTGCCTTGGCGCTGGTAGTATGCTAGTTAAATGTCCCATCCCAGAATGTCAATGCCATTCCTAACCCTTGCGGTTCGTGTTGTGACAGGTCCAACCCTGGCGTTGTTTTTCCCAATCTGGATATTACAGCATTTTCAACCATCTACATGTTATCGTGATGGTAAGGATTGTAGAGGAATGAGGCGTAGATTGGCAACACGCAATCTTCGGATCGATTTCAACATTTGTGTTGATACTACATGATACCGGGGTTCAGCCATCTAACTCTGGTCTGCTTGAACCCGACGTTCCCAGCGTCGTATGACTTGTAGGCGAACCAAGATTTGGCAGGCCCAAGCGATTTTAGTACCTCATTCTTGTCTCGTCTTGAGCCAGCACTTCCCAGGATACCGGAACTCGGCGCCTGCCCATTTCCTGATCCCCATCTGCACATTGCACGAAGCTCGGTCTGTTGACACAGACCGGGCTTCGAGGTCTTTCAACGTAGATTTGGCCTTGCCAAACTGCTTGGGGCAGTCTCCAGCAGACCTCGTCGATGACAACGATAGTAGAGTCGCAATTGGTAACCCGTTCAAGAATGCACCCACATACTGACTCAAATGAACCATACCAGAGCCTCCTCTCTAGCGTGTTAGTATGTGATTCAAGACCGACAGTTGATTAGAATGGGCGAACCATTTGGATTCTTTGTACCTAAGAAGGAATATTCTTTGTACCTAAGAAGGAATCGATATTATGTCTGAGGCTGTTCTCCCGCCTTCTTGTCCGTGTCGGCCACTTTCTGCCCCGCGATGCCATCTCGGTTCGCTCTCCACACACCGTCTTCGCCGTGAAACTCCTCCCGCTTCCAAACCTCGACTTTAGCTTTGCACTCTTCCAAGGCCTCTTCACCAGCCCTCCAAGCTGCTTGCCTGTGCGGTGATGAGACGGCAATCAGAATGCTCTCCTCTCCAATAGGTACTGTGCCGAGACGGTGGATCATGGCAACTCCCTTCAGGCCGTGCTTCTCGAGGATGCTCTTGGCAATGGAGAGCATCGTGCGCAGGGCGAGTGGGGTGTACGCGCTGTACTGCAGCTCTTTGACGGGTTTGTCGCCAAAGCTATCGCGCGTTGTGCCGGAGAAGAGGACGATGGCTCCGGCCTGTGGTGAGCGGACTCGGTTCATGATGGACGCGGCGTCGAGGAGATCATAGGTGAGAGCAACGTAGCAGGCGCCCTCTGAGGACTCCCATGGCCCGCGGTCTTGTGATTCCATTGCGTGGTCTGGCTTGGTGGGCTGAATGTAGGTGATGCTGAAAGTATGTTTCCTTCCTGCGAATAGTGACTTGACGATTGTGTCACTGGTTCGACAACGAGGGTCCGCTGCCCGCTAAGAACAGAACTGCGGGGTTCGAGGTTCAGTAAGGCCTACAAAGTGTGCTTCTGACAAGTACCTGGAAGCACAAGAGAGTGATCACAGCTATGGATACTTTCGAACTGCATTCCTCAAGTAATTCAATGCTTGATCAGCTAACCCGACTTCACTCAGCTGCTGTTACTAAGTCCATCCCTCCATCCGCTTGCTTGGCTTGTGTTACTCCAGAAAGACTGAGTAATGGCGGAGGGAGATACCTACATGTCTGAAAAGGTAGGTGCAGGGGCACAGACCAGTCGCTATCGCCAACCTGACTGAATCGGCGGCCCTGCGTGACTAAGCAAAGGAGATAAGGTAAGGCGACATGGCGGCACACGGCAGCCTGCCCGGCGAGCCCAGCAAGTGGATCGTCCCTTCTTCAACCTCACCCTCCGGCAAACTGAGGCCGGCCATCCTTGTTCCACCAATACCGAATTGAAGCAAAAGGCACGGTCACGCCGCTTGCCTCTGGAGGTCAGCGCCGCGCGCCTCGCCTCGTTTCTTTTCCTGTCTTGGTTCTTACCGAAACGAACAAAAACTCTACCCGTATTCCATACGAAATCCGCGCACCTACACACCCCTTCCTGCGATCCGCGATCATGTACGAGGACACCCATCGTGTGACGGAGAGGGGACCTTACGATCGACGAAGATCCCCTCCGCGAGATCACAACCAGCATCATTCACACAACGACACCTATCGGACGCGGCAGGGTAAAGAGACTAAGCTGAGCCTGCGGAGGACATGACCATCTGCAGAACGTCTGGCTGGTTTGAGCTTCTGCTAACTTCCCCACGGGACGACGAGACGCCTCTAGGTCTCCCCCCAGGAACAACCTCGAGCTGTCCTACGACGACGACAACTACGCCGCCGAGGACACCCGCCATCGTGACGCCGATCGCGGTCGGGATCGCGACTGGGATCGTGACAGGGCAGAGTACCGCGCCAGAGACTACGACCGCTACTATCATGGACCGGCGCGTGAGGCCTACCAGCCACGTTCTGGATCGAGAGATCAAGGCGGTAGTGGGGATGACTATATGGATCGCCGTGATGAAGACCCTCAGGTACTTCACCCACATGACGGCGACGACCGCGGATCACGTCGTTACGATCGAGGTGGCCGGGGCTACCCTCGCTCTTACTACGACGATGGCTCTCGCCGCGATGATGCCCGACGTGGTCCTGACGAGGATCTTCGTCATTTTTCCGCCTCTCCAGGTGACAGCCCAGGTCGTCATCCTCGTCGCGATCGTTCTGCATCGCCTCTTCGACAAGCTGGTGCTCCAAGTGATACTGTGATTCTCGAAGGCCTGCCAACTGGCCTGTCTTTGGAGGATGTGCGAGATTGTCTTCTTAAACAAGCCGGCCTCTCGCAATACCCAGCAGTCGACATCCGCGTTCCGTCGGGACGAGGTAAGGCGTCCAAAGTAAATCCGGACCGCAGTTGCTTATACCTACGTTAGGCCAACGTCGTGCGTTCGTGCAGTTCGAAAACGTCGAAAACGCCATAGAGTTTGTCAAAGAGAACTACCCTAAGCTGGTGCTTGACTTTGCCGGCTTGGTGGACGGCGACGCCGATGGAATGACCTCCATCTACATCCATTACGCAAGGAACCGCGATGACGCCGAGCGAGACAGTCGTGCTGGGCTCGCACCCAACTGGAACTGTCCGACGTGCGACTTTTCAAACTTCGCGACAAGGAGTCGCTGCAAAAACTGTGGTGGCCCGCCTACAGGTATGTCTTTTGAGCATTCGTCGTTGCATGTTACAGAAGTCATGCTGACCTCACCAGACCCATCGCAGTACCGGCATCTATTGACGGGCGAAAGCGATGCGGCCGATACCCCCTCGCAGATCCTGGTGTTCTTCCCTTTGGCACCCTCAGTCAACGAGGACGTGTTCTCGGCGGGTGCCGGAAAGCTCCAACTGGTGCAGAAGCCTGCAGCATCAAGGGGCTCTGGCGACCAGCCGAAGCTCAAGTCTACCGCGCCGACTGGCGACGCATCTGGCTATGGTGCAAGGCCAGGCTCGCTACATCGCACCTTTCTAATGCGAGACCAAGACACAAACGAATCATTTAATTTTGGCTTTGCTGAATTCTGGACCGTGGAGGACGCTTTGGCAGCGATGCAAAAGTTCAAGATGATGCGCGAGTTCACTATTGCCTCGAAGCCCGTGACGGTCTCGACCATTCATCTTGGCGTCTTTGTGCCAGAACTCCGGGAGGTCACTCGCGCTATCGAGCGTGTCTCATTTAACCCGCTGTTCAACCCGACCCTCCGCGTCAAATACTGGGAGCCGCATGTCTACCCTAGTCAGAGGGTGATCACCGAAGCACCACCCGGTGGTACCTCCGCGGACGGAAGCAAGACTGACGCGAACGATGAATCCAAGAAGAGCAAGAAACGCAAGGCAGATGGAAATCTGCCCTCTTCATCAACCAAGAAGTCCGTACCGATGGCTGGCCAAATGGCGTTCTGGCAGAGGCGGCATGATGAGATCCATGAAGGCAAGCGAGCCGCGGATGCGGCCACCGGTAACGACAACGGTGCCGACCAGCGTCAGTCCGAAGAGCGCGCACCGGTCAAGATTTCGCTGTCCGGCTCAAACGCAATTTCTACCGGCCCAATCAAAATCTCGCTGACGGGTGCGAGCCTATCGAGATCCCCGGCACCAACAGCGACGCCACCCAGCGAGGTTGCAATGCAATCCGGAGGCCCGACATCCGTACCCGCAACAACGACTGGCGGTGGAACTCCAGACTCGGCCTCCACGGCGGAAGCAACGGTATCGTACGTCGACCGCGAAAAGATCTGCTGCCTGATCTGTATGATGAAATACAAGACCTTGGATGACCTCAACACGCACGAGAAATCGAGGAACCACAAGAACGCCATGGCAGACGAGGACAAGGTCAAGGCCGCCAAGCCGCGACTGGCCGCTCGAGACAAGAGGATGGCGGCGGCGAAGCAGGCGGAAGAGCAGCCGAAGAACGAGGAATCGGGACCCCAGTACCGAGACCGAGCCAAGGAGCGGAGAGAGGTCTTCAACCAGCCTGCGAAACCCAAGGTTCCCGTGCAGAGCGGCAAGCCCGCACGCAAAGACGACAAGCCAGCCGCGCGCCCGCCCGCCGAGAAGACGCCGCCCCCGGCCCCGGCTCAGTCCAAGGGCGCGGGGATGCTGGCGAAGATGGGGTGGAGCACGGGTCAGGGTCTCGGCGCCAAGGGCGACGGACGCACCGAGGTGATTGCGACGCATGCGTATCAGGAAGGCGTCGGTCTCGGCGCGGAGGGGGCAACCTCGGCGACGCGGCGGAGCTGGCGCAGCGCAAGACGAAGAACAGCTATGCCGAGTACGTCAACACGGTGCAGGACAGGGCCAGGGAGCGGTACAACAAGTTGGGTTGAGCCCGTCCGCGGCAACCACGTCGGGTGGGGGAGGATTCAGGCCAGAACAGCGGGTTTTACATGGAGCGAACAATGGAAATGGTCACAGTACGAACGTAAACATGTACATAACCCTCCGTCACGTCGACGGCGATATAATACACACATGCCTTTTTGCAACAACGTCTCACATCTCATGTCCCTGCCGTGCTTTGAAACTTTGTTATGTATTTGGGACAAGATGAACAAACCGGGAGGGGGGACCCGGATGGGGGGGGGGGGTCTCATGTTATATGCCTAGGCTACTTAGAAATCCACAACCTTGAGCCGGCTCTGCACGTCCTCGGGCAGGTCCTCCTTCCTGACGATGCCCATGGTGACGCAGTCGCCGAGGAAGAAGAAGGCGCGCTCCTGGGCGTAGCTCAGGTAGTCGTACTCGTCGCCCTCGTCCTCGGCGTCGGCGGCGGCCTGGACCTCGGCCTTTGCGTCGGCGTCACCCAGGGCGGCGGCGGCCTCGTTCTGCGCCTGCTTCTCCTGCTGCTCAATCTCCTCCTGGGACTCGAAGCCGGGCACTTTGGCCTGGATGATGCCCCAGGCGACCCACTGCGCGCTGTTGATGCCGCGCCACAGGCGCGTCTCCTCGTACAGCTCCTTGACCTCGGCCTCGGTCGCCTCCTCGGCGCGGCGCTCCTCCTCCTTCCAGTGGTTCGGCGGCACGCGTGCGTCGAGCATGAACTCGACAATGGAGCTCGAGGAGCTGGTCGGGAGGAGGGCCGGGGTGGTGCTGCCGGCGGGGGCGTCGGCGGGGGCGAGGCGCGGGGTGGAGGCGCCGCCGTGGGTGAACTGCGGGCGGTGCTCGACGTAGGCCTTGAGGAAGCGGCGCTGCTCCTGGATAGTCGGGTAGCGCGCCGTGTTGCAGCGGAAGGGCAACGTCTCGTGGTGGTAGTCGTAGGCCCACTCGGTGAAGTGGTTGGCGAACTCGAGGCCGGGCACGTTGGCCGCCGCGTACTCGAAGTCGATGACGACGAGCTGCTTGTGCTCGTTGGCGGGCTGCAGCAGGGGCGACTTTTCGTCGTCTGGGCGCATGCGCAGGATGTTGCCGTATTGGGTCTGCACATCTGTCAGTCGCTTTCTTGTGCCTACACATACATAACACGGGGGGGATTGTTGCACTTACGTCGTTGTGGGCGAAGACGAGACGCTCGCGGATTCCTTGGTGGCCCTTGTAGGCGTTGAACACTAGCTCGCGGTACTTGTCGTAGAATTCCTTGAACTGATGCCACTCCACACCACAGACGTAACCGGAGCCTCGGAACACGCTGTTGCCCCTTCGCACACCCTCGTCGAGGGCCGCAATCTTCTTCTCGACGTTGCGCAGCCAGTTGTCCCAGTTCTTCAACACGGCGGGGCCTTCGTCCTTTTCACGTTCCAAGACGTCGATTCCCACGTGCAACTCACGCATGCGCTTGGCAATCTGCCTGGAGGTCTCGGGCTCGCGCAGGTCGCTGGGGGTAAGGGTGATGGAGTTGAAGTACTCCTCGAAGCGGCCGTTGGTGAAGCACCCCAGGAGTCTGGGGCCGATCTTCTTGCGCGCCAGTCGTCGGAGCACGTTGAGCTCGTTTTCACGGTCGATGAGATGCTCGAGACCGTAAATGCGCAGGAGGAGCTTTGGCGGGGGCTTCTTGCCGGACGTCTTTCCCTCGAGGTCGTCCGGGGGAGACACGACGTATACGGCGTTGGTCAGGGCTCCGCTGAGACGCTGCACTATGACGTTGTTGCCGCTATCCAAGGGGACCCGTCTCCATCCCTTGATCTTGAGGGTATGGGTCAGGCGCACGATCTCATTCTTGAACGTCGCCCAGGCCTTTTCCTTGTCGTCTGCCTTGTTGCCGAGGGTCAAGTCATCGGTGCTCTTGCCGCCGCCGCTGTAGCTGAGCGTCTTGGAGTTGTCGAGGACGGCATCGCAGGTGGGCACGACAACGTCGTCGCCAACGTAGTCGGTGTCGGAGCTCGCCGTCCTCTGAAGCAAGCTGCGCGAATGCGTCTTTCTGAGGCGGGCAGAAGGGCGTCTGCTGATCTTGGGGCTCATCTGAGGAACCGAGTTGATGCCCATAGATGCCATGCTATCCTCAATGATTTTCTGCAGCCTGTCGAACGAAACGTCGCTAGAGTCAGAATCGAGGGAGTCGGAACGAGAACGAGGTGCCGCCGGCTCTGCTGCTGCTGCTGCTGCTGCTGCTTCGGGGGCCGGCGATCGCTCCTTCTTGACCTTGGACTGCGGCGAGCGGCGACGAGGTGACGTCTTGCTCTTGCGAGCGGCCTTCTTCTTGCGCTCATGCTCCAGCCAGTCGTGGATCTGAGCGAGCAGCTTCTGGCTCTCGTAGTAGTGCTTCTGGCCATGGCGATGATGATGATGCTGCTGGGCGCCTGCGGCTGACGCTGAAGAGTCCTCGGCAGACGACTGAGGGTTCGAGGGCCCCAGGACTGGGGAGGAACGAGGCGACACGGAGCTCGTGAGGCCCATGCGGCCGCTCAGTCTCTTGGCCATGTTGGCGGCGTACTGCCTCTTGTGATGAGCCTGGTGTTCAGCAGGTGGTGCGTTGGGCGGCGGGGCGGTCTCAGCCTCAGGCTCGGCGATTTGGACGACTGCGACAGGGTTAGCAAAGGCGTGGACTTTCCAAAGTCTTGTTAAGCCCAGCGACGATACCGGTCCATCAAGTCGTGACTGTGGTATGTGGGATGAAAAGATTGGGCGAGGCGTCACTGTGCGACCAGGGGCAAGACATGCGAGCGAGTGGCCACCGCGGCTCGACTGCCATCGATGCGATCCCGTCATTCAGTTTCCGAGAAGAGGATCACACCATACCACTTGATGAGGGTGCCGGGCCTGCAGACTCGAGGTTAAGATGGGCAAGCCAAACGTGAGGACTGACCTTTGCTAGGGGCGGTGGAGGACGACGACCTGTCGTTGTCGTCGTCGGTCTTCATGGCTGACCGTAGAGGTTGACCGTTGAGCTGGGGCGACGAGGACGACATTGCGGCAACGGGAACGAGGGAAGGCGCGCGCAGAGTTTATGAGCGAGATAAAGTGTGCAGTGATATTACTCGGTGAAAATATCAGACGAGATGGCTTAGCCCTGAGGAGACCGAGAGTGGTCGTCGGTGAAGAATCGGGCGCGTGCTTCCTTGCAGTGAGGTATGAGAAGTGACAGATTGCGGTCGCGACTCGGGGGGGGGGGGGGGGGGCCAGCAGATTCCGACGATAGAAAGTCTTATCGGGGCACAGAGGGACAGACACACGCTGAGGGGCTGTCGTGGGGCAGGACGCCAGCACGGGTACAGACCCCAACTTCTTTGTGAGGGGCGATGGGGTGGGTATAGGTATTCCTTAGGCCAGGCACTTGTTGGAGAGAGAGGAGGGTTTTACAGGTGTCTTGTGAAGAGAAGGGGACGAGGGACAGCGAGAAGTACGTGCGGGAGCCGAGGAACTGGCGCGGTCGTGATGATGATGATGACGATGGAGGGACCGTTCAGATAAAGGCAGGGTTAGGTTTTTTGTTAAATTGCAAAAGCTGCAAAAGGGAAACTTGTCGTGTGGTGCGAGAGAGAAAAGGGTAAGGTAGGATTTTCCCAAAGACCCAAGGGAGCAGCAACAAGCGCGAGCAACCATGCAATACCTAGGTAGTACCAGAGTCCAGCCTGCGGGCTACCGTACTTTGGGGGTGCTGCCGCAGCAGCATGGCATGGCAGGGCATGACATGGGCAGGGAGGCTTGAACCCGAGACCCGCCATCTGCTGTCCGTCCATAGTGTCCCGTGGGCCGTTGGACCGTTTCGTTGACCGAGCCGTGGGGAACTGCACTATGTACGGAGCACAGAAGGACCGCACCGCGCATCCTGCACCGCACGGAAGGCGGTGGAGTTCACAGGTTGGCCTGGTCAGGTGCATCCTCTCTCTCTTCCTCGCGAGCCCAACTTTTGGATCCCCTGAGCTTTTAGGGGCCCCCCTCGGCCCCACGAAAGACAACCGCAGAAATTCCACCGACTTCCAGAGAAACAGTTGCACATGTCAAGTCCGAACTCGAGCAAGGGTCGCGACCGTCGTTTTCACGCTACCATTTGGGTACATGGTACACCACCTACGCCCCAACCCATGCTCCATCGGCGCCGTAGCCGTGTTTCCCCCTCCCCGAAATCCCACAATCCCACGATCGCATGCAAAACTGGAAAGTCATCCAGTTCCAGGTGACCAACGCCCGTCCAGCTCAGCCCGGAAGGAAACCGGGAAACTGGGAGGGCGACCGCCACGCAACACAAACGCAACACAATCGTAACCCGCAGCGTTCTGTGGTAGTTTGGGCATGTCTCCCACCCAAATGTGACGTCAAGGGACCCTGCCGTCCAGTCGGGAGCTCCCGACCCTGGCTTTGGCATCTTGGGGGCACTTGCATGTGACGTATGTACACGGCGGCAAACACGTTTCTGTCAGAACCAAGCCAAGATGGCTAACCAACCAACTAGGCACGCAAACCTGCCATCCTAAATAAACGTCTAAATTTCGTCCTACCGCGGCAGCCTACCGGTACTATGTCTTCGTCTCAATGTCCAATCGCGAGCCTTCCCTTGGGTTCGTGTCTAGTTCGCCCCAATCTGGCTCGTCACTTGTGGCACAGCGGCGCCGCATTGACAAACCCAGCCACTCAACCATGACAGCTACCAGTTGCAGCTCGTCGGATGATATGTCTTCTGGAATTATATGCTATGCCGACGCTGGCCTGGCTAAACCTTGGCCGGGCGTCCCTCTCTCTCCAGCGCCCACTCGACCGCCGCCTTGACATCATCCACAATCATCTTGGGCGCATGCGTAGGCGGCCCCCTTTCCTTCTTCCAGACCCCCGTCTTGACCAGCACCGACGCCCACTCCGTCTCGTCGTTGCTGTAGTCGTTGGCCCCGCGGATGTCGCTCTCTGGGTTGTCTCCCACCATGTACACCGTCTTCAACGGCGCCACCTCGCCGCCGTCGCCGCCGTTGGCCTTGCCCAGCAGCGCCCGCCGGTGCGCGTTGAGCACCCTCTCGGCGTACTGGTACGTCGTCGCAAACGGCTTGCCAAACACCGTCCTCCGTAGCTCCGCCCCGCCCGTGACCTCCTTCCACACACCCGCCACGGCCGCCTGGAACGCGCCCTGCCCGAACCGTGGCTGGTGGTACGTCGTGGGCCAGAAGAGGTCCGCGTTGGAGAAGATGAGCGGCGGCTGCCCGTCCTGCTGCCACCCGCCGTTGGGGAGCGAGGCGTTGCCGTTCTTGGGCGAGTACGTCCCCAGCAGGCCCTCGCGCGAGAGCAGCAGATCGGTGATGATCTGGATGTCGAGCGCCCAGTCGCGCGGGTCGTTGAATACAAACATGGCGTCGATCTTGAGCGCGTCCGCGTCCGACATGTTGCCCGTGTGGATCGGCTTGGGGAGGGGCTCGTGAGTCTCTGCGTAGACCGATTTCATGAGCAGCTCGAACGGGAACACGTCGGGGTGCGCGTGGATGATGTCCGCCGGCGTCACCACGTTCTTGAAGCCATATCTAACGTAGTGGTAAGTACATGACCTCTGAGGTGGTATCGAGAGTAAACGTACAGCTTCGCAATCTCGCGACACTTCTTCGCATTGGCGCCCGTTACGAAGATGGTCTTATCTCCCAGGCCTTCTGGGCCGTGCACCAGCTCCTGAAAAGGGGTATGCGACTGGACAAAGTTGTCCACCGAGAGCTCGACGCCGAGCTTCTCGCTCAGGTCCTTTACGCGGGCCGCTTCGGGCCGGCCTCCTCCGTTGGTCAACAGGATAAAAGGGATGTTGTTGTCGTTGAGGTAGCGGAGGGCTTCGGCGGCACCGGGGATGGGCTTCGCCACATGCAACAGAACGCCGTCAATGCTGCCTCTGGTTAGTCACAGCTCTTGGGTCTTATGCCCGGTTCTTAAAATTGGCATCGTGGGCCGTCGACTCCATCAGAGGCATATACATGGTTATCAGGGACTTGACTCACTCAAAGGCAAATGCAAATGACGGGGCCTCGCCCGCCTCGAAAACGCGCTTCTTGGTGCTAAAACATCGCTGCGGTCCTGCAGCCCTGGGAGCCTGCCAGCACTCCAATCTCGACAGGCTAGCTCTATTCAGAGCCGCGAAACCACTTTCATGACGGCCAACACCGGCAGTCGCGAGCCAGAACGGAGCGTGTGCTCTCGGAGTGGTGAGCGGCCTCGAAAGCCGCCCAAGGCCCGTAGCTCTTCCTGCCTGTCTCATCCTGTTTATCCTAGCTTGTAATCAATAGCATGCAGCGCCACGCATGTTAGAATTGACGGGACTGAAATGAGCGGTGGTGTCTCTCGAAAAAGACGGAGAAAGTGAGAGAAGGAGGTTGATGAATCAGCGTTGAGGTGGAATCGCACGGATACACTTGCTGGAGAGCTGAGTCGGTTGAGGCACTGAGAGCTCCCCGCCATCCCCTGCCCATGACCCCCCTGCCCACCAACCCCACTCGCTAATTTTAGCGGCGAAGCTCGTACCGGCGGCTGTTGCAGATGACGGCCGTGGCGGGGGGGGGGGGGGGGGGGGGGGGGGTTCTTGAGCTTCAGTGCAACGGCTTAAAACCAGACAGCTTGAAAAGGGATTTTGGAAACAAAGACTACGTCGCAATTTAGATGGATTGAGTTTTGCTGCCGTCCGAACGTTGTTTGTTTCCTAATTGAAAACTTTCCCGGTACGTTTTGGCGGTGTTGTCCAAGACAAGATAGGTTCACTTAACTCCATATTAACAAGGGGACGAGTTGAGGACTCCTAAAGTGCCTGAAAAACAATAGAAGCTGGCTTGGCACCTTTTACAATCCTCCATCATATTCGCAATATCGACGTCGTCTTGTAGGACTTTCAACTTGGCGCGTCGGGCCATAACATCTTGTAGACGCTGGGTTCGATGCCCCTCAAAGATGTTGGGAAGTTCAACAGGTGTGTGTACAATGATATTACAGTGTGATTGAGTGGTCTCGGAGCCGATTGCTCAAAGGTCTATCCCATGGACAGCTGGTGGTACATATTACACAAACCAACACATCTCCCTGCACCGTCTTCTTCTTCGTCGACTACCCTTAGTCCTTCTTCCATCCACCCTCCCAGTCGTTCATGTGGTCCAAGATGATCTTGGCCGCCGCCGACGGGGAGTGCTGGCGTCCCAGCGCCTCGACGAAGTCGCCCTCGGGGTCCATCAGGTAAAAGTATATGCTGTGGTCAACCAAGTAGTCCTGGCCGGGCTTGACGTGCTGCGGCGTGCTGAAGTAGACGCGGTACAGCTTGCACATGGCCTTGATCTCGTCGTAGGTGCCCGTCAGACCAATGAACTTGGGGTGGAACTCGGAGAGGTACTCCTTGATCACCGCGGGGTTGTCGCGCTCCGGGTCGCAGGTGATAAAGATGGGGAGGATCGAACCGGGCCGCTTCTGCTCGACGAGGTCGTACATCTGCGCCATCTTGTCGAGCTCGTCGGGGCAGATATCGGGGCAGTGCGTAAAGCCAAAGTAGACCTGTCGTTACCTGTTAGAATCGCGACTGTTGTATACGTCTGCGCCTGACACTACAACGTACCAGTGCGTAGCGACCTTTCATGTCCTCGCTTGTGAACTTGTTTCCGTTTTGGTCAATCAACTCGAATGGTCCTCCAACCTTGGGCCGGCCCATGCCCTTGGTAGCCTCTGCGATGCGCTTGCGCTCCATGCGCTGCTTCTCGTATTCAAAGTACCATGTCAGGCCGACACCAGTAGCGACGAACAAAACACCGGCCTTCCATGAGAAGGGCTGTTTTCAAATCCAGTCAGCACATTCGCTTCCAAAACCGACGCTTTTTCAAGCAATGATAGTTCCCTTACCCCCGCTCTGTATCTGCTCTTTGCCTCCTCTACTGTCTTGTATGTCTTTGTCCTCCTCTGCGCTGGAGAGGGTCTCGTCTGGAACATGTTCGGCACGGCAGTCGGCCGGGTCTGCTTAGGAATCGCTGCTTGGGAGATGCATCGCCGGCATTGTGTCGATGACGTGGAGGAAATGGACTTCCACAGAAGCCTCGAAGTTGTGTGCGACATGGCTGCTGCAATTGAGGATGTTGAGCTGCAGTTTTCCAGGGGGGAAAATTGGCCGGGACGACTGGAGGTCTTAGTCGTCACTCAATATCGTAAGATCCAGAAAAGCTCTCGGTGAGCTTGGGCCTCCTTCAAAAATTCGAGGTGTCGGAAGAACAGTTGTTGCGGCATAGCTAGCTGACACCCTCTTCACCTGGACACACCGAGAGCTCTTCACCGAGGGAACTATGGGTCTCGTCGATGCTGGGACTTCACTGCTCAACTTCACAACCTCAAACACCCCTGCACATGGACAAGAAAGTCACTCCTACACATTTCTTCATCAAAGGAACTTACCGTCTTTCACATTTCTTTGGATATAAAAGCTTCAAAGCCACTTACAGTATCATTGTTGAAAGCCAACGTTGGAAAGCATGGATTCAGACGTGGAGTCCAAGGTGAAAGGGGACGAGGGCCGGCAGGACAAGGAGGATCACGAAATGGCAGATGCACCTGTCCACGATGCGCCTGATTCTCAAGCCGCACCTCAAGCCGCTTTTCCAAGCCAAACAGCCTCAAAATCGGTTCCTCCTTCCTCAGATTCAGATATTGTCCCACCCTCAACCCAGACATCAACAAATCCACCTTTGCCAACAACCAACCCTAGCAATACCGTCCTAGAAACGACAGAGAAGCCTCCTGAACCGCAAAAGATGGGTCCTAAGAAGAAGGGCACCGCTGCAATTAAGAAGGCGCCCAAGCGACCCAAGGGCAGCGGCGGCGGTTCCAAAGTCAGCAAGCCAAGAAAGCAGGCCGACGCCACTTCTACAACCAACCATCAAGAAGAGTTGGGCGGTTCTGACGAGGAATCCGACAACGGACCGTATTGCATCTGTCGCGGCCCCGATGACCACCGCTTCATGATCTCGTGCGACGTCTGCGAGGACTGGTTCCATGGGGAGTGCATTAATATTGCCAAGGACGTAGGCGAGAACCTTATCGAGCGCTTCGTCTGCCCCAACTGCACCGACATCGAGAGGAATGTCGTCAGCCTTTTCAAAAAGATTTGCTCGTACGGAAAATGCGTCAAGGCGGCGCGCCTCTACGGTGACGGTGAGAAGAGCGCCTTCTGCTCCGACGAGCACAAGCAGTTGTGGTGGGAGAAGGCCATCGCTTCGCTGCCGAAGAAGTCCTCGAATAAGAACACCCAAGACGGGCTGGTGCAAGAGGAGCTCATGGGTCTCTTGAACAGCAATCTCGCTGGCGTCGATCCGGACGATGGCCAGTGGAAGGTCCAAACCCGCCCATTCGCCCCGCCGGCTACTGGAGGTATGTGAAGCTTGCACCTACATGCGTTGAATGACGAAACTAACCTGCTACCGCAGCTGAAAGCCCCGAGGCCAAGAGTAAGACTCTCACGCCCGGAGTTCTGACTGAGGAGGAAGTGAACATCCTCAAAGCCTCTGCCGCCGAGCGCTACAAGATGGGCGAGGAGGTCGTCCTCTGCCAGAAGATGCTGCAGCTCCTCGACTGGGCCAACGACCGGCGCAAGTCCCTCATCACATCCAAACACTTCGATGACGCCGCGTGCGGCTACGACTACCGCCTCGACCAGGTTGGTGTCGTCGGCCCTTTCGCGAACTGGCTCAACTCGGACGAGGCCAAGGAGATCTTTAAGGCGGGCAACCTTGACGTCGGCAGCCAGCTGAGTGGCGACGACAAGAACATCTGCGACAAGAAGCGCTGCAAGGCGCACCAGGGCTGGTTCTCGATCCACACTAGAGATGTGCGATACCAGATGAAGCTGCTTGCCATGGATGCGAACAAGAAGCTCGACAAGGAGCGGTTGATTAAGCAGTCGGCGGCGGAGCGGAAACTGAGGAAGGAGGCGGAGAATAACTACGTCCAGACTGTTCTTCCCGATGGCACTCTCGGCCCGCCCAATGCTGCGTGAGGGTTCTTGGGTCGATAAAATTTGTGTTTTCATGGCGACGGTAACCTAGGCGTTTTGAGGGAGATTCAGGAATAGTGACTGGCTTGAGTTTGGCTTTGACTTATTCGCCAACAAGCATGAGCTTTGCACACGGTGTCGGCTTTACTTTCATAATGCCGGATGACGAAAAGTTATCTATAGTCCGGACACCACCTTAGGCGGTATGCGACCAAAGAAATAATGAGGAACATCCTCTGATCACACCTCGTTCCTTTGGCCTAATTTGTTTTCTGATGCATGTCCCCTCTGGTAGTTGTTACCTAGGGTAGAAATCGTGTTTGTCCTTGAGAGTTTTACAGCTCTCGGACGCATTTCTCTTTGGCCTCATCCGCCCCTTTAGCAACCTCAGTGCCATGAATCCAAACCCTGATATTTTTGAGATACAGGCATTGGATGTTGGTGACATTATTAAACACGCAAGTATGAAACTGGAGCTTGCCCCCAGTCTCATTGTTATCTCAAGTTCTCAAGTTCTCGTAATCTAGCTTCGAGCAAAACCTCTCTCTCAGACCAGCAAAGTACCACTTCGATGCCATTTGCATCCTCAACCCGCGCGCAACTTCGTCTTTGCATGTCAACGTGACTCATCTGGTCTAGACCAAGCTGGCAGACCGGCCTTCCTGTCTCTTCTCGCCTTTAAAAACCTGTGAAACCCGCTGAAAATGTGTTTTGCCTCATGCAGCAGTCTTATGGCAAGCAGTGTAAGGATAACCGCTTCGAAATAAAGCACCACGAAGAAGACAAAGAAAATCGCGGCCAAAAACGCCATCGTAAAGGCCACTGTGACGACCCACCTTGGCGCGATCTTGTATGCGACAGCTGATAAATCGAATCTGGTCTTGAAATCGTGCACTTCTTCTGTCTGCTAAATAGAATGATGGGCGATTGATCAGTCCAAAGTGCTCTTACTAGATAGGTCAGGGGGGATTGTCTCTTACTCCGGATTCCATTTGCAGCGTGTTGACTCTGCTCGGCGGCGTGGTGTTGCTGGTCAGTTCCAAGACCTCGAGCACCGGCGATGGTTGGCGATTGACTGTAGACGGGCCCATGTTGCGCATGGTGTCGCCTGTCAGCCGTCTCGAGAGCCCGCTGGACATCATAACTTCGGCTGCCGTCTGGTGACTCCCTTCGACCCCAGTGGGCTGTGTGTTTGGGGGAGAGATACGTTCATCCGTAGTTACTGGGTAACTCGTTCCTACCACGGCGGATGTAGGTTCGTTCGCTACAGAATTTGTACGGGATGCGTGATTTACATCTTCCATGCTCTTCTTGGCGGATTCTGTCGAAACACCTGACACCGAGAGTATTAGCAGCCCAACTCATGCCGATTGAAGGGAGGGGCAAACCGGTTACAGAACCATACGTACCGTTAGCCTCCATTATAGTAAGGAAGAAGCCGAACAAAAGGACCAGAGGTAGAACCTGGCCAAACTTGGGCTCTAAAAGCGCCTTGTAGTTAACACCTTCAGTAACGACATTGATTATCAGAGCATTCATTGCAAATATTGTGAAGCCGAGATTTAAAATAATGGTGATAATCAGTGACTGCCAAATGTCGTCAATCATGGCCGAAGCGATAATGGGAGCCGTGATCCGAAACGGGAGTTTCGGAGAACTCTGGAGGAGGATGTTGTGCCTCCTCGTATACTCGTGACGGATACTCAGCGTCTCGCGCAGAGCCCAATATTCCAGGTCACTTGTCGATTCGGCGCCCCTGTGTACCACAATCACTAACCAGTGTACCAAAGTATGAGTCCGTGGAAACTCGGAGCGGGCGGCACGGAGCTGCGACGTGGCACTGCGGAAACCGGATGCAAACCACCAGGAGAGAGCGAGCCACACAGAGATGATGTACGGGTCAGCGGACGATTCATATCGTATCGCGCAACCAATGACGGTTTCCCGCTCGGTGTTTCCGTTAATTCGGAGGAGTAGTTCGGTACCCAGGATAAAGCACAGGAGAAGGGCCATGACGACGATGCGCACTCTGGCTTGCGTCCTGTGTTCCTCAAAATAAGACCCGAGGGCCACGAGAGAGTCCATGTGTACTCCGTAGGTAAGAAGCGCGAGCGAAGAGCCTATGCTAAACGATAGATACGACATGGTGCATATTTGTACGTAAATGGCAATTAGAATCCCGATGCTCGTACTAGCAATTGGTCGCTCAGCCCGAGGAGCAGTTGCCGGTATTTTGTTTTTCGATTAAAATCCAATGCCGAGTGTTTCCGTTTTAGTTTTTCCAGTAATTTCTCATCAATTCGCATATACTGATCATCCTCAAACGCACGAGAAGTGTAAGCCAAGAAGATGATGAAATGTGACGCCAGCACCGGAATGACGAAAGATAGGAAGACCTTGCCATGCGTTAGCAGATTCTTAACCGGGCTTTCCAGGAGTTTATTTCTTACCCCGAATCCCATTATATCAGCATCGGTAGGGTCGTCCATTCCCTTATCACAGTCTGTCTTCATGTTGCAAATGAACACCATTTTTCAGCGTATAGATATTGCCTTGCTGTGAGGTGAAAGTTGGTAACTCCATTCTGATGTGCGTGTGGGATGCCTTGCATACATAAGCACCGAAGCGCCGATGGCAAGCCTTCTTCCAAGCTCTTTTGGACGCACTATCGGGTTCGAACATGTTACTTGGGAGCAGGGTCTGACTATTGGTTGCATGGGGGACTGACGCGCGCCAAGCTCGGGATTCTGTATCGGTCCTCATGCAGTCTGCATCAGCATACGATCTCCGAAGATGGCCACTTCGCGGTCTCAATAAGGCTAGCTCGGCAACCTGTGTTCACTTCTTCGAAGCAGACTATTGAACCTCCTGGTTTTATTCGCAGTTGATAGTGTAGCATTCTCGGTGGCTCGAAAGCCTTGCCTTCCACCTGACGCACCCCCATACTTGGCTGCTCAAGGCTCGCACCACCTGCAAGGCAACCAATAGGCAGCATGCGTGCTGCAAAACCAGCTTGGTCATGCATTATGAAGCGCCTCAAGAACCAAATCCCTGGTACTGTATGCTCGCCAGTTATCTGCGATGCGCTTAAAACGAGGGGTGGACATGAAGGAAATAAGAGCGGTAGATGCAGTAGGAAAGATGATAGAAGTATATGATCTTGCGGCTGGCCCGACTTCCGCGTCCTCAAGATAGAGCTTGTGGGCCTCTCCAAATGTTATTTTTACCAGAATATCTGTTTCAAGAGTCTTACAATTATCCCACGTGTTTGCATAGTTATCCTAGGGACAGAACACGGTACGCATTCTCTCACTCCGTGTTGAAAGAGCCTCTCATGCAATTTTTACTCCTTAATTCCGCCGCTTGCTCGGCTTGAAAATATGAGGCGAACATACTTCTGATAACACTGTAGGATATCTTCATTTAACGTGCTTATTGACGGCAATTTTGTGTTGAAAATTTCTATCGCGTTTTTCACCTTCGAGGTCTTCAAATTATTTTTAAAAGTTCACATTTTCCCCCTCCCAAAAGTTGAATGTTTTATCCCACTTTGATTCTCAAAGTGTTTATTCATTCCAATTCTCAAGTTCTAAAACTCTATAGAAGGTGCTGCTCCCTATGGCATCGTCCAAGTGACGGGCCATCTATCAATAAAGACATCCACGTATCTGACAAGCTCAAACTCTCATCTCCAAATTTGACCACCAAAGGTTCTGTTGTAGTGGCTTTTGAAGGTTGTTCAGTTGGTAAATCGCTTTGAGGGGCAGCAGAATCGATGCACCGCTCCTCAAAAGCCAAGCTGCCATCCCACGGAATAGGGGTATCAAGCTGATTACCAGTCGAGCCACTCTTACATCCACTACTTATCCCCATAGCGGCAGCCTCAGTTTCAGCAGACCAGCTACTGAAATCCAGATCGGGAGGGTAAAAAAGCCCCAGGTCAAAGGATCCGCCGAGGATGTCTGAAGGTTGTGATCTTTCTGATGAGTTGAACAGTTGTTTGAGAACATCCGGGGAGATTTCGCTTGACAGGTCCTTTTCTGGTACCACGAGAACATTGGGCTTCGTCTGCATTGTGGGCTGTGGGTTCGCAACAGAGCTGAAAGGTTGGGGATGGCTTCCCAAATCGTTATTGGAACCCTTATCGCCCTCAGAGTTGGTGATATCGGAGCATGTCACGCCCTTGGGGGTAACAGTGTCCGTCGAACCGTCTCGTGTCTGTTCTTCATCCCCGGACTGTTGGAAGATCCTGGGTAGTACGATGTCCTGGACGATAGCCGCCATTAGCTCGCGTTGCTTCGTTTCGCTGAGATCGCCACCAGTGATCTTTCTGATTTTCAGGTAAGTTTCCTCTTCAAGTTGCGGTCGGATATTCTCGTGGAACTTGCGCTTTGCATCGTTTCGATCCGGTTGCGACGTAGGTTGATCTTTGGGTGGTTCCTCAAACCGCGGGTAGTAATCTAAGTTAAGTCAACGATTGAAAAGTCCTGTGTAACATTCAAATACTGACATGGGCCAGGAATCTCAGCGCAGTCTGGAAAAAGGATCTGAAAAATGTCTTTCCATTTCTCTTCGTCTGGTTTTATTCTCTTTCCGCCGCGCTTCTTACTCTGGAGCCTTTTCTTTTGGTTCATGTCGAATCCTTCTAATACGACGCCTTTAACGCCCTCACAGTCGTCGTCCGACTTCATGTGTCTGTGTACCTCTTCATCCGTTGCGAATACTCGACGGCAACGTAGGCAGTTCGGCTTCTGAAGGTGATTGCTATAAAGATGTGATCTCAAAAATGTATCAGTATCGACCATAGTAAATCCCTGAGAAGTCATAGGATTCCCTCACTTTCAGTCTACTAATGCAGTCGAAGGCTGCTCAACGGCAACGTCGTCGGCCGTATATATCAGGATCCTGCTTGAAATACGGACAAGCTATCAGCGGTGGAGGCAGTCTTCTATTTTGGCCAGCCTGAACAGCTTGTCTTGTGGGTTGTTCAGGCGTATGCGCTTCACCATCGGTGGCCGCATCTTGTCCGGTAGCGGAGGAGTAGCTGCTGCCGCCGCCTCCTTGACAAGGTTCGATCCTGAGACTCGAAAGTCGTTCCGCGATGATTCCTACCTCATCAGTCTCGTCCTCGTAACGATGAAGGTTGCGGCGTTGTTTCCTGGTAGTTGAACTCAACGGCTGTGTTATGACAGATCCCCCATTGTTGTCGTCCTCGTCCGAAACGGACCATGGCGATGGATGGTTTTGTGAAATAGAGTCGTGTTGTTACCTAAGCTTCGCCGGCTACATTCGCTTCAGGGAGGAAGACGTGGCGAAGCGGTTGGCGGATGCCCCAAAACCGGCTTTGAGATCCGAGCCTGGTGTTCTGACCTTCCCCGGGCTCGTTGACGGTTAAGGATCATGACAAAAAGACTGATCAGGAGGCTAGTTTGTCGGCCTTGCTAGAGAAGTTTACGGTGGAAGCACCACGGGCTCCTGCAGAACACCAACGCAGACCATGAGATGAATATACTTTTGCTTCGACCAGGTACAGAATTAGGATGCCAGGGCCTGGCAGGCTCTCTGTATTGCTATAGGAGGTTCTCTTCAAACTCACATGCTTCGACGCGCTGCTCCCCAGATTTGTGTATCTACTCGCAGGTGTGCAAAACTGATAAGCCCAACGAGATACTCAGCAGCCGTGGTTCGCCACGTCCGCTCGGCGAACCAAGAGGCATCCTGCAGCCTGACAACATGCAGGCCGCTCCCACCGCAGCCACCCTCATCCCCTCTTCCTGCCCAGTCCCGTTTCCCATACCCAAGCCCAGCAGAACATACCGTAAAGTTGCCAGGGAAGAGACGACGAAGCACGCCCGCCCCTCAAGCATTCACCCAGCCCAGCTCCTTTGCTCTCGAGGAACGCAAAAAGGACCGGAGACGGCTCCGACGCTTCCGCTGCGCGGCTCAAGGGATACCACTATGCGGCGGGAGGGGGAGGGCGCCTGTCTCACTCGCAGATGAAGATGAACGCTGAAAAGCCCACTGCCCTGCCCTCAGGAATGCAGTCATATCTGACGGGGGACAGACAACCAACCTAGCCACCGCCTCGCAAACCCCTCTGTCCCAGCCTGCACCCGGTCAAGCTGAGCCGGAGCCCGTTCACGGATCCCCCAGCCCACCTCGAGATTCTCGTCACTCCAGCAAGACGCATTCCAAGTGATGGAGCAGGTTGAGTGTGTGTGTGTATGTGCTGTGCTCATGCAATGAATTATCTCCTACAAACCTTTTTAAGAGAGTCTCTTCTACAAATACAAGGGCTCCTACCCCCGTCCTCCTGGCCTGGTCCATGACACGACCCCGGTGCCAACAGTTCAACATCTTTGCCCCAAGCTTCCCAGTCCCGTGTTCTCCCTTCCCTACGAGTCCTGCCAACCGTGCCAGTACACCAGCCGGTTGCGAATCGCTGTACAGGGTTTGCTGGTTTGCGAGGCGCGAATACCAGGGTGCCGCCGAAGAACACGAGATGTCACTCGGGAAAAGTCAGGTCGAAGGTGAGAGCGGGAGGAAGATCATAATCGAATGCCATCAAAAAACGGAAACACAGTATGCTTTGCGATGCTTGACCCTTCATGCCATGCCCGACCGCCAATCGCCGTGCCCGCTTGCCGAACCACCTCTCAAAAAAGCCCATTTCTTTTTATCGTGCAAAGGTCGCCAAAGGTATGATGCCAAACAGGAGAAAAAAATAAGTCGTCAAGTCGCGCTTGAGAAAGCCCAACAATGTCTAGAGCGGGGCAGTTCCGAAATCTGCCCGTGGCCTGCAGTCCTCCATCTCCATGTCAATAATCGGGGGATGAATCAGACTGCCAAAAATGCCTCGTGGTGTATGTTTGTCAATGGTGCTCCCATAGAGCATGAACTGCCGTGGACGCCCTTTATGCCGTATGTTTGTGCAGGGAAGAGAAATCGTAACACTCGTTCAGTGACAGTCGTTGGAGTGAAGTGGATGCAATGTACTTTGCCAGGTCCAGGCTATCTCCACAGATGTGGGCGAGAACGAGAATCAGCCGGAGTGATAGAGAAAGTGCGCGTTCCTCGAGGCTGAGCCCTGCTATTCATACAGTCGTCGGCAGCAGCAAGAGGTGCGCAGCCATCAGAAGAATCGATAGCCGCAGGGCTTAGTGGTGTCGAGCCGGGGAGTACTAGTGACGGCCGACTTGGCTGTTGCTGGCGCGGCTACGCTCATCCTCCTCCATGACGTCGCTGAGGCGGGTCGGATGGTGATGCCGAGGGACAGTCTCCCAGCCTGGAGCGGCGTAGCCAGAACCAGAGTAGTCCTGACCGGTGTACGGCTGCTGCTGCTGCTGCTGCTCTCCGGCCGTGGTGGGAGTCTGCGGGTAGCCAGCGCTGGGGGGTTGGTCGCGGGGGTCTCATACTCTTCTGTACCTTCGTCAGAAACTGGGGAAGGCGGAGCAATGAAGGGAACCTTGTTTCCCTGGGAATCGCGAATGAACTGGCCCTGCGCATCAATAGCGTACTCACCTTCAGAGTATCCGCCCTCGGAACCAGCACCGGTGTAAGTAACACCCTCCTGGCCCGCATCGCTAGATTGATAAAAGTTGTTGGATCCCGCGGCGGCGGGCTGCCCGCTAGGCGCCTGCGAGAAGTCGCCGGTGAAACCCGTCTGCTGGCCGCTGTACTCGGACTGGTACCCGCGCTGCTCACGAGAGCTGCCATGACGGCTAGGGACACCCTGGGTCATGGGAACAACCTGAACGCCGCCGAGGATGGTGGGCTGGCCGCTCTGCAGAGAAAGCGTTCGTTCGCGCTCCTCGTGCTCGCGTCGACCGAGCTCCTCCCAGGCACGACGGGCCTCCTCCTTGGAGATCTGGAGCTCCTTCTTCATCTCTTTGACACGCTCATCGTTGGCCGAGTGCTGACGCTCCTTCTGGATGGCGGCCTGGACAGCGTTTTCTCTAGCACGTCTCTCCTCTTCAAGGGCCGCCTCCAACATGGCATTGACTTCCTGGGCGCGCTCCAGCTCAGCTCTGGTCTCGAAGAACCATCGCTGGAACTTGCGCTCGGAACTGGCACGGAGACGCTGCAGCTCGACGACTGCATGAAAAAGATTGGCACCGGCCGCAGTAAGGTCGGTGACCTGACGAGAGAGAGCCTGGTTGACAGGATCGCGTTCAATATCCTGGTTGTTCTGCTCTAGGCGTCGAATCCAGAAGCTGGTGAGACCCTCCCAGTGAGCCGACAAGGTCTCCCAACGCTCAAACGCATGAGGAAAGGAGTTTCTAGGTCTCGATGCGGCAGCGCCGGACTCCTGGCCTCCCTGGATCGAGGTGTTAGCAGGCTGCTGGGTGGTGCCGGCTTGAGGGGCGGTGCTGTAGGGTTGCTGGCCAGGCTGGGAAATGGACGCCGTTCGACTAGGTCGAGTGTGGGCTTGGGACGTGGTAGGCTGGCGGGAGCCTCCTCCCGGGTTGGTCCGGGTCTGTGGGGTATCGGTGGCCACGGGTCGGCGTTGGGAGGTGGGGTCTTGTTGGGGCACGTTGGCAGCGCCACCAGCTGATCCTCCTCCGGCAGCGCCAGTAGCGGCGGCGGCGGCGGCTCGGCGCTCCGCATTCCGTCTCTGCGTCTCCTCCAATAGACGAGCATCCTGCTCAGCTCGCTGTCTCTCCAACTGCATCTGTTCTTGCTCGGCTCTCTGTCGGGCTGCCTCTCTAGCAGCGCGCTCCTGCATGATCATTCTAGGACCACGGATACCAGAAGGCGAGCTGGTAGGGTTGGGCGCGCCGGTAGGGCGCTGGCGGGCCGAAGTGGACGCATTGCCGTTGGAAGCGACAGCGCCGCCCCCGGTGAGGTCAGCCATTGATGCGCTTTCTTCGATTTCGTCGGGCGTGAACGGGTGGGGTTGTCGGAGCGCTTCCTCGAGGGCAAATAGGATAGCACTACGAGTGTTCCTGGAGACGCGGTGAGGGCGGTGAGACTCGCGTCGAGTGTGAGAAGACGATGATATCGGGTCTCGGTATTGCAGAGCTTCGTCGGAGGACTCGTCGTCAAAGTCGTCCTCGCTCAGATCCTGTGAGAGAACTCTTCTCGCACGTGAGTTTCGTCGGTCTTGGGGAGCAACGATTCGGGGTAGTCGTAATTAAGAGTCGGCGCAGGCGCAAGTGCTGGGGCGGGCACAGGTGCAGTCGCGGTTAGTGGTTTGGGACTGAAACCAACCGAGGCGGCTTCGATGTGGACCTGGCGCGCGGACTGTGGTGTAGGACTCGGGGTAGCTTCGAATCGCGACGTACGTCGAAGGGTGCGGTGGGAGAGTTGAGATGAAGCGGGAGTGGACGGTCTTTCGGCCGGATCTGGGGTAATATTCCGCGGGTGCCTCCGTTGCTGCTGGCGCTGCGCAGAAGGGGTCGTGATTTCGTGAATTTCGTGACGGTCGTTAGAGGGCGTGGGGGGAGTTTGGTCTGTCAACTTGACGATGTTGCCCAGGTCACCGGTCTGACCTGCTTGAGTAGACAAGGTGAAAGTCGCACCACCAGAGTGGTGAGGTCAGAATGGAGGTGAGAGGTAAGGGCAGGCGCTGATGGCGGAAGACCTGCGAGAATGCTGATCTCGAGAGTCAGCGGGTACCGAAGAGTAGGTACAGCAAAGGTGAGGTATGTGGGTTGTTCGGGGGTGACATGGGAAAAATAATGGGTGAGGTTGGAGGGAACAGGGTGTGACTTACTCGGTAGGGTCGTATCTTGCTTGACGACGGGGTCCAACTACCACACCCAAAAGGGGAAAAAAAAAAAGGGAATTAAAAGCGGTCTGCGGGAGCAGGCAAGATGCTGCTGGGCAGAGTCGAATCGAAGTCGGCAAAATTGAGGGTCCAAAAGTTTGGAGACGAGGGAGGGTGAAGCTGCTAGCCGGAGCTTTGAAGTGAGGAAATTCGAGAGGTTGGAGCGTGGATCGAAAAAGAGGGTGGCTAGGCGAAGATGCGCTTTGGGAGCGCGTGGGCGGAATCGAACGGTAAGATTGGAAGAGGCGCGATTGGAGAGGATAAGCGTGATTTCGGAACAAAAATGTCGTCAGTTGATTCGAGCTGCTCGTGTGTTTGAACCGGGCGTATGCCGATTGGAACCACTGCTGCAGCGCGCAGTACAGCCTTGATATTGCGACAACGGTGGTGGTGGTGGTGGTGGTGGTGGTGATTGACGACGTGAGTTTTTTAGTGTCGAAGTGAGAGGAAAAAGGGCGATTGGGTGGGTGTGAGTATGAGAGTGAGAGTGAGAGTGAGAACGCGCGCAGGCCGGCCGGGAGGCCTTTGCTGATTGCGCGTGGGGGGAAAAAGAAAAACAACGGAGGTCGTGTGCAATTCTTTTTCCTGTGCAGGCTGGCGTTTGGTGTGAGAAAAATCTCAAGTGAAGGGAAGGAGCGGTCAACTGGGCAAATGACCCGGTTTCGCGGTGCTCTTTCCCAGTTGCACCTTTGAAAATCCAAGTCTCAACTCCTAAGTGAGTAGAGGGCGGAGGGCATCACGTAGGACACCCACCCACAAAGAAGAAGTAGGTAGGTCCGAGTGAGAGATGGGGGGGGAGGGGTTCTCTCCAGGGACAAGCTCGCACCGGCTCCTCGCTGGGTATGACTTGACCTGACTTGACTTGGTTCGAGCAGCAGTTGCAGCAGCAGGCTGGTTGGGTTGCGACGCCCACTCTCGTCAGCTCAGTCGGTGGACAAGCTTGGATGGATGATCAGCCAGACAGCCTTGGAAAAAGACGCCCTCCCAATCTCAATCGAGTTATTTGATACCGACAACAGCCGGTTGTCTCGGGTTGCTCTGCTGGTGGTGCTCGTCCAATTCCACCGCCTGTAAGCTCAGCTCAGTCAATGTCAATGCCGTGCTTGACTGGGCTGAGTAGGTGGCTGCTGCGTTGTGTTGCTTGCTGTCGCTACTACCTCAAGTCGACACGGACCTATGGCAGCTCACCCAGCAACTCCTCCTCCATCCGACCTTGGTCAGGATGGGGTGTCGAGGACATTGATGGATGGGCGGATCGTATGGGGTCGGTCGCCAGTCGAATGTCGAATGTGATATCAGGGTCGAGAAAGGCGGGACGATGAGTATGGCACGCGCGAAAGCACGGCAGAATCAGGACGGGGACCAGGACGGGGACAGGACACACGCACACACACGCACACGACGCGGGTTGGGACAGGCGACGGGTTTTAATTGTTTCGGCAGGGCACCGACGACACCGTACCCAGCCCATCATCTCGCATCAAATGGTCAATCCTGGCGGAGCTTTCGCTTCACCTAGCGGATAATGCAGGGATACATGGAATAGTCGCCCTCACTCAACGCTGGACCGGGAGAAGGACAGAGTAGGTACGAACAATTGCCGCCGCAGGTGGACAACACGGGCCAATTTCTGCTGGCGTCCAGTTATGGGTCGGCAGAATCGATACTTCACCTCTCGACCGAGGCCGCCCTTGTCAGTCACGACGTGCAGCAATCGCAAGCTCTCTGCAGGTGGCTCCCCGTCTTTGAAGTGCCTTAGTCCGAGGCCACCGAGACCCGAGTTGGCCAGGTACATTGAAACGCGCATGCTGTGTACCGGCGAGCTGTCGTCTACCTGCTGCAGCGCCGGCTTGGAGGATGGCTGCAGTATTGAGGATCCGGTGCCTTAACGGCGCCTCTTCAAGTCTGATCGGTACATGCCCACCCGACTATTATCACCATTACGCGCATGGGATCGTGGTACACGTAGGTGGTCGAGGGGACGAGCCACCAGTTATTGAGGTCGCGCGCGCGTGAACCGGTGCCAGGGTGACCCCATTTGCTCGAGGAAACATGGAAGAAACCCTCTACCAAAGAAACTCTGCCGGACATGAGTTGGCACATGGGGCATTGGGTGTCAGTTGAGAGAGGACGACGGACGGGCCAGCCCCGGGAGATAGACTTCAGAGTTCTCTGCACAAATGGCGGGCGAGGACGGGAGATTGGAGCTGTCCGCCTCACCTGTTAGATGGACTGGTGGCCGATGAGCTCTGGCAGGGAACCGGCCTGCGGTGCGGCGGTGCTGCGTCGCTAACGATTTCAGCCAGTGGGAAAAAATGGGGGGTTGGGAGATGGAAGTGCGCACAATAGGTTCGGCCGACGAGGATTGAGGAAACACAAAAGACCGGCCCCATCAGCCCCAAATGACACCCAGGTCTTGTGTGCATGTCATCCTGGCGTCGGCACTGGTATCCATCATGGCAGCAATGGCGGTTTCGAGCTTGGCCGACGAGACGCCCCGCGATGACCACCTATGATCTAAGAAAGTATGTGAGCGGGCGGTGAAAGCGAGCAAGAAGGTCGGAAAGTGAGATCCAGAGTCAAAATGAGGTGTGGGGGAGTGTGAGTTGTCACTGCGCAGTGACGAAACCCACACAAATTGCCAATCACCCGCACGCCGCTGGCCTGGCACCCTTCTTCAGCAGTCCCAATAGACCGGGTTGCGCCCGGGAGGGCCCCCCCGTCTGGATTAGTGTAGAGGCAAAGCCGGCGCCCGTACGGATCCGTAGGGATGGCTGTTCGACATCTGTCGTGGTGCGGGATGGGATTGTTACACGATATTATACGTGGGTCGTTAAAGTCGACATGAGAATTTTTGATCCCGAGACACGTCGTCAAGATTTGGACAAGGTTGATACCGTTGCAGCGCACCAAACTACGGCACCCAATGGCTTGCTTTCCATGCGCGTATTGGCAGATTTCGTCGGACGACAAGACCTGCCGCCTGCATAGGGGCGTTTGTCCGTCTTGGAATTGCGCAGCCCTCCGGCATCTGACACACGCGGTGCATTGGGCGATGCATTGGTAGCAGCGATGCAGAAGAAAAGGAACAAGGCTCGGAAGGGCGTCAAAGACGTAGTCAGGAGCTGGGACTTTTGGCTCAGCTATGATGATCAAGGCGGGCTGGAAGAGCGGCATGGAAGCTTTCATGAAAAAGGGAGACTACTACGTACATAGTACATAGTGTGTAGAGCCACAGAGCTCACCCAACCCTCCAGCACTGCGCACGGGCCAAGTCCAGCGCTGGCCCAGCCCCGGCATCCCATCCCATCCCAACCTGCTTTTGCCTGGCTGGCCCAACGTGGAAAGCCTGGACCTGCAAGCAAAGACTCAGGAAGCAGTAAGTGCAAGGGAGGCCCGTGCAGAGGTGGGAGTTCGGGGATCGAACTGGGAAACAACGGGTCGCTCCCGACAACGGGCCCCTGTCGCTCGATCCTTCCTCGAGCCAATCAAATGGCCCAATGGACCACACCCACGATTAAGCTCGCAATTGCCTCGTGTGCCTGGAACCAAAATGCTTTTCAATCAGACAAACCCAATCCCGCCGCTCTGAAGGGGGCCGTTTGCCAGTTATTCTTTGACTGATCGCTCGAAACGTCAATGGAATCGGGACATAAAATTCGGGCCCCCAACGCGGCAACATGGCAGCATGGGGGTAGCATGGGTTTTGATTCTTAATTTTGAAACTTTCGTCGACTTTTAATCCGTCGTTGACAACCGCCTTGACGTCAAGCGTTTTTATCCACCGTCAGGGTCAATCCTATCTCGGCGCCTCTCTCTCTCTTACACACACACACACACACATTTTGCCGACAACCCAAGCAGACTCCCTGCTTCGCACGTCGTCTTGAAAATCTCTGAAGTCAAGGATGTCTTTCGGACTTCTGTGAAAGCCCTGGAGCAGCTTCCATCGTGTGCAACCGTCACTACCCCGGGGAAGAAATTTGCGTTCTCGTTACATCGCCATCCCTGGCCCTCGCCAGCTAACAGCCGGACAATGCCAAAGCCCCCATCCCACCTTGTATTCACACCGTCTGCCAACGCCGTCAAACCATGATTTGGTCCAGGGAGACTAGGGGTTGAACGGACACGGGACTGGGCAACTCCAACGCATCGTTTGGCCCCCCATCTGACTGCCTTGCTGGCAATGAACATATCTCACGCATCGCATTGCGAAAAGATCGGATCAAGTCGGACGGAGGCTCTTGCTGGCATCCCTTCGGAACCGCCCGCGGAGATAATCTCTGATTCGACGAACGGTAGGTTCGCCTCGTGTGAGACAGGCAAACTAAAAAGCACCATCGCGACACATCGCAGGGAGAAATCAAGAGCTTCAAAGACAGGGACAACTACTGTGCTATACCCCTGGAAAGCCCTGGAAAAGGGGAAAACTTTGCTCAAACCACGAACTGATCCATCGTCTACGGCCCCTATTCGCCTGAGCCTGCCAGATGCGACTCAGAATCTACAGAAGGAAGAAGAAAAAAGTCGCTCACCTTCTTCACAGCCTCCCTTGCATGCTGTGTCTCTCTGCCCAGGCTTATATGCCCGACAGCTTACAACAGCGCTCAGAACACAGGATCATCCCTGGCCTATGGTAGCCTACATGAAGGGCTCGGTATGCTAGGGGCGACCATCCCCTGTCGATCGTCCAGCTGCTCTAGCCCCCCCATCGGATTCTTGGGTCGAGGAAACCTGACAATCTCCATCTTTGATGGGAAAGCTCTTTTCCCAAGGGACAGCATTTGCTCGATGCCTTGAACCACCTGTCACACCCTTAGCTGAAGACGATCTCCCGCATCTTAGCATCCGGGGACCAAGACCCTCAAAAAGTGTGCCTGCTTTTTGGCCGTGGTTGGATATTGTGCGTTCGCTGGCTCCAGAGCAGAGCATATCGCCTCACTCGAGCGCTCGTCGTCGATGAAATCATGTGTCATGTTTTGTTAATGGGCCTGGCGCCAAATCCGGCTTTGACGACATGAGGCGCACAGCAAAAGGCATGACGTTTTTTTGGTAAATTGCTGAAACTCCCGCCTCTCCCCGTTTGCCAACATTCTGGCCATCAGCACGCCAGGGCAGCTTCAGCTCAAGGCTCCCCATGCGCCATCCGATCGATCAAGCCATACACCAGCCCGGCCGTCATACGGTGGCGGCCGTTGCTCCGGAACGCCGCATGCCTGCCGACCGTTGCAAGCAGCAACATCAAAACATACGGCCCGCAGAATAAGATTGTCGCCAAACAAACAGAGTCAGGGGGAACGTACTCTCCGTCATCCACCTGCTGTATCTATCGCTACTTTTTCCTCCCTGCACCGAGACCATCCAATCAAGACGAAGAAGGAAAAAGGGCAGAGCCGCAACTGACGATAAAAACATCGGCGAGTAAGCAGATCGAGATCGTGGTCAGAGTTGGCAAGGAGCAAAATCCCCTGTCTTGCTGATGTTCCTTGGGAGGAGACCTGACAAGATATTTGGTCTTTCGTTCGTGGAGTCGAAGGCCAAATAAACAGACCACCTAGTCGAGGATGCTCTGTTTTCCGGTTTCTCCGGATTTCCACCCACAGTAACATGTTTACGAGGGCAGAATACCCGAGACTGCTTTATGTCAAGTCTTTGTCAGATTCAGGTCCGCTAACCTATCTCTTTTTGGCACCGGTTATCCAAATAGAAGAACCCAAGCACTCTAGGCCGGCCCTCACGAGTTTGCTACAGCAAGCGCAGGTCGAGAAGGATCTCCGGACTCACTGTGGCGCCATCGGCTCAGAGGGCGGAGTGCCGTCGCCGTGGAAGTGAGACAACGAAGAGGTCGACACATTCCAGGCCTTTTGGTTCCCACATGAAAGATTCTCCTGCCTTGCTTTTTCCTGCGCCCCTCTCGGCTACTAGCCGACGAGTCAACAGCTGCAGAGCTTCGGATCTAGCGCTCCCCCCCAAGAAAAAAAAGACCCTCGTTTTCAAGCCGAGGGACGAATGCTGGGAAGGGGTTCCTCCAGATAGGGGTCATGGTTGAGGCTCTCTAAGTAGGCTTCCCCGCAGGGACGTACCCTTTTCTCTGCTTCTTCCCTGCGCAGGTTTATCGACGCCATGGCAGTCGTGTGTTCCCTTTTGTGGGAAGGCAAGTAGCCGGAAGAAGACATAGCGATGACCTGTGTGTCTAGTTGAGCTAACTCAGGTGAGTTTCCAATCATCATAAGTGACGGACCAACGAAAGTTTTCCAAAGCGCGTTTTTTGCTACGATATGGAACCCCGAGCAATGCAGAGGCCCAAGGTCATACCCTTTCGGGACATCGTGCATTCCGTCCACAGCGAAGGTCGCCAGCGGGCTGCTTCCCATTCCCTCGAGAGCTGTCGAGGCCATCCAGCATCCGACGCCTGCCGACTCCCCACTGCAGACCGGCCACACCTCGCCTTTCTCGCAAACAGTCCTGATTGGCCCCCAAACTGTCTGCCACCTAGTATACATATCGCACGAGGGATAGACAACTCCAGTCGAGGAATGTCTGAGAATTGGGGGAGGATGGTCTGGTTGTCAAATTCAGCCACCACGGTGGATCGCAACCCACGACGAGACCCAGAGCATGCTGACCAAGACACGGTGTTGCATATTTGTGTGCTCCTGTTGTTGTCCGCCGTTGTGTGGAAGGCATATGATTCGTGCCACTGGCAAACCATGACAGAGGAGGCATACATAAAATTTGTTTGTGGCAGGGAGACAATCGTCGCTTGGCTCCAGGCCGTCCCGTGCATATATCGTTGCGTCTCCCTCCAACCAGGAGTCCTTCGGCCAACGTCTTCATCGTGGCGTTACTATCTCCAGAGTTCCACATCTAGTATTGTTTGGAGTCGTCGTTGCAGACGCTGACTGCAGCGATGTCTGTTCCCCATGAGGATATGGTCGGTCACGCACAAGAGCTCGATATCACGAGGGCATCTCAACCATCATCTCGGCCGCCGAGCATGGAGCGTCAGACCAAGCTCGCTCACCTCAAGCTGGTCTCAAAGTATTACGGCTACGCCAACTTTTCATATCCTCGCGCCGACGGCACTCCAACCAGGAACCCGTACAGGAGGGCCGGCCATACGTATTCATCAGAGGATCTCGCCGACTACCATGGCAAGTTGTCACGTCCGCACACACCAACAAGAAGAGACCGCACCTCCATCGGCTCACAAAGCTCAAGCGGTTCTGCACCCAGCCTCATCGACGACCGGACCGACTCGGAGGTGTCACTGGACGACGACTACCAGTACCACGCCTCTGCCTCTCAGCTCTGGGATACTTTCTGGCCCAGTGAAGAGGGGCAGACTCAGAAGACACCTGAGAAGTCCAAGACTCGGTATCCGGCATTGATCCCGTCGCCACATATCCGAAGAGCCAAGAAGACAGGCTGCATCAACTATGACGACTATCCTTTGCCACCGAGGCCTGTCGAGTATAACATCCAGGTCAAGCACACTCCACCGCCAAAGCCTCCTACCAGAGACGACCCTGTGACTCAAGCCCAGCCACACGCAGACATGAGAGACTCCCAGGTCCCTCAAGCCTCCCAAGACCCTGAGGACCCTGAAGAGCCTCGCAGTCATCCGATAGCTCGCCGCACCGTCCGTGCCGTCCGCTCTTCCTACAGCATCTTCCCACGCGCCCAACTCCCGGCGCCGGTTCATCCCCCGCCTCCTCCACCACGCATGTCTGCTTTCCCAAAATCCCCGAGCCTGGCGAATCTCCGCAGAGGCCATCGCCCACCACCCATCCATCTTCACTCCATGCCCACTGCCACCGCAGCCCCTCTCTACTCTGCAACCGCGTCCCTCTTCTCCCCCCTCTCATCACCTCTCTACTCTCCCAACCCTTCGGACTATACCAGACCTCACACCTCGCATGGGAGTCGCTTCCCATCCACCACGGACCTTACCCACCCCCACTCCGCCCCGCTACCGCCTCATACACCCACCATGAGTATGAACACACTGTGCGGCCCGGACACGCCCAAATCCTTCTTCGACTTTGACTCGGACTCAGAATCGGACTCGGACGACCCGGAGCCCGAGCACGCCATCTCCCGCCTCGTCAAGACCCTGCACAAGCGCACTGCCAGCGAGACGCGGCGGAATGGGAAGGCGGCCGCCTTCGCGGATGCGCAGCTCCGCAAGGTCCGCGCCGAGACGGAGGCGGAGAGGATCCGGGAGAACCAAATGCTATTTGAGCGGCACAAGAGGTCCGGCGCCGTCTTTGGGCGCATGTTTGGGCGCGCGCACGGGAGGCCGTCGAACGCCTGAAGCAACATGACGCATGTATCCTCCATCTCAACCATCACTTGCGCATTATGACATATGGCCTATGAACGACAGGAAAGCGTGGGGCTAGCCGGAGTATCTTGTTTGTGGAGAAGCGCAGCGTTTCTGTTTTTTTTTCTTTCTTCCGCGTTTCTTTCTTTTGTCTTGTTGTTTCGCCTGTTTCCGCCGTTGCCCATTTGTTTGTTTTGGACGTTGTTTATCACGTGCTTGGTGGCTTTCTTACGCTTTACGTTTTATTATCATTATTACTACTGCTGCCATGCTATCAACGACGAAAAGGACATGGAGTCTGGGACGAGGAGGACTTAGTCGGCAAGAGGAGGAATGGAAATGCAGTCAGTCGCAGTGGCGAAGGAGAGGCGAAAAGGAGGAGCGTCGAGGGAGGGCGAAAAAGAAGGTTTGGAAAGGGAGAGACGACGGACGACTGGCGGGCGGGGCCGGTGTCAACGAGTCAGACGGATCAAACGACGACGACGGCAATACCTGGTGACGCAAAGTCCCTCGAGACAGGAAAAGAAGAAGAAGGAGGGAACGGCCCTGTGTTTTTCCGGGCTTGACGATGGCTTCGAGGCGAAAAAAGTCTCATGTTTTCTTGTTTTTTTCTCTTCTGTCAGTCTATTAGGACTACCACGATGGGACGACGACGCACCATGAATATCAAGATGGCAAAACATAGACACACACACACACACACACACAAACTCTTACAACAACAAAGACAAGGATTGAAAACAGATTGAAGAATAATCTTTTTTCTTCTCCATAGCTGAATGAGTAAATTCAAAAGAGACTTGTGTTTTTTGTTGAACATTGCCGGAGCCTCATAGCATGTGCTGCTTCCCCCCTCCCCGCGTCGCTCTTTGCCCGCGGAAACCCATGACGTCCCTTTGGCAGCAAGACTCTCGGGGTCTACCCGAGGCCAGGCCAGGCCAGGCCATCCTCCTTTCCGTTCCAGAATGCCAATCAAGTCCCACCGTCCACATGTTGACCTCCATGTGAAAAAGGGTTCTAGATCCGAGTTGCCAGAGGAACGGGGGCCGCTGACATGCAGAGGGAGAGGGAGGGATAAGGCACGCCACGACCATGTCGGATTTGCTAAGGTCGTTCTTGTGCCTCTTTGTGTTTCGGAAGAAAGGTTTAGGGCCATTTCGGTCTGCTTACGGGACCCGAATTCCAGGGGGCGGTCCTCGAAGCGAGATTCTCCTTTTCCTTTTCCCGCGCGAAAATGCTCTTTCTCTCTGGGTACCCAGCGACCGCCGCGAGGACGGACAACGGGAGAGTCTTGGAAATGTGGGCGGGACGGAACGGGAAACTCCAGATGCCAGCTAAACAACGCCCCCCCCTGATGGAGAGGCGGATCTATTCATCCCGCAGATCGGGAAGGGAATTAAATAAAAAAAAACCACTATGTACTAGCTGGAATAAGAAGATGGATACAAACTTCAATGCGTGATGCGTAAACAATTTCATGTCTTGCGTGTCCCCCGTAGCCTCGTTCTCGTTATCGTGTGAACAATTTCTTCGTACAGTCTTTGCGTGCTGTGAATGCCCCCGTCTAAACGCCATGCCAATGCTAGAGAAACCGAAAACGCCCCCCGGAAAGATGACAACAGAGAAACAGAGAAAGAGAACGCCATGTAAGAACTAAGCCAAGATATGAACAGTAAACTTTTCCAAATTGATGGTCGCGAGGCGTAAGACGTTTGCGTTGCGTCTGACCTCGCGCCATTCGATCGTTCGTTGCCCTCCCTCCGGGCGAGGCCAGGGAGGAAGGGCGTGGATTCCCATTTAAGCATTAAATCATGGAAGGGCGCGACGGTGCCCGCTCATGAAACGACTTGCGCTCCGTGAAGCGCTTCTGCCTCCGGACGCCGAGCCGTCTCTCGTCGCGGCCGGGCCAGTACCCAAACATCCACGTGCTCTGCGCCGCGGGGGTCGTCGACCCGGGCCCCGCACCGAGGTAGACGCGCAGCTTCTCCTTGGAGCGGGGAACGGCCTGGAAAGCCGGGTCCTGGGCGTTGTCCTCGTTCGTCAAGAACGAGAAGATCTCGGCGGGGCAGGTGACGGCGTGCGGGAGGCGATACTGGTTGCGTCTAAAGAGTAGGGAGACGAGGCCGAGGAGGTAGAGGACGAGGAGGGCGAGGATGACGCCGAAGACGGGCACGTTGGGGAACATGCGGACGCCCGAGGGAGCAGTGAGGGCCATGAAGAGGCCGCCACCGAGGGCGGGGAGGAAGGCCAGGACGAAAGTGAGGAGCGAGAGGGCGGCGACGCGCCAGTGGCCGTTGCGGATGGCGTGGAGAGTGGATTGGAGGGGTAGGCAGGCGGCGTAGTCGGCGAGGACGGAGCGGCAGGCCGGGGCGCCGTCCTTGGCGCCGAGGTCGGCCCAGGGCTGGAGGATCCGGATGTACAGCTCGAGGGACTGGAAGGCGAGGTATAGGAGCAGACCGATAAAGCTCGGGACAAAGCTGTAGAGGAAGTTGGCGGCGGAGAAGGCATCAGTGGTAGGGGCCGCGGGAACGCCCGGCCGGAAGCCCACAATAAGACTGGTCCGGTTGAGGAAAGATACCACAAAGAGGGCGATGAGGAGGACGGTGGCGGCGACGACGAAGAAGAGAACCTGGCCGGTGCGCAGGCACCAGGGAAGGTAGAGGTTCCGGATATAGTCGTCCTGGCCTTCGTTGATAAGGTGGGAGGTGACGGACAGTCGGTCCGACTCGTTCTTGAGGTCATAGTGCTCGGAGGGCTTGTTGCCCTGAGAGTGCTCGGTGCCGAGGCCGTACCAGGGCATCTCCTGGTTGTTATCCGTCATCCAATACCCAAGTCTGTCGACGAGGCGGTTTCGCAAGATCCTGCGCAGCATGTTGCGGTTCTCGGCAACCTCTGACCCGCGGTAGGACTCGCGCGTGTTGCTCCTGCTGATCATGACGGAGAAGTCGGCGATGGATCTGGGGTCCCAAATGAGCCCTGTCACGCGGTTATGCCAGAAGAGCATCAGGAGGACCACGGCACCGATGACGAGGACATAAAGGCCCACCAGCGTCCAGACGACGCCCTGGACGGCGGTCCAGTACCAGACTTGTTTGTTGAGGATGACGGTGAAGGAGGCGCTCGCAAGGGGGATCGTGAAAGCGCCAAGCCACAAGATCACCAGAGCGATCTTGACTTGGACGGGTCCGGCGAGCTGGGGGAGAAGGAACGTCTTGGGGTAGAGGTCCTGGAAGAGGGCATTTCGTCTCCGCAGGGGCTCGTCTTCGGTCAATGCCACAAAAGGCAGGATTCGCAGTGTGGTCGTCGCAACACACTGCGTGTACACGAAGATGGCGGCGGCGATGATTTGCGGCAGAAGGCGGAACAAGAAGTACTTGCCGCTGTAGATGGTCTCGCCATATGTGAGCAAGCCGGGCTGGATCGGCGAGTAGATGGCAGCGACGATGAGACAAGCAACCATTGCCACGCACAGCACCATGAGCATGATCATGGAGGGAAGCCTGAGGATCGCGGGCACGTAGGTGAGACGGGGAAACTTCACGCGGTCCTCGTCAATCGTGTCGATCTTCGTCATGCCCGGAAACACGCTCTCCTTTTCGCTGATGGGAAGCCACTTTGGTGTGGACTCGGCGAGGGGGACCTGTTCCTGATTGTGATGATACCTGGAGTCGGCTGAGTGCGGCGGCGACATGGAGATGATTCGGGTGCCCAGAGACATGGATGGACGCTCGCCGCCGTGCGACTGGGGACGGGACTGGCGAAGGAACGAGTCCCGAGCGTGACTGGGGACGGGGACCATCGGAGTGAAACCGCCTTCAGGCTCGCCGCTAATCTGCGGGCTCTCAAGGTTGTCCGGGAGGTAGCCGGCCACGCGGTAGTAGCCATTGTTCTCGGCGGGAGAAGGCACGCTGGATGGAGGCGAGAAGTTGTGGCCATGTTCCCGCGTCAGTGCCTCCAAGGCGTAGCGCAGGTAGGGGGTGTCGTCTACGCCCGGTGTGACTGAGCCGTTGGCGGCGATGGTGAGCTCGTCGCGGAAACCTTTGCCACGGACACGGTTCGTGACCTCGTCCATGGCGAGCTGGGCCTCGTTGAAGCGGACTGCCGGCTGTGAGACATAGGGGTCCTGGGTGTTGAACATGCTGCCAATGACGACTGGAGCAGGGAAGTTCTGCTCCGGGTGGTAGGTGCTTGGTTGAGGTTGCTGTGAAGGTGGTGAGGGTGCGTGGGGGACGAAGTCGGGCGGCGGGGAGATGGTTTCCTGGGGGCTGGAGTCTTCTTCCTCTACGCCATACGCATAATGTTGCCTCGTAGCGTGGTGAGGACGAAGAGTGTTTGGAGTGGACGACTGTTGTGATGGTGTCCTGGCAGACCAAAACTGAGGAGGGTATTGGCCGCCTGTGGTGAGGCCGTTAGCACTTCGAGTCAGAAACGGGGGCATCCAAATATGGAGGACCTGGAAGAAGGTGGTGGTGATGATAATGAGGAGGATGAGGAGGAGGATGAAACATGCAAGAGTAGAAGTTGGTGTGGGTGAATGAAGAGGGAGTGAGAAAGGGGAATCAGGTCGCGAAGTAGGATGCAGACATACGTTGTTCTTGCACGAAGGCGTCGGGGTGGGCGTTATGAGAATACATGACTCCTTAGCCCTTCGTCTTTCATGGGTTGTTGGTTGTTCGTTGCGAGAATCTGTTAGATGCGGCGTGTGAGCGCTCCACTCCGAACGAAGCGACGGGCCAATTGCGAGCGGCAGAGAGACGGGCGGAGATATCTGCAATGGAACAGGTGCATAACGCAAAGGAGGAGGGAGGGAGGGCTATCCATCGTGGATGGGTGGGTGGGTGGTGGTGAGGTTTTGCTGTTTGCCGCCTGCTGCGAATTGCAAGTGGTTGGGAAGCGGGATCGTGATGCATCATCAGGAGTTTGTGACTGGTGAAGGAGCCGGCGTTGGTGTGTGAGGTTTGGAGGTTGGAGGTTGGGAAGCCGACGGCGTTGCCCTCCCAGCCACCGAGAAACCCCACCGAGATCCTGGAACCCCCCGGGGACCCTGACCGGGCGCTAGGCCCCGTAGCGCCCCGGACGCAGGAACCAGAGCCAGAAGGGGAAGAAAACGGAACGAAAGACAGGGGACACTTACGCGGAATGCCTTTTTTGATTGTGCAATTATCACCGAAAGGCAAGGAAGATACTAACCGCCGTTTGGCATACAGAAGAGAGGACCAAAAGATGGAAGTGAGGATTTCCGTGTGGTAGCAGTTCATCTCGTCTTTGTATCCTCGTACAGCATCGATTTCAAGGTCGGGCAAAGGTACGTATCCTGCAGTACAGCTGTCCTGCAGCTGTCTACCAACCTAAAAATGCCCGACACCACGTCCATCACCACAGCGAGGCCCTTCCACTTGCTTCTTGGGTATGGCCTTTGTGCCTGACAGGCTGGCAGTGAGATAGTGACGCTTTGGGACTTGAAGGACACCAAAGGACACCACAAGCATTGGAGGGACGCATAGGTAGCCCCACCAACGGCACCGCGTCCCCATATCCGCTGCTACCTCGTCGCAGGGGGGGATGTTTTCTCAGTGGCTGGGTTGCAGGGGTATTCGCCCCACACTTGGCCGCCAGAAGCCTGGACTGCTTGCTTTCCCCTCGTCTCGTTCTTTTTTCTCAATTCGCACACATATGCACTTGTCTCTGCAGCTTTCCTTGATCAATCTCTTGCCCTGAATGTGATACCTGCTTGTTGCCTCGGACCAAACGTCTGGCTGCAGCAGCAGCAGCAGCAGCATCATCGAGTCGCTATTTTCTCCTGCAGCTTTCCTTCTTCACTCGTTCTTCAATCCCTGTTGTCCAAGATCGGGGGAGGAAGCCGGTGGCGTTGGCACATATTTGGCTGCAGGAGGCGGGAGAACCGCCCAACGCCGGCTGAGGCTGAAGCTCACCGCCGGAGGGCCGTCAAACATGAGACGACGCGTCTAGCGGTCTGCTAGTCGATGCTTGAGTAGACAGCCGTCGTCACCGAGATTCGTTTTTGTGATGGTTGATGGACTTTTCGATGTTGTCTCACCCCCCTGCTTACCGTCAAGTCAGCAAGTCGAGGATTGACTATCGCAGGCCCGGCGATTGCGATGATATCGATCCCTTTCCCACCTCTCCCCTCCTAGTGTAGTATATGCACACAACCAAAACCATTGCATGTCGCTTTCATTTCATCCGCTCTGAATGTTCCAGTTCCCGTCAAGCGGCCTCGGCCGATGGCCATCTCCATTTAAGTGGACCGACCCATAGGGTGGAATCGTGAACAAGGGAGCCAATTGAGTAGGGCTACGCGAATCTATATCCCAAATTTGTCGGTCCATAGCTCAGCTTGTAAGAGGGTCGTACTAAGAAACATTCCCTCCATCAGTGGAGCTAAGATGCGAAGGCCAGCAATTCGATCCTCTCTGGGATTAGGCCTCTTGCATGGCTTCTCGCTGAGTTCTCTAGTGAAATACAGAGTTCACCCGGGTGTTTGGTGAGAGCTCAGCCAAGCTGCGCAACATGGCCTTGACCATCTCGGTCTCTTGTTTCAAATGGGGAGATTCAGTTCTCGGCCGTTCAGTTAAATCAATTCTGTAAAAAAAAAACAGTCATATCGTCATAATCTCAAAGGACCGACTTCCTCCACAACGCGCGCTCCTCCACATCCTACAACTCCTCACTCTTCATCCCGTCTCCCCCTTCCATATATCGACCTAATCGTCTCTTGAGATCCGACATACTGATTTGACCTCTATCTCCATTCAATATCATGTCTTCTGTCTCCGACGCCGGCGGAAGAAGCACTTCATCCACGATATGCACGACCCCGTCCCGTGCCGGCACATCCCTCACCGCGACCGCCGCCCCGTTAACCTTCACTAGTCGTGACCCGTTCAACCTGTCAACGTCTACCGAAACGGTGCTTCCAAGCATCGTCTCGACTTCGTGCCTGTCCTCCCCCTCCTCCTCCTTGGCAACGCCACCACCCACATCCGTATACACTATCTCCTGAGCGACGTGGTGCCTCACCAGAGCCTTCAAAAACTCCACCCCGACATCAGAAAACAAGAACCGACGCAGATCCTCGCCCAGTCTCTCCCAGGCCTCATTCGAAGGCGCGAAGAGTGTCACACCCCGCTGGGCAAGCGCGTGTGGCTCCTCGCTCCATCCAGTCACCTCCAACGCCCGCGAAAAGGTCTCCAGCTGCTCCGGCAGGGAATTCACAAGAGCAGCACGTCGCGGCGGCGGGACCAGGACGCTGTCGATGTAGTGAACTACCCCGTTTCTTGCTTCTTTCTGTGCGCAAGAGTCAGCACAAGCCTCATCCATGCGTCTGTCTCGGAGACGATTAGACACTCACAGATTCAGCATCGACAACCCGTCCGTAAAAGTTCACCTCAACTCCCAATCTTCCCGCCGCAACCCTCAGCCGTTGCCGTCGGCCGCCGAGCTCGCTCTCTTCGAGCACCGTCGGAAGAGTCCTCGCCTCACGGAGTTTGTCGGCGGGGTGCCGTCCCTCGAGGACGTGGTACTCAAGAATTTCCCCCAACAGCGCCCCCTCGCTCTTCTCGAACCCCTCGAGGTTTCGAAAGGCCTCATCAGTGGGCACGAACACTGTGAAATCCCTCTCCTCGTCCTCAAACATGTCCCGGAGCTCGTCATATGACTCCAGGAGCCGTGCAAAATACGTCGCCTGGTTGCTCTGCTGGATGATCTCAATGACACTCATGTTCGTCGACTGGGCAACGCCTTCCTTTTGGCTCGGCCTCGGCACATCCTGAGTGTGCCGCAGAGTTCCAGTCGTAGTCTCGACTTCCAGTATCTCGGAGCCGCCGTAGTATCCTCCGACCCTCCTCCCCGACCGCGTAGCGGCGTCGGCGGCATGCAACACAGCCTCGCCGATATAGTCAACCGCACCATCAAGCGTCGTCAGGATCTCGTCCAGCGTCGGCAACCCTTTCCACTCCAAGGATCCTGCGCTGTTCCCCTCGCTTGGCATCGGCGCCTGCGGCCTCCTCGCATTATCGGGAAGCGCGGCCGCAGCAACAGCCGCAGCCGCGAACGGTAGAAGATGGCGTGGCTTCATATCCTCCGTATCCTCGGTATCGGGTTTCCAAGACGTAGAAGACCGGACGTGGCTCAGAATCTTTTCAGAGAGAATACGGCGGAGAGTTGTGGATGTGTTAAAGTAGATATGCACTGGACGTCCCATGGGAGCCTCGGGTTTGTCTACCATATATTGGAACAGAATGGGCTTCTTTAGGGCTCTAAAGGCTTGAGACATCCAACCCTGATGAGGACGGAACGTTGCCGGTACATTTTACTGTTTCCGTCCGCTCGAAGAGAATGCGGATACAAACGGGCTTCTAGTATGGAGTCATAGAGGTTCCTCCCGGGGCTTGTAAGACGCCGCCGGATGGGGATGGGCCATCAGGGTCCGCAACACCGGGGAGCGACTTACATCGCAGCACGCGGCTCTTGCGTTGCAGATTTGGGGCTTGTTCCACATCGTCCTTGATATTCATAACAATCCGGAGTTCTGACTGGCTGAGATGCTCCTCAAAGCAACGTCCCCATGGTCCTCGGGACAACAAGGTGGCTGTCAGCTGCTTCGACCGCACCATCACCAAACACCAAGTCTCGACGCCGCCAAGAAACGTGGGGTATACTCTTGCCTCTCGTTCCAGAGACGTCAGAGTTTCAGTCACATTGAGTATTGTGCAAGTCTCCCGAATCAAACCCTCGGACCTCCGAACCCGCCGACAATTCTCACCTCTCCAGTCTTCCTCTCGGCAACCTCAAACGCGTCAACCACCCTCCCGCCTCTGACATCGACAGCAGCCCACCTCTGCTCTCTTGCCTTCCTCGTCTTCATCGTGTCAGAAGAGGCCCCCTCCCAGACGCCAATCTCGTCCAGCAGAACCTCTATAATCCAGACATACCTTACAGCCCCCGTGAGTCCATCATCTTCCCCGCCACCGGCGCCATGCCCAGGCCCAGGGAAATACAACTTTTCCGCGTCCTCTTTGTCCCTCGGCACCCTCGTGCATAAAAGATGTAAATCCAAAAGCTGCGAAAACACCAGCCCAAACGTCGGCTTGTTTCGTCTCGACGCCACCTGGTTGCTGCCGTACCCCACGAAATCTAGCGGGGGTGGGTTGAAGATCGACCGGAGAGTTGGATCGAGCGGCTTGTTGCCGCTACCGCTCGTGCTTCCACCATGGTTCGGAGGAGGCAGCATCGGCTGCGGCGGGCCGTCTTGATGGTTTGCGGGCCTGGCCGCCGAGGTATCCTTTGAGGAGCTCGTGCTATTGAGCAACATGATCAAAGGACTGCTCGGCAGATTCCTCGCTAAGTACCGCAGGTGCGAGGAGAGAACTTGCAGCGAGTTGTGCGCAGATTGCCGGTCGCGGCGTGTGAAGAGGGCCGTCATGAGGCTGTGAAAGTGCGTGATGAGGATGATATCCGGTGGTCCTGGTTCGCTTGGTTCCCCTTTTGGTGTTTGGTCCTTGATCCGCTCCTGCAGTTCCTGCAGAATCTCCTCTCGCGTCTCGTTTTGGGTTTCCTCTTGTATTTCTTCCTGAAGCTGTTCTTTCGAATTCGACTTTTCTGGGGAGTCTGCCGCCATATACGGTGTCGGGGACCGAATTGACGAAGGTGGCGGCGACAACTCACTCGATGATGACAAGGCATCCTCCTCATCGCTGTCTGCGATTTCCGTCCTTGTAGGCTTGAGAGGTTTAAGTTCCGGCAATACTAACCTCTCAGGTCGTTCCTCCGGCGTCAACTGCTTTGGTAAACTCGGTGAGGGCTCTGGGATTCGCACAGCCTCTCCCGTCTCCTCCTCACTCTTCCCCTGCTTCTGCTGCTCAGGGGTTGGTGGTGTTTTCGAAGCTGCACTCTCAGGCGGAATATCCAAATCCCCCAGAACCTCCCACAGCCCCTCCAGATCAAATACCCTCGACACGGAGACCCTCTCCAGACAGCCCCTCAACTTGCTCTGCATCTCCGCCTCGGCGGTTTTGCGCGCCTTGAGCTCAGCCCTGATTGCATCCCTCAACGTCGGGAGAATGGTAGCAGGCGGCTGCGTCGTGATGACCATCGCTCTCGCCTTTCCTCTGGCGGCATCGCCACCATCCTGTCTGCTTAGCGTGTTGACCAGCGCCTGCAATGAAATCTGAGGATGAGTCAGTCACCAATCATCACATGTCCTGCTTCGTCTTCCCCCCCAACGAAACCACAGCCAGCAACTTACAAGAAGCCCCATCTGCTCACTCTCAGCACTAAGTCCAACAACACTGCCCCTCTCAAATCCGCCCACAAGAACCTCCTCATCCACCTCCCGACACCCAACCCTCAGAGATCCTCTCGCCTTCGCCGCATCACGCCGCTTCGTCTCCCGACTGCATAGGACTGCCGCGGAAACCGGATCTAGAGTGAAATGCGAGCTCGCCTGCGACCCCAAGAAGAGCTCGCCAACGGCCGCGGTAGCCATGGTCTCGTCGTCCGCCCTTATCTGGGTTCTATTGGCTCAGCACAGACTCTGCCGTCCGTAAATAAGGTCGACGATATTGTCGTGGCATGTCATCTCTCTCAAGTTTCAATAATGTGCTCGAATGGATGGTGCGGCCGTCTACATGATTTGAGGAAAGCTGACAGAGGCAGGAGGGTATCGCGAAGTCACATGACAAAGTATTTTTTAAAGTTAGTTCCTTCCGGGTTCAGGGGCAGCTGGGGGTTAATCCTCCGCCCGAATCGAGATCCAGTCTCGGCGCCTCGGGCCAACAGGCACAGGCACTACAGTCCACCGGGAGGACTAGTCATTCACCTCAATGACATCATTTCTGCTATCTTGCATGAATGTCACCCGAGCTTACTCCTTGCTCAGTGCATCCCGTCCGGACTTCGCCAGAGAATACCTTGCATTCTATCAAATCATGCACTTCGGCCTTTGCCGTGTCAATAAGTTATTCCTTGTTCCAAAAATATCCTGCACGTGCATTTCATCAGGAGAAGTAAAGAACTAGGGAAAAGAAGGGAAAGAATTGCGGCTGGTTCTGAGGCTCAATAGTCTCGATTTTTTTACTAAAGCTAATTCGTAACAATCTGCCGACGGACTGTTGGTTGCCTGCTCTATACCTTCCCCATGTGTAATGTGCCTCTGTGGGCTGCTGGAATATTTGTAGTCAAAAGAGACAGAATAGGAGGCTCGTTTCCTCCCAAAAAAGAAATAAGATTATTCACGAGAAAGGTATCACTTGTCGGGCAGTGGAAACCAGACGCGTATGTGCGACTGCTCCGCCCTGACAGTCGTAGTAGTTCTCGTCATGGTGGCTTCTCCAAGAGCCACTCCAACCCAGTCCGAGATTCCTATCTTTGTTTACTCCTCCCCAGGTTGATCCAGAAGTCGATATTGGCCAGGCGCACTGCGTTTGTCGTATCAGGTTAACCCGATATGTGCAGCGTAGCTTGGCCGGTATATATGGGTTCACATCGTCGGGTGGCTTTGGGGTGCCTCATTATCCCCTGCCGCAGCGGACTGCCTTGTCGCAAGGTGATTCAAAGGAATTAAGGACTGCCTCCTGGCGTTGCGTCGCTGGCATCCGCCACCAGGTGTCCTTCGGTTCGACTCAATGAGCTCATATCCAGATTCCTAAGTCCTGCGTGTCCACTAGGCGGCAGTTCCAGGCGCCGGGGGTGGCGCAATCGCGTCAGAAACCTGGCGCCTTCGACCACCCTTCAGACTCTTGACTCTGGCGAGGAAGCCTCCAGAAGGCTTGCTAGGTCCGTCTTCGGTTGGTGAAGTGACATCGGCCGTAGCGCGGCGCTCAAGGCCGTTGGCAGAGCCCCGTCGGGGAACCGGCGGTGGGCTGCCAGGCGACTTGATGCCATTTTCAGTGCGTCTCACCGAAATCGTCTCTGGCTCCTTTCCGTACTCTGAAAAGAAGGGGTTTCGCTCGCCGGTGTACGAAATGCTCGTGGCAGGGCCGTTGGCGTCAGGCGATCTACGTGAGGTGTAGGCACCCTCAGGGTTGGTAATGCGGCCGGAAGGACCGTACTCACGCGGCTCTCGCTTGATGCCACGGATGCGCTGGGCAATTGACTTGCTCCTGCCAAGACCCTCAGCAGCAGTCTGTTGGGCCTGCTCAGCCTGGGTGCGTTGGATTGCAGCACGGGCTGCAGGGGTGCCCTCGAGGAATGTTGAGGCGCCAAGGCCCATGGACTCTTCGCCGTAGACGATAGAACCGCGGGATCTAGGGTCAAACACAGCCGGGTCGTTCTTCCGCTCAGCGTTTCGTGCAGCAGCGGTGGCGAAGTCCGCAGACGCGTCACCGTCGTTGTTACCCAAGAAGGTAGCGTGATCGGGACGCTTGTTAAGGGGACCGGCACCGCCCAGCGACATGTTTAACGAGTCCTTAGCGAAGGCATGCATCGGTGCGCGCCTGCTACCCTTGCGATTGCGATGCGGGTTCGCCGCATCAAAGGGGCCATCGTGGTGGAATACTGGGTTCATTAGCACCGAGGAGCGAATGACGGAATGGGGGATAGAGAACCTACATCCTGTGCCGTAGATGCTGGTGGCATCCAGCTGATCAATGATGTCGAGCCTGCGACTGGGCTTCTTGGGGTCCTTATCCTTTCCTTCCCGGGCGCGACGCTCTCTCTCACGACGTCTGGCTTCCTTTGCCTTCTTCTCTTCCTCAGTCAGAGGCTTCTCAATGTCAATCAGAACCGACGAGTCCGAGTTCCTACGCGGTCGGCGTTCCTGAGGTCGGCGTTGGGGCGATCCCGGCGCTCCTGCTGGTCGGGGAGGTCCACCGTTACTGCCTTGGAGACGTCGCTGTCTCATCGCCTCCTCCTGGGATCTCGACGGGCGGTGCCCGGGGGGCGGAGGGCCACGGCGGCCAGGAGGCACGTTTTCGCGTCCAGACTGGCCAGGAGGGCGATTCGTCGGGGCCCGTCCTTCATCGGGGCGCGATTGCTTCTGGTCGCTGATGATCAAGGAGTCCTGTGCGATGGAAAGGTCAGTAAACCTTATCTCTCAACAGTACGCGTGTGTGGCAATCGACGGGCGACCGAATGGTACATTCAGGCCGCCTCAATTGAAAATCTAGGGCACGTACAAATAGCTCCTCGGCAGTGGGCGATGCCTTGCGGTCGAGCGTTGGTGCCATGTTGCCTACTCCGATCAGGTTTGGTTGACTAGACGAGTATGATGGATCAAGGAACGGGTTGCGCGAGACAGGTCGAGGAGGAGGGTCGTCAAAAGGTGAAGCGGGTGAGGTGTTGCTATAGGTAGCGCCGGACAGGAGTGGGGAGGCAGCGCGGTTGCGAAAGGGGTTGTTGGATGAGAGATTAAGCGTTAGGCCAGCACCGGCAGACCTGCTAGGTTGATGGCCTGTTCCAAGGAAGTAAAGTCAGCACCTCGATAGGAGAAAGACATAGGCAGAGACGGCCCCATGCATGCGAATGACGGCGAGGGGGGAAGGGATGTGAAACATGAGGGAGGTATACATGACACAGCAGGTTCGACAATTGGGTGGAGCGGGCGCCGTGCTTGCGTTTGCTTGGGCGGCAGTGCAATCCGTGAGAAGGGCGGCTCTCTTCCCGTTGGACAAGGCCAAAGTCAAAGGGGTGATAAATCCGGGAAGATGGTGGCAGGCATGGAAAGGGGGGGTGGGAAGAGGGTGGGAAGTCAAGCAGGATGGGACATGCCGATGCGCATATCCATATCCATATCCATATCCATATCAGTGCTCGATGCTTGGCTTACCTGACTGTGTTGATTGTGCCTTTGACATTTTGGCTGTGGTTTGTGAAAGTCTGGGATGGTGTGGTACCCGTGTTGCCGTGACGGGAGGGATGGAATACGGATAATGATGATGGACAGGCGCGTCGTATCGAAAATCAAGGGATCGGCCTTTTTTCCGCAAAAAAGGGGAGCTGGCCGACCGGTCGATGAAGGAGCGACGAGCGTTGCTGGAGAGCTTGATTTTCTTTGGTTCCTAAATGGCCGTTCCTAGCGTCATACCTCGCTGCAGGGACGGCAAACACAACAAGGAACGGGGGGTGTTTTTTTTTTTTTTTGGAGGGGGGGAGCCACTCGACTGTTCCTCGGCAGGTGCTGTGCGTGGCCCGCGTTGAGTGCGGCAAGCTGCGGTGGATGGGCGGCTGGGGCCTGGAGGACTCGAACTGGGTGACCGTGGGTTGTGGAGCGAAGGTACCGATGGTGGGTGGGAGGAAAAGAAGGGGAAAAAAGGGGGTGAGTTGGCCCAACCCGTGGGAATATCGAGGAACCTCGACAATCGGCAATGCGCGTCTGTTTGGTTTGCAGTGCACAGCTTTGCTGCAGGTTGCCTTTTTCTTTCTACTTTGGTCAATGTCAGCTCAGGGAAACCCACTGGCTTTTGGTTTGGTTTGGGTCGACTGGGGGGGAGCTGATAGAATATCGGGCTTGGGGCCAATTCAGGGGGAAATTTGGTCTGCTGGGGAGCGAGTGGTCTGGCTTGGAATTTTGGGTGGTAGAGTGGTGGATCTAGGGTCCACGCTGCGCCGAGCGAGGTTGAAGGGGTTTGGCTGCTTGGTTCTGAATAGGACTGGGGATCGGGGATTTGCGAAAGGATGCCCGGTGGGCAATGCCGTTGAATGGATGAACGCGCAACCAGCCAGGCCAAGCAACAGCGGTATGAAGAGTGGGCCGAAAAGGGAACTGCAAACTCACATTGACTTCTTCCTGCCGTTACTTTCTTTTTTTCTGCCAACTACTGCGCCCTTATCCCGGGTTGTGGGATAATGTCTCCCTTCTTTTTAGGGGGGCCTAGCTGACTGATATGTCGTTGCTCGGTACTCCAAGCTATGGAATAGAGACACTCCGAGAAGGATCCAGAGTGTCGCCAAGATCAATGTCGTGTTTGACGGTTTGTGCAATCGACAGGTAGGTAGGTAGGTGGGTGTATTGCTTGTGTGACGCGGGCTCGGTGCGCCTGCAACACGGACCGGGTCGACCCAACTTCTTGGTCGCTTTGGTCAGGTCAAGTCGGACGGAGGACCCAACGGGGTTGCGTCGTGGACAGACAGGCGGCCGTGCTGCCTACTTTGTCTCGGTACCGGCGAGGGGTGACTGGGATGGGCTGGCGTGTCGGGGGTGTTCCGTTCGAACCGGTTCTGGTCTCCCTTCTCGACTCCGGATGTGCCAATGGTCGGAGCTCGGGGCTTGTGTTGTGTTCTCTGGTCGAGATGACGGTGTTTCTACTGGGTAGTTCCTATCGGTAAAGAACGTGCTTTGTGTGCCTTGGGTTGGTGGCACTGTCGCTGCTGCTAGTTGTGTTTGGACGCTTAGAGAATGCGGGCGGTTTGGTCGGTATGGAATATGAGACGTGACGTCGGATGGAGGCGCTGAGGGTCGACCAAAGAGAACGGACGAGAAGCCAAAGGGAGAGTCGACGAGGTTCTCGAGTCCGGTGGAGAAGATTGGTGGGATAGACGAAGTCGGGTTCAGTTCGAGATCGTGTATGGTAGAAAGTGAGATGAAAGCGAGGGAGGTTTGGCAGGTGGCAATGGGGTTGTCGAGACGGGAGGAAGGGGGGGGGAGCTGGAAGCTGAAGGAACACCACACGACCTCCCGTTGCAGGAGACGAGAGAACAAAGGAAGGAGGCGGGCCGCGGAAGGCGCAAACCGAGAAGGAATCCCGAGTAGTCCAGAAAGGAACGAAAGAGGGTTGAAAGGGAAAGGAAGGGTAGGAGCAAGAGCAAGAGGCCAAGCTAAGCAGGTGCCGACTGCGGGAGAGAGGGAAACGGGCAAGAGCGATCGATGGCTTATTACGTTAGGTGGTATTAGCTGGTCTTCCTTTGGGAGAGAAGGAGAGAAGAGAGAGGGGGAGGGGAAAGAAGCCGTCTCACAGGGCGAGAGGAGGAGGAAATAATAATAAAATGAGGACGAAGCAGAAAGAAACACATCCTTACGACGCAGTCCCGATCCCCGCGCATTCCACCCGTTCCGATTGTCTCCTCTCTATTTTGGCATCCATCCCATCAAAAAAATCATCTGTCAGGCCAGGTGCACCTGAACTGGGACCTCCTAGTCTTGGGCCTGGGTGATGCATCTGGACCACCACCCAATTTCGACCTCGCACATCGACCTCGACCTAACCTGAGCTAGCCTCACCTCACTTCTACATAATACTCGCCTCCATCAAGTCCAAGGATATGGGACTTTGGCCGTTGGGCATTGACCACTCGATGTTGTTGTTGTTGAGTGGATAGACGCCTCCTCCAGCTCGGGTCCCCCTCAGCCCGGGTTTGTGGCTGCTTCGTGCACAGTAGGCGGCAGGCGGCAGACATGGCAAGGCCTTCCAAGCTCTCACTTCACGCTTCGACGACACCTTTCATTACGAGACCTGTTGCCGTATTACACGGATACCTTGCCTCGAAACCTCAGCTTGCCTCTCCTTGGCAGCTAGCTCATTACAGTCTCTACCACACCCAGAATCCAGCCGGCTGTCGCATCGCACAGGGCACAGGCACTGGGGCCTCACGCGCAATCTCTCTCGTGTCGGCCCAGATTCAGCACCAAGCTTCCAGGCCAAAGATATCCACCGCCGCTTTGCATGTCTGCCAGTCCACACTCGAACGAGTATCGCGGCATGGGGTCTTGGAAACACTAGCAATGACCAACGCGGGAGTGATAGTCCTCGGCTGACCGGGGTACAAACGAAACGTGCCGACGACACCAGCCCCCAGGACCCTTAAATGATCTCTATTCATTCCACACACTAGAATAGACAGAAGACCGTCTTCTGCAAACCAAGTCATGTCAACTGATTGGTGCATAGTCGAGCGATAGGGTGCGATGCGCCCATATTCGCTCCCAGTGGAATTCCGCAAAACAAGACGACCAGTTGCAGTTGTTATCTGCTGCAGCATCGAAGGCCCCGACATTGCCTTCTGACCCCAACGGAATCAAAAGCGACGACGGCACGGAAATAGAGGGGAAACCCCGTTCGGCGCTGGAGCCATCTGGCCGACGATGCATTGCATCCCCCGGGCCGCATGGTTGTGTCTGACCTGCCCTACCTTATGTTTATGCACACACCGGCTCCAACCGACGAGCCTTCTTTGGGCCGCGCTGCTACCTTGACTTGGCTCGCCGCCTGTCAGCTACTCTGTGGCATGTATCTGACATCAGTCAAGGTCAGACTTTGTCTTTCAGCCTACGTACGTACCCTCCACTTGGGCCCACGGCCTCTTGATCCTTATTTCTTTTTTCACTTGGTCAGAGGCTCACCTACGTAACAGAACAATCTTCATCCCGAGCACTTCGTCCGTCTTGGGACAGATACGTTCAATGGCAACCTCGATGACCCATTCGGTGGTGACACCACTCTCTTTACCTGGAATCAAGATGAGAGATGGAGCTCTACGCCCGCCTAGACCCTGGTACCTTCAGCGACTGGAGATGACGAGAACCAAAAGAAGACCTAGGGCCCTGGTTCGTCGCCCGCTTTCTCAAATGCTGGACTGCAACCTCGTGTTGGCCCCCCCGGTCATCTCATTGCGCCAAGCAAACACGGGGTGCAGCAGCACTCTTTGGACGTCACTGCGTCAGACCCCAAAGAGCTCTTGTCCATCACCCCGGCTCCCGACGGGCTGTTAACACTACAACGCTACAACTGTCAAAGTCAGCCAGCCCGGTTTTACTACTATTCCATTGTCATTGCACACATGCTCAAGTCCGTCTGCCGCTCGCCCCGTGACGCATCCAGCCCGTTCGCTGTAACCCCCACAAAGTCCGGCCATCTCGGTGGCGCCCAATAGTTGCTCTGCATCGGACAGCCCAGTTCATCGCTCGATCTCAGCTGTCATCCAAGCGCAAACAACCGTGGCCCTCATCGCCAGTGCGTCAAGGGAGCTATCAACATCCACGCACAGAGATTAACAGAGATCCCGAGAGGAAACAGGCCCGCTTTATTTAGGGAGCGATAAGAGGACCTGCGCGCGGTGTTGGTCGGTTTGAGATCGATACCGATTAACACTCATTCAGCAACAAGCGTCAAACAACTTGCCGATTTCCCTTGCCAAGCTTCGGACCGGGAAACCAAACGGGCATCGGGCACCCCCCAACGAGCAACGAGGGAGATACCCTCCAATCTCAGCCCCCAAATCCCATCCCTCCTAGCATACCACTGGCCCTTTGGCTGGCCAGCAACGCGTAAGCAAACGCAAGGAAGCAATACGCCGACTTTGAAGACATAAGTCAAATACCTCTGGCACTTGGCACCAAAAGCAACTTGTGCCAGGCGCCGTCGTCGTTTGCTCGAGCCGACACTGCGACGTCAGTGGCATGACGCGCTTCTAACTGTGGCACCTGAACTCCGCGCCCCCTTTTGTTCTTCGCAATGCTTCTCTTCATCTCACTCACACCTCGCTTCATACCTGATCGGGGAGCCGCTTCCGTCGTCACGGTGCCCCGTAGAACAAGATGTAGGAAGCAGCGTCACCCCAGGCTCACATCGCCAATCTGAAACGCAAGCGAGCTTTTAACGGACGAGAGCATTAGAGCGAAAATCTCTCGACGGAGCTTGTTCATATGAGCAGATGAGCATGGGGAATTTGATTAATATCGACAGCTGCGGCAGAGGCTCCGCTAAACAATAAGAGCAGGGGCCGGCCGGACGATGCGTTAAGGCGCGCGATCTCTCAGAAATTCCCCTTGGGCGGCGCGAATCCCCCTCCCGGTCCCCATCGTCAATGGGCCATTTGCGGAAAAAATGCGATTGTGACCACCACCGGATCTCCTATTTTTACAGCATCCTTATTACTACTTTGAGTGGCTGGCTTTCCCGTCAGTGCTCAACCTCCACTTGGGCTACGGGAACTGCGGGGATGCAATCAAGCGAGTCGTTCGTCTCATTTGCAGCGTTGCACACGTGAACAGCCTCTGACACCGTCGAGCCGCTATTGCCCGCTAATCCGAGCTCGAGTGGGATACAGGGTTCTCGACGACCATAAACTTGCTCCTTATGACTGTGGAATGTTGCACAGTAGAATGGGCGGTATTCACGTAACAGTCCCCGCCGAACCCAGCCGCCCCCCCCCCCCAATTGCTTTGCCCTCATCCTAGCTCAATATTGAGGAAGCCTGCCCGGTTCTCACAGGAAATACCCAGTCTAAATTTTGAAGGATGGGTTCTCGCCGTCGCTTACGGTGAATTCTGCCTTGGATTGTTCCTGAACCGTCCCCAAAGTACAGCGGCATCCCTTGTCTACACTGACCAGTGTTCTCAAGCGGTCACCAAGGAAGATGCAGCGGCGTTGAGAGCCCTTTTCCGAGAACCGGTTCGGCCGTGCCAATGTCGCCTGCGACGGGGTGCATCAGTCAATGTCTTGTACTCCCGAAGGTGCAACTGCAACGTCGGCACTTACCAGGTCCTCTCGGCGCCCAATACTCGCCTGTCTTGGATATGTCGAGCTCTGACGTCCACTTGATGAGACTCTCGGCAGCATCGTCGGGCGTGATGGCTGCAGTACACAGATGTTAGCGACCCGCCATTAAGCCGGCACGGCTTCGGGAGCAGGAGGCACTCACCACCGCCGTCGTCCCAGAACTTGTCGAAGCCCACGCCCTTGGTCATCTCCGTCCGCATGAAGCCTGGGTGGACGATGCTGACAATGACACCCTTGTCTTTCAAGTCGAGGCTCAACAACTTCCCCACCATGTTCAAGGCGGCCTTGGACGCGTGGTGGGCGTAGTTGCCACCCCCCTCCGTCTCGTGTCGGAGGGTGATGCTCCCGGACTCGGACGAGACGAGCACGATTTTGGAGTCCTTGTGGAGAAGGCCGGCATGCACGAGCGCATGGACGATGAAGACGGGCGCGATAGAGCTCGTTGTGTACATGCGCTGCTCTTCGGCCCAGTTCGGACCTTTGTCGGCGCTGAGGTCTTCGGTCGCAAAATAGCCTGCCGTGATGATCTACCAGGATTAGACGGTGGCCAGATGATATCCGGTGCATAGACGACATACCACCGTTGACAACGGCTTTGAACCGCCGAGTAGGCTTACAATGGTCTCACCAACACTGGGGTTAGTCAAATCGACGTCGGGAAGCCATTTGACTCTCTCCGGGAAGCCCTCGGGACCCTCCTTCGAGCGCGTCGTGCCGTATACGGTGTTGCCGGCGTCCACGGCATATTGCTTGGTGAGAGAAGCCCCGAGGCCCCGGGTGGCGCCAACAATCAGGATTGGAGACATGTTTTGCGCTTACTCGCCTGCTCGCTTTGGGGGGAAATTATGTGTTGCGACTTTTTGCTTTCTATTCTTGATCACTCTCAAACGCTTCTGGAATGCGGCACCGTTGAAATACGAATTGGAGGATGCTTAGGGAGACCGTCGAGCAATGCGAGGGAGCAGCTATCGTGACGTAGATGTTGCACTGAGCTCAACAGCGAGTGGCTGACGGCAATGGCGGGGGAGGGGCTGGTGATCACATCTTATCGATAAAGCCGAGGCGACGAAGGCTATGCTGACTGAGCTGAAGCTTCGACTCCGAACCTTCCCTTTGTGCTCTACTGCTGGAAGGGCCACTGTACGAAATGCATGTTCCATACCAAAGATCATTACGCTCGGTTGAGGCGGACCCTCCTTGGATCACATGGGATGACAATGACACCCGTGGCGAGGCGAGTGCCATGTCGGACCAAAGCAAGGACCACAACACGGGTGTCTGACAAGCCTCATCAGTAGATGCAACTTCAGCTTCGAACCGCCCCTTTTACCCATCTCAGCTTGTCAAGAACACCCGTAAGCTTCATCTCATCGCGGCTTAATCATCGTGGGTCCCGGCTACGGGGATAGATAGCTGTCAAGACTGCCGGACTAAAGGTTCAGGGAACCAACCAAGCGGGTTGGTTTCAACCGTGTGCTGTGTGTTTCCTTTGACCCAAAGCCCCGCGCAATGACGTTTGAGTTCGCCCAATAAGGCAAACCGTTGACCTTCGCCGCCGCTGAAAGGCATCGCATCGAATTCGTATTCGTTCCAGCTGAACCCTAGTTAATAAACAGCCATTGAGTCTCCCATGGTCCCTGCATTTTCATGTTTGCCTTTATTATTTCTCAACAGTTTTATGGATTGCGAAGACTGCGTGTGAACGATACACAATGGCGCTGAGTTATGGAATTCTTACTCTTTATCTTGTTGAACTGACCTTTGTTTACGTATGTATGATGGCTATGGCAAGTGGATGAGCCGTAGAACTGATGGCATTTACAGTACTTCCTGCTTGGCATATACAATGTCTTCTTCCACCCACTGCGTCATTATCCGGGGCCAATCTTCTGGCGATTCAGCCCGGTGCCCAAGAATCTTTACCTGCTCATGGGCAACTATGCTACCAAAGCACGCGAGATCCACGAGACGTATCCCGGGACCGTCCGTGTAGCGCCAAACGAGCTCTCTTACATTCAGCGTACTTCAACTACCTGTCCCTTGTTTACACGCAGCCGCCTGACTAATTGACTAACACACTGCGCCGTTAGCACAGGCATGGAAAGACATTATGGGCCGTCCTCTTAAGTCTGAGATGCCCAAAGATCTCCGCTTCTTTGGCGGCGAGAACTTTGGTCGCGACAGTATCGTGACGGCCCGGCCCGAGGACCACACGCGCCAGCGCCGCATCTTTACGCCCTCCTTCTCCAATACGGCCCTCAAAGCGCAGCAGCCGCTGTTGGCGGGCTATGCGGACCAGATGGTTGAGGCGATGGATCTGATCAACCGACGTGACGGGAGCATCAATATTGTAGACCTGTACAACTTCTGCGCATTTGACATCATGGCCGACCTTACCTTTGGCGAGCCGTTGCTATTGCTCAAAAAGGGGGGCTACATCCCCTGGGTTCACAACCTCTTTGCGGGACTCAAGTTCGTGATTTGGGGACTGGTGTTTCTCGAGATCCCCGTGCTGGGACCGCTGGTACAAGCTGTCACGGCGGCGCCGCTGAAGAAGAAGGCGAAGGGGCACACCGACTTTGCCGGCCACCTCGTGGACCGCCGCCTCAAGAAGGAGAACCACACGAAGCCGGATATCTGGAGCTTCGTCCTGCGCCACAGCGGGGACGAGGCCAAGGGCCTGAGCGGGAGGGAGATGCACGCCAACGCGGCCATGTTCATGGCCGCGGGGACGGAGACGACGGCGACGGTGCTCTCGGGGACGACGTTCTACCTGCTACGGACCCCGAGGGTATACGACCTGCTAACGAAAGAGATTCGAGACAAGTTTGCCAAGGCCGAGGATATCTGCGTCGACGGGCTTGTCGGATTGGAGTATTTGCAGGCGGTGCTGATGGAGGGGTTGAGGATGTATAACCCGGGGGCGCGGGGATGCCGAGGATCGTCCCACGGGGCGGGGCGGAGATATGCGGCGATGCGATTCCCGAAGGCGTGAGTACTCTATAACCCCCATCCCGCTGCTCAAGTTTTACTTGCTGGGGGGGTTCACGTGGCGGCTGACTGACTTGTGCGCAGACCCTGGTCTCCGTCAACCCGTACGTTGCTTTCACGCACCCGGACAACTGGGCCCGTCCGACCGAGTTCGTCCCGGAGCGGTGGCTCCACCCGGAGGCTCCGGAGTGGAAGGACGACAAGCGGGATGTGCACGAGCCGTTCTCGTACGGACCGAGGAATTGTATTGGGAAGAAGTGAGTAAAAGCCCTTCCCGCCTTGCTATTGTAGCATTGCTTCGCGGCTGGTTTTCAGCGATTGCGACCTCGTCTCGAAGAGGGGCTCCTTGCTGACTGGCTGTCCTGCATAGTCTCGCGTGGCTTGAGCTCCGCCTGCTTCTGGCCAAAACTCTGTGGCATTACGACCTGGAGATGTGTCCCGGGATGGAGAACTGGGTCGCGCAGAAGTGTTACCTCACGTGGGAGAAGGGCCCGTTGATGGTGAAGCTGATGCCTGTGAAGAGGGGTTGAACGGCGGGCTGAGATTCCTTGACGCGAAAGGCATATTGAAGAAAGAAACTATCTTAGACTAGATATTGAGGACAACGGAAAGGGTTTGTATCAGCTAGACTTGGTGGCGTCGTCTCAATGGGTTTGTCTTCAGATCAAAACGACAAAGGCAAACGCGAAGAACTGGGATTGTCCTTGTCAGATAGTCACACCACTCGTTCCGGAATCGCGCGATCCAATTCGCAACCTCCTCCCATAATCGTCTGAAAAGGCCATCATCAACCTCGGACGATTGAGCTTGCCGTACTTTGTATTTATCCAATGAACAGGGTATGCACACCTCCAAAAACGTCTATATACGAGCATCTGCTTTTGATGGGCTGTTGTGGCCCGCAGCACGACGTCTCGCGGGGTCCCGAAGCGACCCTGACGCATCGGGCACGTTGGTGAGGTTTCACGGCATGGTTCTCTTTTCAAGAGATGGGGCCGGGCCGCATCGTTTGCAGAATCGAGTTTAGCTCGTCGTGCTTACAAGTCAGTTTTTCCGGCGAAAGGGCGAGGCGTCCAGTGTACACGAGGACGTCGTATCCTAAATCCAACTGACATGGAAACGGCTGGACAATCGCCGTTGCAACTAAATATCTCCACTGTCTTCTGCCACGCGCTGTTAGGGAAACACGACACTAAGTCGGCTGTGTTTCAAGCCCGAATCTTCAGGTTCCTATAATTGATGTGCGAGATGAGTTGAGGAGCGAAGTTCTATCAATGTGTACGTACACGCGTTGCGCGCACCCCAGGAACTATCAGTCTGTGAAAACCTTGGTTTTCTTAGGCCGCAGTACAGTTTCCAGTCTCTATATTGCGCTACGGTTTTATCACATGTCGGGCATTTACCACGCGAGGAACGATTCTCCAACCTGATTTTTTCCGCATTGTTCAGAACAGCTGCAGCAATCTCAGCCGGAGCCGCGATCAGAACCCGAGTTTTCCTTGCTTACCTTTCACTTCTTTGTCTTGTTGTCCCAGCCAGAGCCCAAATCTTCCGCATTCTTCATGTTGATCCCGTTGTGTGTTACCGCAGAAACCGCGTTTCTCGCCTCCTAGCTTGGAGCATTCCTGATATTGTTCGACAACGTTCTTGGGTTTCTGTTGCCGTGCAAGTCATAATGAAGCAAGACCCTGGTGACTAAGTCTACTTTTCCATCAAGTATGTATAACCTATAGAGCCAGGGCATCAGAGAAAGTTGGACAATCCCAGTTCTGATGCTTCAAAGCAGGAGTCCGTGATTTAAGAATAGCCATGAAGACTGAAAGCTCAGTTTGGAGTCTATTGCCTCTCTATAATCGAAATTTGACCGAGATGCATATATGTTAGTACACATCTCATTGACCCCTATTTTTTACTTGCACTTCTTTCTTACTTGTCCTTAATATATCAAGCATCAACCCAAAGACGAACGGTTTACAAAAACAATTGCAATAACCAGCCCCGCATGTGGGCTTGATTTGATGCCAAACAACAGAGGTATTCCATATTGAGAACAAAGAGTGTAAGAGGACACCACATATCTGTTGTAGACGGATGTGTCGGGGAAAGACATTAACTCTAGGAAACCTACCCATATCTAATTTTACCGCTTATATAATATCATGTGGTGCAAGTGCCTCGATTAAATGGAACGTTGATTAGGCGATGAGTCAAGTATTCAAGGTGGATTATGGACACAAAGATTACGACCACAAATCTTCCGGTCTTCTGACTTCATCTCGCTTGATACCCTATCTCAGTAGACCCCGATGGCCTCGCCGACGACGCTCCTGAAAACTCCGTTCGGGTCAAACCGCTCCCTCACAGCCTTGAAGCGCGCAATATGCTGGAGCTCTGTGTTAGTGACAGTAATTTGCCAGATCGGATGGAGTTCAAGCCTACATCGGGGTCAATGTTCTTCGCTGCTTGGGTAAAGATCTCCCTGGTGTTCTTGGTCCAGTGCGGGCGGCAGGGAAACTCGGCAATGAGGACCTTGGCAAGATTGTGATCTTTGCAGTCAAGTCAGCACGCTTCCCAATTGGCTCGTCCAACTAGGCGTGAGTGCGGCCGGGGACACTCACAAAAGGGTTCATTGAATCTGGTGTGGTCACCGACCGTAGGCCTGAAGCTAGGGAAATCAAGCATGATAACCCCTTTGCTCCAATCCGCCCCATCAGACGTATTGTACGTCACCTGCCCCAAGAAGTCAAAGTAAGGCCTCCCGAACTTGATGTTGACACCGCTGCGGTACGTCGAGGTCATGACGATGAGCTTCTTCAACTCGTCATCGAACAGCTGCCTAACGCGCTTCAGCATCGCGTTCGCCTGCGTGATCGGGAACGCCAGCTCGAGCGTGTATCCCTGGACCCCGACCTCCCAGAGGGGCTTCTGGTCCGGGTACAGCCCGCCGATGAGCACGTCGTAGTTCCACCCGTAGACGGGCCAGTTCTCAATGGGCTCGTTGGTCGTCTTCTCGCGGAAGTTTGGCTTGGACCAGAGACCAAAGAAGATCTCCTCGGCGAGCATGTTGGAGGTGGGCAGGTAGCGGCCGCTGTCGAGGAGAGTGCGCGCCGTGGTGCCCTCGAGGTCAGTGACGGAGAAGGTGTTTTGGAAACCTTCCTGGGAGCTGGTGTTGGTGAGGACAACGTCGTAGTAGCGGTGGTGGAATTTGCGCTTGTAGGGCCACCACTGAAGACTTTCAGTGTCGGACTCCAAAGAAATATACAAGACGAGGGGATCTTACCCAAAAGTTGGCTGTCGCGTAGGGAGCGATCATGCCATAGATGTCACCATCAAGAACGTCCTTCTCTTCCAGCCTGCGCGCCTGTCAGTCGAAAGCAACCCAGCCAGAACAAACATGAGGGCTCACGTCTTCTGATCCGCGTAGACCTTGAAGTCGGGGTAGATCTTAAACTTCATCCTCACAATGACGCCCAACAAGCCAAGCGAAGTCGAGGCAGCAAGCCACTCGTCGTCATCATTGTTCCTCACAATGTGTCTCAACTCCCCGTTGCCATCGACAATATCCAGCTCCAACACTCCGGCAGCCACCATCGAATCCTCGCGGATCGAAGACCGATGCGCACCCATGGCGACACACCCGGCAAGGGTGATGTTCCAGTTAACAAGCGTGTACCCCGCCGACGCACCTCTGGCATGGAGATACTCCGCCAACTGCAAGAACGTAACGCCAGCTTCAATGACTACGGTGCCGGCGTCGAGGTCGAACTCGGAGATGCCATGAACCTCCTCAGTGCGGATGATGACCGTGTTCGGGTCGTCCGAGCACATGGTATCGTACCACATATGCCCTTTACCTGAGGCACGAACCTTCTGGCCAGCGGCGATGGCATCTTTGACAAGGGATTGAATGTCGTCCACGCTGGTTGCGTTACGGACTGCTGCCACATTGTTGCAGGCGGGGAACCCGGGTCCGTCAAAGGTGTTGTAGGGTGCTGCGCTACCAAGGCCACTTAGAGCGAGTGCTGTAAGGAAGCAGATTAGACGGAGAGACAACATTGCAGTAGAGTTTACGGGACGAATAGTAAGGCCGAGGTCCCTTGCTAGGAGGTAGAAACTCAAGACCACCCCATCTCGAAAATGAGACGAACCTGCAGCTCACTTATAGCAGCACCGATCTTTGCTCATGAGCAGGTACAACCTGTTTTTGAAACCCAATCTAACCAGTTCCCTAATAGACCAAATGCCGCGGGCTCAATAAGCTTCTTTCATGTGATGCCGGGAAGTAGTCAGTCCTAGACACCAAGCAGGTTGAATTACAAGCTTCAGAGTCACGCAGATCATCAGGCCAGGAACACGGAGTAGCATCGATGCGTAAGTTGACGAGAAGAAAGCCTTTCGCCTACCAAAGGAGGAAGCCGGAGCACACAAAAAGGTGAGCCAAGACGGGCGACAAGGCCCGATCGAGGGAAGAAGGCCGATGGTGGATGTAACGGTCTGGTCGGTTGGTGTACCGGAGGGTGACAGCAGGAAACGCGGGGAAAGGGTGAAAAGCAGCGGGAAGGACGGAGATCTTCACTTCTTCTTGACCTCGCTGTCCTTGTGACGAGCAAGGAAGCATGCGGGGTGGCAGCGCTGACAGGCTTTATCGAGTTGCAGATCTGGCGCGGATGAGAGTTCAGAGAGGAGGATTGTTCAGGGAAATGCGTTTAAAAGTTGGTCACAAAATGCGTTGCTGCGCCGAAGATAGGTGGCGTCGGGATCGATTTGGCTTTTATGCTTAGAATCTGACCTGGACTAGTGACTGTCGAGCAATGATGTGTGCAGGGGTACAGGTCTGGGGAAGTGGGAACAGTTGGTGGTGATTGGGCGTCATTTGTCGAGAGCGGCGGTTCGGTTAGAGAAATGGAGCAGCAGCGTAAGACCGTCAATGTCTCGAGCTGCACCTTTGGTAGGCTTTTGCCTATGATTTGCGATCTTTACAGATTTTGTACGTCAAGAATACAAAAGGTTCTAATTAGAATCATGTGTCAGTACACAGTCGCCAAGCAGAGAAGAAAACTTCCACATACACCTCACGCAGAGCACCGTCGGCCAATAACTCTCATGAGACTACCGACATCGCTGTGAATCATCTCTCTTTCCAATATGGCATCTCTAGTCAATATACCACCTTGAACCTGATTCTGAATATCTGATATAGGGGAGTCTCAACGCCCCAACTCATCAAGCCACTTTGTGGAAAAGGACTGGGTCCTAAATACCTACTCACCCTAAACCAACCTTCGACAGAAAAGACTCTGTAAACTGAACCAAAAGCTCTTGCAATACCCAGTGACACAACTCGTGCACGTTGTGACTGATTTCGTTCTTCTATACAACTCAAAACAAGAATTTCAGAAAACCTCCCATAAACAACAATGCGATTACCCTATCCTATATGTAAAGTCGATGTGCTGCTAACGATTTCATACATTGGCGCTGGAAAAATGAGTGCTCAGGCAGCAGGCATAGGTAATGCCGGGAGCAATGATGTTTGGCCGATAACCCAGGATCGGGTGACGACACGGCAGACCTGGCCGCTAGGAGTGGCAGCACCAACCGTATAAAGACCAGGAGGCAGGGTGAGAGCCCCTACGCCGCTGGTCGGGACAGCAATAGTCGTTGGAGTGAAGTCAAGACGGACGTAGACAGTGAGGCGGGCATTGGCGGGAAGGTTGGCCTGGCGGCGAGCCAAACGGACGGAAACAGCACGACCACCACAGCGCTGCGCCGGGTTACCCGAGCAGGCAAGGTTGCACTGATTCTCGGACACGAGGGCGGTCTGGGAGTTGTTGACGATGTCGCCACAGTAGCAGTCGGTACCAAACATGGCAGAATATCTCTTGCCAGCAGGGCAAGCGGCGGTACACTTCTCGATGGTCAAGGCAGGGTCGGACAAGACCAACTGGAACGTGGGGAAGTTTGTGGTCGAGCTAAAGCAGCCCAAAAGCGCAAAACCGCCAACTCTCGGAGGGTTGGGGACAACGCTAGAAGTGCCGGGTGGTGCGGGGCTGATCGAGTTGACAGTTGTCGAAGCACTGGCCGAAAGACCAGGGACAGAAACGGTGGTGGGAAAAGAAGTGGTACCGCCAGAGGTAAGACTGGATCCCAGGCTGACGGCGGGAGAGGTGTTGGGGGTAGAACTGGAGGCGGTGCTCACGCTATCGGTGGCTAGTGTAGAGGGGAGGGAAGTGGAAGACGGTGTGACCGAGCTACCGCTAGATGTCGTATCGGAGGAGGTTCTAGAGGTGGACACGGACGAAGTTCCCGAAGTGGATGAAGTTCTTGAAGTAGATGAGGTCCCCAAAGCAGATGAGGTCCCCAAAGTAGATGAAACCCTCGAAGTAGACGAGGTTCCCGAAGAATTACTAGCAACTGTTGTGGAGGTACTGCCAACGGTCGTTCGGGCGCTGGTAGAGTTTTTGAAGACAAGGTTTGTGTCGGTATTGGTCGGGAGCGAAGACAGGCTGGACGGGGTCAAGGTTGTGGTAGCAGCAACGAGATCAACCTGGCTGGCCGGGGTAATGGCAATGATGGTGGCGGGATCGAACGTGCCGGCTTGCCGTCTGAAGAAGTGACGGCGACGTTTGCTGGAACCAGCGGCAGCAGCAGCAGTTGCTGCTGCACACTGTTCGGGAGGAATGAGTGGGAGGTTCTTCATTGTCGAGCCGCAGAAGCAGACACCCCTGATGACACCGGCGAGCGGGATTTGCCGGGAAACGCAAGCGACCGCGCAAAGAGGCAAAGACGCAGCGTTGGGCGGGTTAACAGTTTCCTCGAACGGAGAATCTCCAGCGGGAACACCTCGGCAGCCCCGAGACTCGATAACGAACTGCTCGGAGTTGCCGTTGGCATTAGGAAGTGCAACGATAACGGCCTCAAAAGGCTGGATATCATACACCGTCTCGAAAGGCACAGGGTTAAGGCTGAGAACAGCAACACTTGTCGCCCCTGGAGGACGGGTGCTGGTGGTGGCCTGAGCAGAGGATGAAAGAACAGGGTCACTCGACGAGGGCTGCCCGAGGGAGGTGGAAGCAACATCAGTCGTGGAGGATCTAGGAAGAGCACCGGCCGGGGTTGATGATGAAGAGATACTTGGTTCGACTGACGGGGTTTGTTCAGGGGCAAACGATGAGGCATCGGCAGACGCGAAGGGCGATGAGATAGTCTGGCTGCTCGACAAGGTCTGTTCAAAGACTGACGAAGGAGTAGTGGTAGAGCTCCCGCTTCCACCGGTAGTAGGCGATATGGTGGTGGCCGGTGACTGGACCGAGGTGTCGCTAAGGGAGCTAGACGAGATGGAAGATTCCAGAGTGGAAGTGGTAGAAGCCGGTGTGGTCGCCTGACTTGAAGTCTCGCGGTTGCTGGAACTACTAGAAGCTGAGGAAGTCGATTCGCTCGATGTACTCATTGAGTTACTGCTCGTGATGCTATGGCTCGAACTGGCACTGCTGAATGAAGGGGCCGAGGATGAGGACCCAGACGAAGAGGTATACGTTGAGCTGCTGCTGCTGAGTGTAGCGCTTGACGTCGTGCTCTCTATGGGCGACAGAGAAGACATTTCGTGAGAGCCTGTGCTACTAGCAGAATACGACGAAAAACTAGTGGCGACAGTCATTTCTGTCGTGGTTGTGCTGTGAGTAGATGAAGACGAGGTCTCGGTTGTTGTGCTGCCGGCAGGCGAAGTCGAAGTCGAAGTTTCTGTCGAGCTGGCGGCGGCGGTGGTGGTTTCAGCCCCGTTTGCTGAAGTGTTGGTAGATGAAGAGGCGTGAGTTGAGCTGCTGCTACTGCTACTGCCACTGCTACTGCTTGTGGTGTGAGTAGAGCTTGTGCTGTGGGTGGAAGACGACAATGAGCTGCTACTGGTCGTTGTTTCAGATGTGGTTGCGGTCTCAGTAACAGAAGACGAGGTCTCGGTTGCTGTGATGCCAGTAGATGAAGACGACGTCTCACTCGTACTGGTGGCGGTGGTCGAGGCTATAGTTGTTGTTCTTTCGGTAGAAGAAGTCTCGGCTCCCATTGTCGAGCTGCCGGAGGTCTCAGTTTCGGTTGTCGTAATATGTGTGGACGAAGACAAAGTGCTAATCGAGCTGCTGCTGGTACTACTTGATGTTTCGGCGGCTGTGCTGGAGGTAGCCTCTGAAGTCGAAGTCCCAACTGAGCTGGTGGTGGTACTAGTTGCTGTTTCGGTTGTGGTGGTGTCCATAATCGAATTTGAAGTCCCAGTCGAGCTGCCGCTGGTGGTGCTTTCGGTCTCTGTTGTTGTGGTTTCGGTAGACGAACTCGGGGTTTCTGTCGAACGGGTGCTGGTGGTCTCTGTCTCCGTTGTCGTAGTTTCGGTAGACGAAGTCGAAGTCGGAGTTTCAGTCAAGCTGCTGGTGGAGGTGGTGGTTTCAGTCTCGGTCGTCGTAGTCTCAAGAGACGAAAACGAAGTCGAAGTTTCTGTGAAGCTGCTGCTGCTGCCATTGGTAGTCTCAGACTCCGTTGTTGTGGTATCGGTAGACGAAGCCGAAGTTTCCGTCGAAGCAGTGTTGGTAGTCTTAATCTCTGTCGTCGTAGCATCAATAGACGAAGTCGAGGTTGGGGTTTCAGTTGAGCTGCTGCTGCCGCTACTACTGCTGGTCTCCATTTCCGTTGTTGTGACATCTGTGGAGGAAGACGAGGTCTCAGTCGAACTGCTGCTGCTGCTGCTTTCCGTCTCGGTCGTCGTGGTCTCCGTAGACGAGGTCGACGATCCAGTCGCGTCAGTTGTCGTAGCCGTCGTGGTGGTCGTGGCCGTCTGCGAGGCAGCCGTGCCGTCCGCCCTGAAGACGATGACGTGCGACCTGCCGGCGCCGCCGCAGTTCTCCGTCGCGTCCCCCGTGCAGGCCTGGTCGCAGTTGGGGTCGTCGTCCTGCGTGGCAGGGAGCTGGTCGCCGCAGGAGCAGGTGCCCCCCCGGAGAGACCGTAGTACGCGAAGCCGGAGCAGTAGGCCCTGCACTTGTCGTTGGTCTGGCCGTCGGCGGGCGTCGCCGTCGTCAGGGTCTCGGGCGTCTTGCCTTGGGAGTTGGTCAGGTAGTCGGCGGCGTAGCAGTTGTTGTCCGCCGCTTCGACCGCCGCTTGCGCGATGGCCGCGAGAGACGCGGCGGCTAGAGCGGCCGCTTGCTTTATCCAACCCATCTCCGTGGTAGGCTTTCGCGAAGCAACTCAGACGAGGATCAAATAGCCAGGAGAGGTTTGTTGAGATGTCCTTGGGATCGGGAGACGGAAGACAAAGGGGATGCCAGTCTCTCGAAAGTCCGAGAAACCCAGAGCAAAGATCAAGCAACGAGGAACGAACGCTCTACCCAATGCCTCCTGTCGTAACCAGCCAAAGCCCGAGAACGAAGCGAATGAGAGTTGAGCTGGGTAGAGAGCAGGGAAGGGAGATCTGCTATAAGAGGATCTTGATCGTATTTGAAAGCCTTTCCTCTGGAGAGATCAGGATGCCGGCTCCCGTCTCCGTTTCCCCTACCCATCTATAAGAAAGAACCGGTGCATCTTTGCCCTTTCCCAACCAACCTCCCCAAGGTCCAATGGCCGAGTTTTGTCCCAAGAACCCGGAATGCTTTGAGCGGCGGTAGTCAGCTCCAGCCATGTGCGGCGCCCTGCTCCTTGGACGCCACCCGTTCTTCCCACGCCTTGCTTCGTCCACGCATGCGCGTGTCTGACCCCCTGGCATCGACCTCGAAACGCTGCTTCCACCACTAGTCTCGACACAGCTGGGCCAAAAAGTCCGTTAAGGGAATGGGCCTAGAAGGACCAGAAGGTCTGGCGACGTTTCGTAAGTGCCGAGTCCGCTATCCCACATACATCACTGGCCATTCCTGCCTCCAGCTCCAAGGCGGCTGGATTTCGAGACAATGACGGGGCCGCCTGACGCATTTTGGTGAGGCACGTTTCGGCCGACGGCCTTGAGCTCCCTATCGTGCCCGGGGACATGTCAGATTCGCTAGTGAGGAAAACGGAGGGATGGGCTGTCAAAAGGGCGAAGCGTTCAGTGCCGCTGTACTTTGCTCTGCGTTCTTGCGCAGCAATGAGAGGGGACACACAACCGGAAGACCAAAAAGTTTGACCGCGAGGCAGCAGGAATGCAGAAGGGCTATAGAGAGAGGACATCGTTGGAATCGGGGACAGGGGGCAAAGAAACCGCCTCCCTGCAGTTTGACGGATCACCTTCCCAACGCTCCACTGTATATCTACGTCAGATGGTAGCTGTATGGCGTTGGGGTGTGCGCGTGAGGCTGGCCAACTTCGTCCGAACGGGAGGAGACCACCAATGTCTCTCTCTAGGGGCTGCCAACGAAAGCTTAAAGCCCCCCTCGGCTGCTTCCAACCCGGCAGTCCGTAGCAGGAGGGAATGAATGATGTGTGTGTGCGGGCGGAAACAAAGGCTTTCTTTTCTGTATCATCGGGCCTATTAAGACGACTCAGACCGGCAGTGGTGTTGAAGAAGAGGCGCCTGCCTGGACATGTGGCCCTCGTCGCACAAAGTTTGAGACCGGGGACACATTTCCCAGGTTTTTGGTAAAAAAAATCCCTCCGAATGCTGGCGAGGCGCCAGGGCCGGGTGATGGAATGTGTGAGCCGACGCCGTCCAGTAGCAAACAGTCCGGTAGGGGCATGTGGGAGGCAAGGCGACGAGGCGAGGGGTGTTTGCTTGCCGCATTGGAGAAGGAAGAGAGAGAGAGAGAGAGAGAGAGAGAGTCTAGTAACGTCCCCGGCCAAGGGATGGAACGACTAGAATGCCAGCTCCCCCTCCCTGCGTAATCCGCGGCCTTCGAGTAGGCGACCCCGCCTCCCTTTTCGGCATTGATTGATAGCTTCGCAATGAAATGTGCTCCGACGAGGGCTTCTTACCGTTCTCCAGGGCTTTCCCGCCTATTTCCAACATCGCCGGCAAGAAGACATGCATCGCCAAGCATAAGAACCTCGGATGCCTGCATCTGGATGCTGGGTTTTGAATGTCACCGCAATGGCCGGCCCGGGCACCGAGGCGGATCTGACATACGCGCCCTCTCATCTCTGTTGGCCTCAGTGCGGCAATAAGCTTGTGGGAGATTTTCACCATGGTAGAGTCGATCAAATCTGAGGCTCTCATGCTGCACGAATGGCAATGGTTTTCTAAATCACGTAGGAAGATGCTCTGACACAGTCAGGCCTTCAACGGTCAACATCTTCTTTCGAGTGACCTTGTAATCTAGCCGCAGCGGCAACACAATCCCAAACGTACTCCCGGTTACAAGACGTTGGCAGGTATAATCCCAATTCCCACAAACCTTCCACTACACAGCCAGAGGGCAAACACCGCCCACCATCCCTCCGTTCCCTTGCATTCCTCCTGAGCCCTCCTGTCAACTGCCGCTCCTCGCGTGCTCCCTGCCCGGCATCATGCGTTTAGCCACCAAAATCCCCTGATCGCCTCAAAGGTTCTCTGTTCAACGTATCACGCAAGCGTTGCGGACGTGGAGGCTGTGGTCAGCCCTCAAACTCCACAACGCCCTTGGCATTCGCCTCGCTCCTAGTCGTAGGCTCAATGTCCACGAGCTGGCCTTCCTTGCCGTTACCATTGGCCCCAGCCTCGGCGTCTGCCCCGTCGAGCAGATCTCGGTCTTCGCTCCGGACACTGCGTCTTTCAATGTCCGCGCTCGCGCCGGCTGTGCCCTTCCTGATGCCGATCTCGACGCCAATGTCTGCGTCGTCCTCCTCGTCTTCGTCCCTTTGACCGGGCAAGGCGTTCTTCTCCAACTCCTTCTGTGCCTCGTCCATCCTCCTGCGGACTTCCGCGGCGACGCGCATGCCGTCCGTGACAATGTTGTCCAGTACTCCGCGGAGGCCACGAGTAGCCCCTTGAGCAGCAGGGTTCAGAGCAGCAACCGGGGCGCGTCCAAAGTTCAGACTGGAGAAAGTGGTGAGCGTTGAGTTAGGCGTCGATACAGAGGGCAGACCCTCGATGAGATGGAAGGAGATGGGGAAAGAGGATTCGAAGAATTGCTCGAGAAGCTCGTCGGCTAGGACAACCATCCGGAATGTGGGTAGTGTCATGTGGAGAGGGTTGGCGGGGTCCAGTGCAGCATTTGCCGCCTCCGATTGTGCCTTGGAAACACGTCTTTGGCCTGCGACGGGGGGCTTCTCCTCGACCGGCGACAATGGCGACACTGGTGACTCTGGCGATGACTTCTTCGCTCTCGAGGGGCTACCCGCTGGTGAGTCCATGGCAAGGAGATCCTCCTCATCCTCATCGTCACCGATAGCAAAGGCTCCGCTGTTGTCTTCAGACTTGTGCTTTTCCTCCTCGTGAATTTTGTTGTTGGGGTGGTCCGGATCAGCGTATTCGAAGCATCTTCGGATGAATGCGCTGACGCTACCCAGGAACTTCTCATTGGTCGAAATGCCGGGCAGGCTGGGCTCAGGGCCCTGTCCGTTCGGCATGTTGAGGGTGAGGGTAGAAGCGCTTGGGCTGAGAGACCCCTCGAGCCCTCGTCTCGACAAGAACAACAGAGCCTCGGAGATACGCAAAATACCCTCACGGTCAACCTTGCCGTCGCCATCATCATCGTACAACTCAAAGAAGTAGGTGATGGTGCCCATGATGTCCTTCTTGCCTTTGATTCTGGCAAACCCAGCCACAACGTCGGCCAGCGTCAGCGCACCTGTGCCACTGACGTCCCATTTCTTGAAGAGCCGTTGCATAAACTCGTGATCGGCAGGCTCTGGACTGGAGCCCCACGGAGACAGCAGGCCGTTATTCTGCCGCCGACTTGTGTAGGCGTTCCGGTCCTTGTCTGCAAAGGTGTCTCGGCGCGGTGTAGTAGGTGAATCGGAGATGGCCCACTTGGCCATGTTGGCGAGGAATTCTCTAAAAGCATCATAGTCCATGAGACTGGTGCTGGCGCCAAGTGCCACCCGTCCCTTCTCGACGTGCTCGTCGTTGACTTCGAAAACATCCCGCGCTCTTGGCCGTGCGTTCTTTGCGCGGCGCTGCTTCTCTTGCTGGATAATGCTCTCACGCTGCTGTCTTTCATACAGAATGGTGTAGAAGCGATCGTAAAGGGCACCCAGCTCTTCTGCAGCAAGGAGCTTGCTGTCGGGGCCCAGGTTTCGAAGGGCTGTTCTCTTTGCAAAACTCTCGATATTGCTGAGAACGGCGTCTTTGTTCTTCAACCGCGAATCGGTGATGCTGCTGTGGGTGATTCCAGAAAATTCCTTGAACGCCACGACCATCAACTCCTGGAACTTTGTAACAGCACGCAGCTTCGGGTTTTCGGACTTGGGGTGCGCCGACTCGTCGAGACGAGCAAAGTACCCCTTGAGAATCGAGATGAAGGCGCCGTCGTCTGTAGCGTCCAGCAGCTCTTCGCCGTTGATCCTCAAAATGGCAAGACCGATCTGGAACAGAACCTTGGGCCCCTCGACGAAGAAAACATCCAGAACTCTAAAGGCGAAGACCAGAGGCATGGAGTTGATGTACAGTGACAAGAACCAAGGCAGCGACACCACGGAAAGCTGGACATCGCTCTTCACCAGGTGCTCCCACAAGATCGGCATCGTCTTCTCGACAAGTGACTCGAATACTTTTTGATCCAGCAGCGTTCCGTACATGGTCGTCGAGTAGTAACCTGGGACTAACCTGTCGCAAAGTGATGACAGGAGAAAGAAGGCTTGTGTCTCGGACATGTAAATAAGCAGCGCCGCGACAACGATGTTCATAGCCTGGCAATAGCCAACGTCGGGGTTCACCCAGCTGTATGCCGTAAGCACGCGCCGCAGCCGACCGATGCCCTCTTCGCTTTGGAAGCCGGGATACTCTGGAAGACTTCGGTTCAAGTCCTTCTCGATTTCGTCGATAGCGAGAGATTCTTGGCCCTCGTACTTGGCCAAGGTCTCGGCGTATAGAGTGGGGTGCTCGAGGCGAAGGTAAATGGATCCCGAGGTCAGCTCCCAGGTCTCGCCTCTCAGTCGGTTCGGCAGGCCGACGCGGATGAGCTTATGGAAGGTGGGCTGGCGGATCAGCGTCATGTTCCGGCCATTGTCGCGCAGGTACTCGGCCCAGAGGCGCATCTTGGCTCGGTCGCGCAACTTCTTCGGGTCCCCAGGGTAGCGGAACATCATGCCCAAGCCGGCATCGGGCGGGCTCGCATTCTTCTTGTCGTCCGACCGCAGAAGGTACTCGGAGTAGCACTCGCCAACAACCTTCTTGTACTTGCCAACGTTGCCAACGCCGGCCCTGAGTCCCTTTTTCAAGCCATCGCAGAATCGCTCGCAGCCCTGCCGAGTGCCGGCCAAGTGTATCGTGATCCTTTGCTCCCGGCTGTCCTTCTTCTCCTTGTCGGCCGCGGTCTCCTTGTCCTTGTCCTTGTCCTTGTCCTTTTGCTGGTTGATGCCGTTCCATGTGGTAATCGCCAAGGCAAACTATGAGGTGAATAACATGTCAGTTTGTGGTCTTGCGGGGAAAGAAGCACGGACTGCTGGCTAAGTCGCAGCCCGGAATCCAGAGTCAGAGTCAAGCTCAACGCACCTGAAAGGTCTGGCTGTTCAGCCTCTCCACGCGCCGAATGGCACAGAGGGGAAAGGTGAAGCCGTTCCCGCTCGGGCCTCCACCATGTGTCTGGCCAGTGAAGGCAGAGCTTGTTGAGGTGCTGGCCGACTGAATGAAGCTCGAGGGGGTCGTGGAGAAGCACATGTAGCCCTCGGAGAGATGCAGCTTGCCAGCGTAGTGGTAGCCTCGATCGTGGTCCTTTCCTCCATAGGTGGCATTGGCGGGCGGGATGGTCAACTCGGCATTGATCTCGTACAGCGGCGTCTGGGTGCTGGGAAGGCGGAACTGGTTCTGGAACAGCGACGACTTGGATGGGTTCTTGTCCGAGTTGGTCAGATTCAGGCCTTGGGTCGGGTCGACCAACTGCTGGGCCTTCTGCACGAGGCTGGATAGCGTGAACATCCTGGAGCTGTTGCACTCAGCTGGTCATGTCGGGGGTATTCTGATTCGAGGGTACTGAAGAACGAAGGCTCGGTTCAGACGGGATGGGAAGGGGATCGCGAGATGGACGAGGTGAGGTAAGGTGAGGTCGGGTTGGTGGGTTGCTGGCCTGAGGGGGGACAGGCCCAAGACGGCGTTGCTGTCTGCCAACGGAGCGAACGAAGTTTGGCGTTACAGCAGGTTGAGGTGTAGTTGCTGAAGCATCAGTCAGCCTCGGGAGGAAGGCGGAGGTGAGATTGGATTCGACGGTCGGGTTTGGGGTTTGGTGTTTCGTCGGAGGATAGATAGGTTGGCGGGAGGAGGAACAGTGCAGTAGCAGCTGCGCCAGAGCCGGGACTGGAGCTGAATGCAGTGAAGTGGATAGTTGGAGGTTTCCCGCCAAGGTTGACGTCCATGCCCAGAGGGTCTGCGGTACGTACCTGCCCTACCTAGCCTGAACCAGTCTGCCCTATGGGAACTGCTAGTGACCTGCAACCGTAAGTCAGTGACAGCCCACCACTCACTTCCCTGAGCACCCTGCCCTGGATATCTCTCTCTGTCTCTCTCTCAATTTGGTCAGCAAGCAGGTCAGTCAGCCACATGCCTCTCTCTGCCTCTTTAGCTGCAAACCTAGAATACGGCAGAGCGGGCGTGCGACGGCTGGGACGCTGTCCAGCAGTCAGTCCCCTTCCCCCCTGCACAGGGGTAGCCCCTCTGCACCTTATTCGTAACCCGACCATCCGGCCATTCTCTCTACCTCTCTACGGAGTACCTCTCTACCTTACCACGGGCAGGTCGGCCACCACTCGCTCGCCCGCTGACTCCGCCGCGTCGTCAGTCTCATTCTCACGCAAACCCATTCGACGCCGCTTGTACTCTTGAACCCCTAATTCGAGCACCCATGATGATGGCACTTGTCCGCTTTACACATTCCAGACCCAGGCATGATATCACTCCCGCTCTCTCGACCTGTCCTCGGCGAGAGACCCTTTCAAAGGGAACGCATCGCCTGGGCCCCAGGTGACGTGAGCGTGGTGGTCCATCACCCAGACAAACTCCCCATGGACATGTGCCATGCCCGTCTCGGCTAGCCCCTAGCAAAAAGCTGAGACACTCTCCCGTGCTGTCATGGCATGGACTCTGCGTTGCTCACGGGACGCTCTGACGACGCCGTCTGTCAACATGCGCCTAAACATGTTTGCTTCATTGGTTTATTGTACAGATTGTCACCTCGCATACGGCGCTGGGGCAACAATAAGAAACGCCAGCCGAGGCTACAGTTGTGCATGGCTGGCTGGATTGAAGCTTCTCATCTAGTCCTCGATTTGAGCCCCTATTCTCCGTTCCCCAGATGAGCTTCACGGACTGCCACCCACCTTTGTAGTAGACATAAAAAAGATGTCAACGCCAGTCAAACGCCATAAACAATCCTTCCCAGCAGTTGCTTATCCAGCGTTTGCCCAGCAGAATCCCCTCCCCTCCCGGTCTCGGTGAGCGCCAATTTCTCGAACCTGAAGCCTAAAAGCCTCGCCGTCGTTTCTCAACTCTCCCGCTTCCTAAATCGCATCCGGTAGAGTTACATGTTGGAGTATCATAATGGTATGCAACGAAAAAAAAAAACCCCCCCGGAGATCAACATCCCCCCCTAAAAAAATAAGTCCTAGCACATGATTCATACAAAAGTTCTGACGGGACATGGTTAAAAGTCCTTGAAATAATGATCGTATTTCTGGACCAAGTCGTCCGTGTACGGTTCCCGCTTGCCGTCGTCCTCGGGGTAAATGTCAAAACATTGCGCGTCGCCGGGGTACCGGATTGGCGGGATGATGGGACCGCGTACGCGCCGGTTGTAGATGTCGTCCCAGTTGACGCCTCGGAAAAAGGGGTGTTCTTTGACCTTGGCGGCTCCTCCGCTAATGTTACCGAGTCGCCGGGATCGATCCACCGTGCAGAAGGACCTGATCAAGTCTTGCGCCTCGGCAGAGACTGGCGGGTCGTGCGGGAACATGACAGGCTTCTCGACAATCCTAAGCTACCAGTCAGTGGCTGTGGCAAAAAGAAAGGCGACCCCTCGACCTCGGTAAGACTCACTGCTTGTAGATCTCGATGGGGTTCTGGTGCCAAAATGGCGGGTAACCCGTCAGGAACTCGTAAATCAGAATGCCCAGTGCCCACCAGTCTACCGCTGTCGTGTGGCCCTTGTTATGGATCACTTCGGGGGCAAGGTACTCGGGGGTGCCGCAGAGGGTGTAAGTCTCAATGGGTTGGCCGGCGCTGTTGCTTAACCTCTTTGCGAAGCCAAAGTCGACCAGCTTGATGTGACCCTCCCCGTCCAGCAGGAGGTTCTCCGGCTTGAGATCGCGGTAGGCGACCCTCCCCTGTTGCTCGTGCAGGTACTCGAGCACCAAGACGATCTCTGCTGCGTAGAAGCGCGCCGTGTCCTCCTCAAATCGCCGGAACTTGCGCAAATAGCTAAACAGCTCGCCGCCGGGGACGTAGTCGAGCAACATGTACAGGTGGTCGCGGTCGGCGAAGGATGAAACCAGTTTCGTGATAAAGGGGTGCCCAGCGACGTCGCCGAGAATCATGCGCTCGTGGCGGACGTGGTCGATCTGTTTGAGCTTGATGACCTCTGTTTTCCGCAAGATCTTGAGAGCAAAGACGGTGTCGCGCTCTTCTTCTGTCGCATTAGCTGGCCTTACAAGACAGACTCTGGCAAAGGTACCTGCGTGGCGCATCGAGCGTGGTTAGCAAACGGTCTTCTGGAATACGGCAGCCCTTGAGGGACAGGAGGCGGGAGTAAACGAACCGGTTCCGAGTGTCCTCACGACGCGGAAGTCTTGAGGCGTCAGCCTCCGATTTGCGACGGGACCAACCCCAGCGTCGGAGTGTTGTTGTTGCCCATGGCTGTGGCCATTGCTATTACTACCACCGCCACCACTCATCATCTTGGAGAGGCCTCCTCCGCCGACCTGGTTCGGCACGGGATTCGCATGCGCAACCGTGGCAGCCATGTTGTGTAGCTTCTTGTTGATTGCTGAGATTCCCGTCATAAAGAGTTAGGGGGGTCGGAGTCGGTTCGGGGTCGGTTCGGGGTTGATGTTCGTTTGTTAGTCGTTCAGCTTGACAGCGCGCCGTCCATCACGGCCTGAAAAGTTGGCCGTCCGAGGTGAGACAGGTCGAGGTCGAGGTCGGCGAGATGTACAACAAAGTGTTGGTAGGCAGAGGGTCTCGCTGCCTCTTGTCGGTGGTCAATGGGGAGGGTGAGAGTGGAAAGGGGGTCAGGTCGAGTCTTCGTCGGGGTCCGGGTTTGTGTCTGGGCCTGGACCTGGGGATTGGAGTCGAGATTGGGAGGAGTAGGCGGTTCGTAACCCCAGAGGCTGGGAGAGGCACCGCTTTTTTTTTTCCGCGTCGAAATCGAGTTCGTTTGAACGGACCAGACGGGCACAGCGCTAGTCTCGTTGGTGGGTGGTGGTGGTGTTGTCGTTCAATATGGGCGAGGGAGCAATACCGTTCTCGTTGGTCGGCGTGGGAGTGCGCCCCGGATTACAAGCAATTTGGACCTTTGGGCAGACGGACCTCTGGGATCTTTCAGGGAGAGGAAACCTTCAGATGAAAGGGCCGTGGCAATGACGAAAGCCAGCAGAAGAGACAGCTACAAACGGTAGGACCATTTATGGGGCCGACAAGGAGGGGGGTACCACGACTGAGGGGCACGCATAGGTATAAATCTGGTGCTGGTGCTAGCGCCGGTGCTGCTGGGGAATGTGATGCCGGGATGGGTACGCCACGTTATGGCAGGCAAGAAGGCGTGGTGTGCGTGGGAAGGCGTGGGAAAGCGTGGGAAAGCGTGGGTTCTGCTTGGGTTCACTGGTAGGTACCCGACAACACGGGGGTCCCCTCCCCAATCTACACGGGTTGCTGGCGCCTGCTTTCTGCTCGTGCATCTACGTACAGAGTACTATGTACTATGTATGTACGACCTGCTCTCCCCCCCTCTCCGACAGGAAGGAAAATAATCTCTTGCCGCCGCCGCCTCTCTTCTCTTGCTTGCAGCCGGCCCATCCAGTCCACGTTCCGTAGGTCCAAGGTTGCAGGCCCAGCAAGCAGACCTAGCTGATGCGGCGGCCCTTTGCGTCGACATGCCCCCCTTCTGCCAGATTCGGCACGAAAACAAGTCGCAACTTATTCCTGACTGCCTTTGAGACTCTGCTGCTGCTGCTGCTGCTGCTGCTGCTGCTGCTGCGGGTGCGGGTGCGGCGTGTAATGCCGCGGACACACCGACAAGTCGTTTCCTCTTTGGGAATGGTGTCATGTCCACCCGGTGGAAATCCGGGGGAATGTCTCGCACTGCAACGCCCATTGGACCCCAAACGTACCTTCAGCTTCTAAACTATCCTTCTCCTCCTCTTCCACAACCGTTTGCCGTCTGCAAGACTCGCCCTGGGGGGACCCTCAGCCACGGACGCTGCCCGTCATCCCCACATCGAACGCTTCAGCTGGCGCTCAGCTCGTCGTGTCTTCGCCACGTCCTCCTTTCGCCTAACCCCCTTTTTCCTGTCTGACCCGTCGGCTCTTATTCTGCAACGTTCGCCAACAGCACCGACCAGCTCGATCGCTTTGTTCATCACACTCGCAATATCGCCCAGCAGTCTCACCCTTCAAATCCACTACGGTCTCCCCGCCAGCCTCAGACGAAGAAAGCTCCGCCGCCCCCCTTGCTGACGCCTGGACTCGGACGTGCTTCCCAACCCGTCCGCCTTGCTCCCACCGCCGCTTCTTCCCATCTTGATTGAATCTCCGAAACCCTGATGCGCGCAAGGACTACCGGCAGTTCCGTTTCCTTCTGTCACGGTACTGCCCGTTGCTGGAACAAGTCATCTTAGGACAGGAGAAAGGAGACTCTGCCCCGCCGTCGCCGCACCAGCCCAGAGCCCGACTTACAACGGACCGTTTCTCTGCTTCGTACAGGGAGTACTGGCCACTGATCTCCCGTCTGGCCTTCGTACCTACTCCCGCCTCTTACCGACGGTCCCTCGGGTAGCGCACTCACGAAGCCAAGCCCCCGTCCCGCCTCAAGTCTACGGCAGCGGTGTGATGCCTCGCCTTCTTCAGCAAACGCTTCGTGGCACGCCTAGTTGCCAATGCAGAGGAGAAAGGGAAAGAAAAGAGTGGCTCGGACGGGGGCTCCGTACGTTCGACATTCGATGAAAAGACGGTAAAGGTTAAAAACCAAAAAAGTTTTTGAAAAAAAAAGAAAAAGAGAAAGGAAGCAACCCAGCTGACAGAAACATCCTGAAGCGACCGCCGAGCGAAGCGTTGCCGTTGATGAATCAACCGTTGCTGCTCCTGGTTCTTCGGCCCCCATCCTATGCAAGACGGTTACTTTCGCACAGGGCTGCCTCACTTCATCTTCGTCAGCCAGATCCCGCCCAGGCCATGCGGCACCCGGTCCCGCGGGAAGGGAAAGGGCCTGATCAGAGAGGTACGCCTTGCATGCAAGCAACTCTTATCGGCGCCTATGACGCAACGTCCTCGATCCATCCCACCTCTCGTCTGCCCCTCATCCCGCTCATCCACGGTCCCAAAGGGTATCCGAAAGAACATGCTTTTTTCGGTTCTGATACCCGAGCCACCTCCGCAGCGTCCTGGTAAATCAAATGGACGCTGGAAGGGAGAATACAGGTTGTTCTGCTAACCAGCCCCCGTGTTCCTACAACGTCTCATTGTCCCGTCATGCTCGAGCTCAAAACATGTCATCATACAAACCACTTTTATGCGAACCTTACATCTCCTGGGGGGGGAAACACGAAATATGGGATATGGAGCGTGAGGGAAGCGCCGCCTAGGGCAACCATAGGCGAACTTCGCTTGTCGGCGCCCAGTCAGCCATGTACAGCTTGGCCTTGGGCTCAGCTGCCTTTACATGAGTCGTGTCCATGCCGGATTGCGGCGAGGTCCTGACGGTTATGTCACCTCAACCCCCAACGAACCGTTGTCTCCTGGATGTCTTCCAGGTTTTCCAACTCCTCCCCGGCCGGCAATTCTGAATTAAGGACCGATCCGGCCCCCAACAGAGATGAAGATGTTCATTGTTGCGGTGACCACGCCCCCGCTCAGGTCCGAGGATCGCGGCGTTGATATGCGATACACGGCTGCTAGATCGTGACCCATCGCGCCTAGGATGTTTCAAACTTCTTTGACGCCCGACGTAAGGCTTAGCGATGGCTTCCAAGTTTGGTTGTGCATTCTTTTTTTCGGGGACGCTTCCCGGATCGACTAGACCGTTTGGAAAGTCTCAACCGAACTTCGCCGGTCTGGGCGAACCTCATCGGCTTTTCTAAACCAAACGCGTCCACGCACACGCAGCAAAGCCCCCCCTCCCCACACTTGCGGTAGAAGGAGGCATACACGCCTCGATTCACAGTATTGTTAGCGCTCGACCGAACGGCCTCGATGCTACGATGACTCGACCCGGTAGCCCATAGAGGCCACGTTCTGCTTCGGAGACCAAAAGTGATCTGCAAGCACATTGTCAGAGGTTGCGGCACGCCAAGCCTCGACCTTCCCTCAAAAGTCGCGAAAGAAGTCCGTGTGTCCGACCCGACCAACGGCGCGCTTTTCTCCACGGATTCCGCTTGGTCCCGTGGACGTGGCCGTCCTCCCGTAGCCGCGCGTCTTCGGTGGAATCGGAAAAGGAAGATTGAAATCAAGTGACGTGACACCCGGCGAACCGGAGCTCGGATTCCCAACCATGTCCTCTTGAAGCCCGCAACCCCCCTCGCTTCGCCGTCCTTGGAGGCTCGGATCCGGACCACCCCCCCCCCCCCCCCCCTTCCCTTCCCAAACGGACGGTCGTCGTCCTTGTTGAACAAACTCCATCCCTGGAGACGTACGTCAATATGTAGCACGCGATCAAAGCCTAGACTCCGACCTTGCCAAAAAAAAAGAACCGTTGTGCGGGTTATCCCGGCGTCAATCCCTCGTCCCCGGATTGGACATGGAGATCCAACAACGACGACGCTTTCAGAAACAGTTTGACTCGCTTCCCGTGTCATCCAGACATGCCCATGCCCGGTATTTACCCGATATATACAGGGGCTTCGTCACAACAGGCAGGAATATCTTGCTATGGTCTTCAATAGAGTCGGCGGCCATTCTTGGAATGTCAACTTGTGATCAAAATCTAGGCTTGGTTTCGATCATGCTCTGCCCATAACCAATGCTCCGCTCTTGTCAATGCTGTACTTATTGCCTAAACCCTTCATCGCCTAACCTATCCTGCGTGCATATATGAAGCCCCCGGAATACATGCTAGGGTATCAAGCTCGGCCGCGAATCGTCCCCGCTCAGGCTCACTGGCTCAACCACCAAGCGCCTGCGCCCACCGCCAAAAGCGTGGCCAGCACCAACGCTCCTTGTTTAGTAGACCAAAGGAACATGCTCCAGCCAACAAGCACCTCCTTGCGTCTCGCCGCCGCCCGTCGCTCCCAGGCCTCGGGGTCGATGGCCACCGGCAGCACAAGGCGGGGATCAACCCCATTGGCTGTCGAGACCTCCGAGGACGGCCGAGCCAGCTCATCCTCTGTCAGAAGGGGCACCGCCGCTCTCAGGAAGACGGCTCGGTGATCTGAGCTCCGCACCACGGGCAGGGCGTCGTAGGACTTCACATCGACTTTCCGAGGCTCTGCTTTAGTCCACGAGGGGACGTCGAGGAATAAGATTCGGTCCGTCCAGCCGGGATATCGGTGAGGGGCGAATACCCACGGTACGTCCTCCACACCGTCAACCTTGAGACGAGTGTCGTCCGGGGGCAGTACGTTGTACTTGTAAGTTGGTGGGAACTTGACCTCCGCCTCGCTGAGACCATGCAAGGTCCGGCCGGCCTGGCGTTCTCTCGTCAATTGATCCAAGGCAAAGAAGCGAGCATAATGGTGTTCGCTGTCCGGATCCAGGCTGGGGAACGTCGCCATCGGCGGCGGGCTCGTCGTGGAGATGCGGTAGTTGAGGTCACCGCCGACAAAGAGGTGCGAGCTCGGCTTGAAGACAGATATCTCCTGTAAACGCTCCTGGAGAGCCAATGTCTGCGCATGGTGCTCGTCGTGCAAGAGGTGCACTCCTTCGTCCCCAGCACCGTCTACCTGGTCTTCCCCTTCTGTAGGCGCGGCTGTGCTGGGCTTGTTCTTGGGATGCAGAATGTCCTCGGGGTTCTCGAAAGTCAAGCCCCGCATGATGGCTGCCCAGTTGGCGTTTCGCCGGGGCAAGTTCCACTCCATCGCCGCCAGGTGAGTAGCCACAAAAGTCAACTCCGTCTCCTTCTTCCCACCGTCCGGTGTTATGCCTTCGTACAAGACTCGCAGAGCCACAGCGCCCTTGTTGCCCATTTCTGCAGCACCGAAGCCCACCTCCGCCTCTTGCACGCGCAGGATTGACTCTGGCTTGCGTGCAAAGAGCATGATGGCGGTCATACCGACATTCCGAGTCCGCACTAGGGTGTATGGCCGCACAGGGGTAGGGGCGGTGGTTTTCACCGAAATCGTGTCATCGTCGCCGACATCGTTGCTCTGCCCGTTCGACGTGTATTCGTTGGTGTACCGAGTTGCGGCAAGGTTCAAGGCTTCTTCGAAACGTGCGAGATATGGGCTGAGAAAGTAGCCGCCGATGAAGGAATACGATAACGGGGCGACCTCCTGTAAAGAGCTGGACGGCGCACGTTAGCTTGCGGAAGGACTCGAGCAAAGTCACGCGACGGGGCACTCACAAGACGACAACCTCTGGCAGTGCAGTGGCATCATGCTTGAAGGCAGTGTTGAGGTGAGTTGCGAATACACCAACGTCGATGAATTTCTTGGCGCAATTGAACGTCAACATAAACAGGTCGAGCGTCGAAGGAGCCATCTTGTCGGTGGGCGTGGTGGAGTTGGCGTCAACAAGGGTCGCCATCAGAGCTGTCGGAGGTGATAAACGCCGATGACGATTATCGGTTGGGCGCTGGGAATCCTTGGCTGCCCTTTTTGTTAGTCAGCTTGTTGCCCCTCTTCTATGACCACGAATGATGGATAGAATCAGTCAAATGTAGATGATACAATAGGCCAACCCCGAGAGAGATATATAAAAAAATCGGGTTGTGTATGAACAAGGGAAAAATGAACAAGGAGTAGACGAAGGAAGACACAGATTAGAGTCCTGACGTTGTTCCGGCCAGACTGCCCAAGGCGGTAGGGCCGCACGCGAAGTAGCCAGAGGCAAGTGCTGTACAGCCACACACTAGTTGCCCGATACGTAAACGACGCCGAAAGGCGCTCTGGCTAGAGTTCAGGAAATGAAACTTGGTGTTTATGGTGGGAAAGAAATGGGGAAGGGCCAGCGCCATGAACTCGGGAGAAGGAAAGATCGCAAGACTGAGGCTACCTTAGCAAAGGACTGAGTTGAATCCGGTGCGGTGCAGTTTTCTTGGATGCCAAAGTCGAGTTGGTAACGAGGGGTTTCGAGATGGAGGGGGAGATATACAGCCCACAGCTTAGGCAGAATTTTGCTGTGATATATACTTTTTGTCTGGCAACGTATGATGGAGGTTTTTTCTGAGTCGTTCGGTCAGCTGGTTGCCGTATCCCGACGGACTTGGTGTTCAGCAAGGCTGCACCTGACCCGTACAGCCTCCTGACGCCAACCTTGCCGATTTGGTGTTCATGTCGACGGCCAGCCTCCCGAGCTGACTGTGCAGCCCGGATTTTTGCTTGTAGTCCTACGCGAGGCATAACTCCTCCAGCAGTAGTTCAGCGTAAACTGGGAGAACAGAGGACTTGCCTTCATCGCAGAAGGCGAGGCTGCCTAAAATTGGCACAGGAGCACATGCATTCACATGCTCCATCACAAGAGCCAGCTATATTGTCACCAAGCATGGATGCACTGATCGAGCTACCGCGCAACATTGTTAAATTGAGAAGCTACCATGCATTTTGGTTGGTTCCACCGCTTGTCGACATGCCCACAACTACCCGTGCTCCGCCTCCACCAAATGTAAGCTTGCCAGACCAATGAAGATCTATGGATGATGAAGGCGCAGTGTTGAGAGTCCAAGCACCATTGTCCTAAGAAGAGCGGCCTTCAACACGTCTGCCAGAGGCAGCCGCATCAAGACCATCAACTTCCCGAGACATTGCTGGACCACTCCCAAGAGCCCCTGATAGTTGCCGAGGATCGCAGTCATGGTAGGTCTTCCCACCAGGCCCAGAATCCCCCATGTGCAAATGCCGAAGTTACGGTTTCCCAACCAAACGAACCATACCAAAAGTCAATGAAAACATCACTCTCCTCCTCATTAGCTCTGCATGCGTTGTATCGGGCCGGTGTTGTCGTTGGAGACCCAGTTTGAGTCATGTCTTGTCTGACTGTATCCGCAGCTCCAAACACCTCACATTAGGATTCTCTCGTGGTCGACCCCTCACCGAAAATACCTCCCCAGAAGCGGGCCTCGACGCGTGATAGAACAGGTGCGAAGCCATCAAAAAAAAAAAAAAATCGTACCGCGCGTGACCAGAAGGAAATGAAGTAAGAAAAGTTAAGGAAACAGAACAAGGAAAAACCGTCGGTGGAACGCAACTCCAACGCATCGACGAGGTGCAAGGTAAGAAAACCAGGGCACTCAGGTTCGGGTGGGGAATGTCTCGCGGAGCGGCCCGACGACGGCGCCTCACAGGTGAGGTACCGGACGTGCCGTTCGAGTTCTTCCTGCCATGGAGCCCAACCCAAAGAGGCCCAACAGCAAAGTCTGCTGAGCGTCTCGAGAGTCGGGCGTCCCGTCATGAAAAAACCGAGCCATCCATGAAAATCAACCCAAAAATGTCGAAGAACGAAGATGAGAAATGCGTAAAGAGAATGCGACCGGTTCGCGTGGCAAGGCGTATCATCAAAGAGACCCTGCTGGTGAGCAGAACCCGTTACCAATCGTGATGCCTGGGAGCCATGCCACGGAGCAATGAAGCCAGCAAGCCGGTCTGGTCATACTCTAACATGTTGGACAGATGCATATGGTTGCTGCCGTCGAGGATCACTTCGGCAGAAAGGAGCTCGAACCATATGCTGGACCAGCGCTCTTCGTAGCCGAGCGCAAACTAAATCATCGTCCACTAGGTCAGCATGCTTTTGTCAGCAACAATTCTTCAGCCGGCGGTCAACTGCATGCCACAGGACTGGTGGGGGAGACACTCACATCCTGTCACTTCCACCGACGGCACGGTTGGTATCCGGGGTGTCAACACCAGCACCAGATCCTCGTTCAATCACTTTGCGGCGCGAGCTGGGAAGGGCGTTAGGCTTATTAGCGCCAGACTGAGGGGTCGGCTGACCAGCAGTAGCGGCATTCGTGCGAGATGCCCGCGCCTTTTCGTCCTCCTCCTGAGTAGCTCCCGCGGCCTGGGCGATGGCCTGAGCATTCTTCTGGTACTTGTACACGGTCCAATCGAAGACGTAGTCGTACTGGAATCCCTCGCGGACGAACAGATCACGGAAGATCTTGCGGAGGTAGCTGTAGTCGGGCTTGTCGTCGAATCGGAGGGATCGAGTGTAGTTGAGGTAGATGGCGAACTCGTTAGGGAAGCCGCGGCAAAGGACCTCGGTCGGGGTGGTCATCTTCTTCTCCATGATTCGGTCGTACTTCTGCTTCTTGGTAGCGGCCTTCAGTCCCTGCCATGGGAGGGATCCACGGCAGAAGTAAAGCATCACATAACCGAGGGACTCCATATCGTCACGACGAGATTGCTCTGCGAGGATGTCAGTGGCCATGGGAAAACGGACTAGGGGTAAGCGTGCGCAGATAACATACCGACACCCAAGTGGGTGTTGATGGAGGCGTAGCGGGCCGTTCCGGTAAGGTTCTTGTTCTCCCTGTAAGGAATGTGGAAGTGCGTCTTGGGGTCACGGTACTTCTTGGCCAAACCGAAGTCGATGACGTTGACCTGGTTTCCGCGCTTACCGATGCCCATGAGGAAGTTATCGGGCTTGATATCACGGTGGATGAAGGACTTGGCGTGGATGTACTCAATGCGAGAGATCAACTGGTCGGCAAGAAGCAGAACGGTCTTGAGAGAGAACTTGCGGTTGCAGAAGTTGAAAAGGTCCTCCAAACTGGGACCGAGAAGGTCGAGGACCATGGCGTTGTAGTCGCACTCGGTGCCGAACCAACGGACGAAGGGGATGCCGACGCCGCCAGCAAGAGACTTGTAGACTCTGGCCTCATACTCGAGCTGGGGGTGCTTGGCCTTGACGCTCTCAAGCTTGATGGCAATCTCCTCGCCAGAAATGATATTGGTGCCGAGGTAGATGTCACCGAACGAGCCGGAGCCGATCTTGCGGCCGATGCGGTACTTGTTACCGACGCGAAGATCCTGCCGAGGACGTTAGCAGGGAGCAGGCACTGGCTGACAGGCAGGTAGTCGGGGCACGAGGAGGCATCCAACACAGTCGAGAGAGACGCCTGACAGTGCCGGCCAAGTTCATCCTGCGCCCCGAACTCCTCCTTAACTGACAACTTACCATTGTAGTCATCTTGGCTGATGTTCTTGGACTGCTCCTTGCGGATGCAGTTTTTGGTTTGATGGGTTGAGTGTCGATTGACGGAGTAACCAACTAGTCGACAGCGGAGCTGTAGGCTGGATGAAATGATAACAAGGTCAGTAAAGATGCATGAATTGTAGAAAAAATCTTGGGGGCTGTGACGTTGGGGTGATGAAAAGGTAGGATCGGACGTTGGAAAATAGAAGGGGATGGGAGTTTGAAGAGTGGAGAGTTGGTCGAGGTCTTGGAAGAGAAGGGTTGAATGAGGTAAAGGTCGGATCCACCAGCAAACCCACGGGTCTCTCAGCCCAAGGCTAGGCTGGGCAGACGGAGAACGAATGGATTTCCAACCGGGAGTGGTCCGAGAACGGAATGATTGTCGATGGATTGACAACGGGGCCAACAAGAATTGAAAAATGACATGCACCAGGCAGGAAAAGAACTCACCTGTTGGGTGTCTATACGCGTTTCGTGTCGGAAGCGGTGGGAGGCGTTGTGTGCCAGAAAGAGGTGGACGTCGTGGTGGTGGTTGATTTGTACCTGTGACGAAAGAGGCCGACCAGTGCGAGCGAGGATGGGGGGGGGGAGGGTTCTCTGAAGTCAAGAATGGGAGACGGACGACCGGATGGCCTGGTCAATCGAGACGGAGATGGGGATTTGTAATCGATGCTGTCGAAGGTGAAAATGTCTCCAAACCCAACGAAAAGCCGTGTCCAACGGGGCGGGACAGGACGATGTGCTGGGGAGGGCAAGTAGCCTTTGGCAATCAAGGGCTCAAGAAGAGATCGTGGGTGAAGAAGGGAAGAGCGGAAAGGAGGAGGGAAGGAGGAAGGGAAAAGGGTACCTTAATGGGATGGGAGCCCAAAAGTGGAGGCGAAAAGGCAGACCTGGACGGAGGAGAGGAGGAGGAGGATGAGGAGAGTGTGAGGGCTGGGCTGACTGGTACTGGCGGACGGGCAGCGGGCGGCGGACCACTGGGGCGGACAGGCGCTGAATGGATACGGAGACTGGAGACGACTGAAGGTTGGTGGTCCGGGCTGGACTGGACTGGACCTTTTCTGAGGCGGGAGCCAATGGAACAAAGTAAGCGCCTGGCTCGTCAGATATCCGGTGGCAGGTACCTGCCCTTGCGCGTCTTCCTCGCCCTGGAAGCACGTACCTCTGCTTGCCTCCTGCCTTGCATTTCGGAACCAAGATACCTACTGTACGATGCGGATACCTCAGGTAGGTAAGTAGTGGGTGAGTGCTTGCTCGCTTGCTTGCCACCTGCGAAGAAGAGCGAAGGAAGGCACAACGTAGCAAGCTTGTAATTAATTAGGTAGTTCGTGGCTTCCCGCCTTTCTGCCTTACCGTGACGGGAGGGCCGCCCGCATGTTCGAGATTCTCTC